CAGCGAGACAATTCAGATACGTTATCATTTTGCGACGAATAAAAATACACTCGTATCTTGATGTTGATGGAAAACTTTAGGTAGGTATCAGTGCAGTGCGATGTCCTCTTACACGAAGACAGCACATGCGTGAGCTAATGTTATCTAATTATGACGATTTGATCCTCTCAGCCTAAGCTAAAAGGCGAAAACAACACTATCAAGGTTTGACGTAAACGAGATCAATTCAAAGATCTTTTGGAGCATCTATAGCCTTAAAATCCCGATAAAAATGGAACTATACCATATATTTACGTGTTTATTTTTGTTTTATTCCTAAGATTTGTTGTAGTTTTTCAAGTCTCTCGACGTTGAGGTCGTATGTCGGAAAAAGTTAAGAGCTCGCACCTCTTCATAGTAGCCAACACATTAAATTGTGATTCTACGTAACAGAACATAATCCCAAGGATGGCTATCACTTTGCTGAATAAAACCTAAAACAGCGCTTGAATCTTGATCGACACCAATTTTTTCCTTAACCAAGCCAGAACAGTTATTCCATCGTAAAGTTGAAGGTCGAAACGATTCCTCAATTCGAAACTTGATTTTTAGACTAATAGAATAATTAGGCGTCCGGTTCATTCATGGTTTAAAGTATTTTAAACGATTATCTGAGTCTGATTCAATCCAGGACTTACTATTATAGGTTAAAATTAGCTTTCATTAGTTAAGCATGATTGTTATTAAATTCCATCAATTTGCTTTCTTTCACTGACTAAGGAAGGGTTGCATATTTCTCGATTTTCTTTTATAAATCTTTAATTTTTTTAAATTGCTGTTTACATATCTATTTTAGATAAATCTTATTTTATATCTCGTTCAATAGCACTATTTTCTATTTCGATACCAATGTATCAAACAGTATTACGTACCGAAATAGTATTGCTATTATAATACTTATTTATCAACAAACGTAGTTCCGATAAAAACACAGTTGACCGATCTACAAATGTAACCGATAAAATCACATGACGAGATAAAACACCGAATGTTTTACGAGGTCAGGAAAGAGCTGGCAAGGCTTCTGGTTTTTGTATATTTCTTAATTTACTGGGTCTATTATTTTTTGGATCTTTAAAGGGCTTTCACAAATATTTTCGGCCATCTTTACTTGAGCCAGTATTAGGACCACTATAAGTCTTTTAAACATATTTGGTAAGATTTACTTTATGGATATGGATGTCATTACTTTACGAATCCAAATATTGCTCCATTTATGCATTATGGTGCCACCGAACATCCCAACATATCTTTATCATAATTTATTATGTTAATAAAACAAAATCGTTCAATCGTCTCTACTATTCGCTAATTCGCCACTTTCGCCGATTAGGAAGTCTGTATCATAAAATTACATAACGTGCTCAAATCGAGTTCGACGATACGGTCAATATAAATTGTTTATCTTCTTATTCTTTCTTATTTTCTACTAAAAATCTATTCAATGTTTGACAATAGTTAATAAGAAAGCTCCTTTCCGGTTGTTTTCGATTTAATAGTTTTCTAACTCCCGAACCGGATTCTTGTTACTAGTTTTCCGAGACTTTCTCAACATCATTACATTTTAAAGGTACCTAGACGATGCAAAAACGACTCCTAGATTTTCCTGGTTCAAAAACATTGCTCAATACCAACCGGTTATCAGCTTTAACGCCGAATCGCATGTTTGGAGACATTAGACATTCCAAATAAAGAGTCCGTTTTATCATTAGAGCAAATATTACGGGACAATCACGAACAAACGTGACAAAGGTAAAATTTTAATTGAACTTTAAAAAGGCTTATAAACTACAATTAGTTAATCATAGAAATAGTAGCAGATACTTTTCTAAAGTTGAACAGCAATAAAAATAATGGATGGGCAAGAATGTATGAGTACCTAAATAACCAAATAGATAACTGATTTCGTTTAAATCGGCTTAGTAATTTAGGTTTGAATACCAAGAAATAACTATTAAACTAACATTTACAGAGACTAGTACCTCTTGGCCCTTACAAGTGCAATGTGAAAACTACAAGCACACCAAATATAACAAAAGTGACTATGAACGGAATAATGACTCAGCCGTATTTACGATTCTCTCATCCTCTCCGTCTGAGTCTCAAAGATAAAATTGAATAGACAAACAAATTAATAAGATGAATGGGCATAATTATTAATTACAAAATGAATAAATACGGCATTGAATAAGCATTCTGTTGGATAATTAAAATTAATAAACAAAGCATATAGAGGGCAGTGGCTTGGTTTTATGAAAGGGAAGAAATGTAATCACGAGGGCTCCAGTTTTTGCCTTTTCAGTTACGAAATAAGACCGTAATAATGATGATTCCGATCTTTTTGAGGATAGCTACATAACAGTAGGTACTATAAAAGAGAATAACTTTTCTATTTTAAAGTCAAAAGTCAAAAATCATTTATTTCAATTAGACCACAGTAGGCACTTTTGAACGTCAAGCAAGCAAAAAAGGAAAAAAGTATATAACAAGAGCTTTAAAATTAATCGTGTCAGTCTGTCCGTCTGCCCTCTAGTGAAGCTATTTGCTCGTTCCAAAGTGTAGATTCCTATGGAGAAGAACGAGCAAGAAACTCCATGGTTACTCTTTTTCAATCAGTTTTACAATACATTTCTTTGTTACATCATTTAGTCGGTTCTGATATGTGAGAACAATGTTACACTAATGTTCAGGCAAAAAGTACTTACGAAAAAGAAGTGAACCTCAAGGACAACATATTTCCGTCTCATATTTAGTAGTTATGGCAAAAAGCGACACTTGTCGGAAGAAATAAGTGGTTGTTCCCCGCTAAAATAATATCCGATTTGTGAATTGTGCACTTGGCCACAGCCAGTAAGCCAAAACCCCATCATATAGGTACAAGTGCGAGAAAGTAGATTAAAAGAGGTACAAGAAATGAAGGTGAAAAAGAAAACAAACACGTCTTTGCACACCTGTCCTGCCACAACATGATATAATTTTTGCAGCCCACAGCAAGATCATAAACGTTTATTAGGTCATCGAACGCGCTCGTGCCGACGTAAGTGCCAGTGAAAAATAGATTTGCTTTTGTGTCTGTAAATTATTATTTTCAAAGCAGTTTCTAGAAAGATACTGGACGGCCTTCCGTGGTATATGGGCTTATTTTGCATATATGGTATATGGTGAATGACTAGGCATTTTTTTATCATCTCAAATAGATATGTCTACGGCTACGTGGCTTGTAAAATATCAGTCTCTTCTCTCATATATAGATATCCATTACGCTGTTTCGGTAATTGAGTAAATAGGTATGTTTTTTCGTAACTTTTACGTCGAAACTCTTATTAATTTTATTGAATAGGGCAATAAACCACACATAATCAAGAAAACAACTTTAGCTATTTCTGCTAGACGCCTATCGCAGGTCAAAACATTAAGGCAGCCAAAAGATGACAAGCACCTTGCGATCCGTAAAGGAGGTCACTTTTGAAAGTAAATAATTCTGTGCACATCAAAATATTTACACCTCTTCTCAACCAGAAGACAAATAATCTGTTTCAGAAAATATAAAGGAACAAAATACATCCTTCTCGCTTCTCCGTGTAACCCCGAAAACGGCGGGAAAATTCAAACGTCGTGCTAGAACCAGTTTAAAAAATATATAGTCACGTGTTTACATACACTGATAATGTAAAAGAAAGCGTAAGTTTCGTTTTATACACAATATATCCGACGAAGGAATGTTTGCAAAATTGTGTAGACCAAAGATAAACAAGAGGTGAAACTGGGGGCTTTGCCAAGTCCAGTTTTCAGGGTCGCGGGCGTACGAACTACAGTGAAATTGTTCCTCATGATGTGCTAAAAATATTCGTAATGTAGACATTCGCAGTAGCGCATCACAAAATAGACGATGCGACTTGTTTATAAAAAATAAGTCACTTACCTCTCTGTTATCGGTACTGCTTTTGATTTGAGCTCGTAGAACATGAAGTCCTGGTGTTGCTGGGCTGCCGTCATCTCCTCCAAAACTTTCTGGTCAACACTAAAATCTTTCGTCAGGAACGTAGCGAGATCGAATCCCATGTCGATCCCGGATTCATCCATTTTTAACGTAAAACACAAACACAAACTTTCACTTATAACACGTTCGACGATGCGCTAATATCTCATAGTCATTAACCGAACGGACTATTTATTACAACAGTTGATGAATATCACAACAGCATCCATCCTCCCAGCTGTCTACTTGTTGCTATTGTATGGTTAAACTTATTTTGACGTGTGATAAAAGGAATGACTATAGTTCTACTAAATTAAAATTGTCTCAATCTCGTAAGATAAGTTTGAATTTCGTCGTCTTTGTCAATCAATTGGGTTACATTTGCAAAAATAGTTTTATAAAATGGCAATAAATGTGACAAATCAGTTGATCGCAGGAGGCTACTTTTTTTCAATAAATTGTATTTCAAAAACGGGACAGCATATTTCATACAATTTTTAATTTCCTATTTTTAGATATATTAACAAATGCGTATTAAAATATATAAAAGCAACTAGTAATTTTCATTATTGCATATGGCTACACAGAAACCACCTGAAAGAGAGTCCGTTCGAAAACTTTATATTTTAAAGTTTTGACATAGGTGCGTACTCATTACTGTAATAACGTTTATAACCATTGTACAGAAATATTAATTAAAATCAACGTAATATTATTTATTTGTTGCTTTCACTATAGGACCATTCTCCATTACTCGAATAATAACTTTTATACCTAGAGAATTTATAATATTTCATGGTTATTCGTAACATTGGAACATTCGAAAACGGTAGAAAATAAATAGCACGTCTCTTCAGTAGAAAAATTCTACCGTTTAGTAGAAAATTAAAGTGCGATCTTGTACAACTTCAGTGAGCCGGCAGATAAAAATATTGTGAAAATTATATCTGAATTGAGTAAAATATAAATAAAAAGAGTAAAAATGTCGAAAGCTCACCCCCCAGAATTGAAAAAGTAAGTCAGCCGTTTGAATTTGTTGCTAAAAGAAAGGATTCTGAACTGTAGCGTCCCATGCGCGTCGTTGATAACCTAAACAAAACTATTTTTTTCATATTTTGTTGGCCCAAAATTATGTACAACAGTGTAAAATGTCAGTGTATTCCATTTTATTATATAATCACGTTACTTGTAAGTAAGATTTTCAAACAAAAATTTCAGGTTCATGGACAAAAAGCTGTCAATCAAATTGAACGCTGGTCGCGCAGTAACTGGCGTCCTGCGAGGTTTTGATCCCTTCATGAACCTAGTATTAGATGAATCTGTAGAAGAATGCAAAGACGGACAGAGGAACAACATAGGCATGGTGGTAAGTAAATATTTATAACATAGGTACAATAAAACATTGTGTACTAACACCAAAATTCTTTGGCACACAATAGATTTGCTGTTATAATTACATCATTATCATCGTCATGGGTTATCAGCAAGTGCCCATTGCTGAGCAAAGGGCTCTTCTTACATGATGGCTTGAGCACTAATTATTCAAATGCCAAGCGAACGCCGGCGTTCGCACCGTGTTCTTCTATTGTCTTGAGTTACCACGGTTGAATAGGTTCAATTGCCAGTGTAGATGATGGTCACGATTACATCCTTCACCATAATAATATAAGCTATTGTTTGGTACTTTATTTTTCTGGTTTTCTTTTTACTCTATTTTTTTTATCATAAGCAGTTTGTTTTTTTTTTGTAGTAGTTTATTATTCTAACAATTATAAAAAACATATTTCAGTAGAAAATAAGTTAAATACTTATTTTCTTACCTTAAGTTTCTGCACAGATTGGCGTCATGCGTTAGTGACGGCCATCGCTGAAAATCAGCGCCGCGAACCCGTCTCGTACGGGGTCGCTGCATTATGCTGAGCGTGGGCCAATTCGCGTGCTTGGACGCATATTTTTCTCCTACCGTCTACTTTTGTGATATTGTTTTTACCTTGCTCAATGTATTTTTATTTTAACTTTATTTTATTATCTTGTTCGTTTTGTGTCTTTTATGCGTCCCAGACGCGAATAAATACTTTTTCTTTCTTTCTTTCTATAATGTTAGATTGTGGTGTTAGATTGGAACTACTAAATCAGAAATTGATTGAACCCATCTCTTTGAAACATTTATCTCCAGGCTTTATAATGATTTATTTATCCAATCATTGTAAAGCCTGGAGATAAAGGTTTCTTTTCACTTCTATCTTCTCTGATGTTAATGGTTCCCCCGGGCTTGCTACATAATTGCTTCATCATCATCATCAGCCTGGTGCCCACTGCTGAGCAAAGGCCTCTTCTCATTCTGAGAAGGTTAGAGCATTGATCACCGCACTTGCTCAATGCAGGTTGGCGATTTCAAACTTATAATTAGAAATTATAAGCCCAGGTTTCCTCACAATGTTTATCTTCACTGTATGTCAGTGGTGTCTAAATAATCATAGAAAGTACATATAACTCGGAAAAAGTCACATTGGTACTTGCCAGGTTTCTAACCCACACGCATGAGAAGCGGGCTCCTTAACCTCTGGGCCACCATGACATAAGATTTATTATAGAGAACCTTTTGTACACATATTTAGTTATTTATTTAATAACACTATGTAATAAATACAAGAGGCGGACTTACAACCGAAAGGCATTCCCACCAGTGATGCAGAGCAGTGTTAAGAATAGGTTTTAAACAAGCACAAAAATTTTTGAAAAGTAAATTTATTCAATACTAGCAGCTCGCCCCTGCTTCGCACGGGTCTCATCATCTCGCTTACGATGAAAGGGTCCCTATTACTCAACTCTCCTCTCTACTTTTCTACTAAAATTTTCTTTCGTAAGAACCTTCTCCTGACCATAACAAACACATTAAAAAAAGAATTGGCAAAATTGGTCCAGGCGTTGTTGAGTTATGCGCTTACCAACATATTTTGCGATTCATTTTTATATAATAAGATATACACTTACTCACATGAAATTACTGAGTAAAGCTCTACTACCCATGGATAACAATAAAGGAGTTACAAGTGTAATGCCGGCTTTTTGTCAGTGGCTAGGAATTTAGGTTAGGATGCATAGGAGGTAGAATCGATATATTGATACCTCTGTTAATATCACTTACATGGTGAAACACAAATGGTTATGTTCTATAACATACTGCTGGTCTGGTATTTTTTCAGGATTTTACAAATTATTGTTAGTGTAAGGACTGTGTGGGACTTGTCGCGCTTTTCGACCGCTAGTTTTTTATTTATTTTTATGAATTTATGCATAAAAATTGTGCAAAGGTGAGCTTAATGCAGTGGGCATTCTCTAACAACCAAACCTTTGGGTGATGCAGAGATAAATTATAAGGTGCACAAAGCAAGCATCATCTAGAATATTATACATAGACTTACATAAATAGGTACCTACTGTACTGGAACTAAATAAATATGTTCATATGTATACTATATTATATATACAGCAATAATATAATTACATATACAACAGAAAAGTATACATAATATTTATGCTATTTAATGTCATGATCGCGATTACTCTGCTAACCTCTTCAAAAACAACACCCGAACCTTTTAATTATTTATTTATGTTCTGACCATTTAGGTATTTGTGTGACTCACCCAAATGTTCTTTTGATCAGTATTGTTCATCGGACAACTCGGCAACACCTGTTAGTTCAACTGGTTGTGAACTGAAACTTGCGTGCCTTTCTTTAGAACAGGGCCCACTTAAACTGGTGTGGTTCTTTCCTCAAAAGACTTAACATGGAATGAACTTGCATGGTTCTCACACATACTATTTTTGACGTTCTCTGGACTTGATCAGTGGGCCTCTGAATTTGTTTCGGTATTTCTTTACAGAGTAGTAACACGTACAACAGGAAATGCGGCGTCATCTAGTGGTTTTTTCCTTATAATATTGACGTGTAAAAGTGCTGTATTGTGACCTTTTTAAAAAAAGACATTGTTTCACATACCAACACGTAAAATATGTAAAAAAAATATTTATTGGAAGTATCTAAAACTAACTGATTGTCAAGTAAGGTGCATATCCAAACTGCACATTTAGTTTTTTGTTTTCTATAATCAAAATTTATTGTACAAACTCCTGTATTTTTATATATCTTAAAATAATGTATGTTTTTGTCTGTTTTCAGGTGATCCGAGGAAATAGCATTGTGATGTTGGAATCATTAGATAGAATATAGTAATAATTTCATTCCCTAAATTAATTGTAAGTTAATGGTTAATGTCATAGGGTTAAATTTGTAAAGTATGCTACACTGTCATACCGATGCCTATTTCACATTAATGTGGAATCTTAATTACTGGTTCAATATTTTTTTTTTCACCTTAGGATGATATTTCATTTCTTTTTACAAGAAGTTGAACATGTAAAATTCAAAATATTCATTAAACCATCTTTGATATAAAAAAAGCTTTTGTGTGGAAATTAAATTAATGTAAGATTTAATTATCATTGGTATTTTATTTTATTCCCTGATGTTTCTGATTGGTTGTCCGAAATACTTTTAGCTTTTTCATAAAACTCATATTACTCACGTAGAAGCTTGTCATTAAGTTATTATGTGTGGTAGGAGCTCCAGAATGGCTATTATTTTATTTCAAGTATAGTATGACTGTATGTAAAGACCATATTTTTAATATGGACATGTGTTTAACTGCTAGTACATAGGTACATCTTAAACATAGATTAATATAGGTACTGACGTAATCTTAAAGGAAATTTCTTATAACGGGAGGATGGAGCCACGGCCCAGTGTGACAAATTAGTTCAGGGGTGCCCGTCTAGAGTTCCCTGGTACAAAGCCGATCGGAGCGCCTCGAACGGTACAAAAAAATGTTACAGCTAGCTCATTTGTTTTAGTATCTTAGAATAAGTTTTAAACCTAATTACATAAGAACAGTTAAAGTAATCTAGATTATGATATAAGTATAGGTCTCTTACCTATACTTATATCTTTCGTTTCTTATGTAATTAGGTCGACTTGGTAATTAGGTATCTAATCTAATGTAGGGATCACCTGAACGGGATGTATTTTTTTAACCTGTATTTCAAGGTGCTGGATCAGGGTAATGCTAAAGGAAATATGAAATTGTTTTTATGAGTTTAATTTTGTTCAGCAAAAAACTTAACTCTTGATATTGCTTCCTTTTCCGGGAAACGAGCCTCAGATAAACTGATGGAAAGAAAGAAAAACGCATTTATTAGACAAAGCCGGTAACCAAAAAAAATACAAGACAAAAAAAACAATAATAAGATACTTAGAAAAAAAATAAGTACCTACGCAAAATAATAATACCTACATGGTAAAACACACTATTAATAATAGAAAAAACATGCTTCTCGGGTTGGCATACATACCCAATCCGAATGGGTTGCTAAATGCCAACTCAGTAAAAGCTGGGCGCAATGAGCACCCACTGATATTCAGTTGGCACCCCTGCTAGCAAGTAGATATTCAGCGATGCCCATGGACACCCACAAAATCGAAAAGTAACAATTGCATCATGAATAATAAGGAGATGGCAGGATGAACCAGACACATTCTACAGGAATAGGCATCTTCAAGCTTCGGGTAAAGACAGGTAAAAGAAGATTGGAGAGGTGTTTGGGCTTTATTAAAGCTGATAAAATCAATATTTTTTAGTAAATTAAATAGGTAAGTACCTAAATGTCTGGCATAAAGCCAATCAATCAAAGACAATTGTGATACAACTAATACCAATTATGACGTTATGTTAATTCGTCGTGGCGTTAATTTAAAATTTCTAAGTTTATGTAGGTAGGTACTTATTTGTTGCAGTAATTAGGTACATCAATATTTCTATTAAACAAACAAGTATGTATTTATAATTGAACAGTGGTAAATAGTAATCGAATACTAATTCCGTCTTTATCACAATTACCTACAGACGATACATTTTTTTTTAAAGGGAAAATCATCTGATACCTTTGTCCGTCATGTGTGTGGCCAGAGGTAGTGTCAGAATATTAAATCTTATAAAAACCACCCAGTCCCTACTCCTGTATCCTACATCTATCTAAACTGTCGCCGGAGCGTGTGGAACCGACGAGAAATGTTGCACGGTGTTTGACAGGTCTTGAATCCGCTCCTGTGAAAGCGGCCGACCTGATCTCACGCGGTTCATCATCAAGCGGTTGCGACAGGTGTTGCAAAGGTCCTGCAGTTGGGACTCGAGGTGACGATCCGTCAGTCCGATGGCCTTGTGCTTTCATGACCGTTCGAACGCGCCATCTCCGGATGGGTTCCAAATAACGGCAGGACTGGTTACTATTGATTGATGTCGAGTGGACGATGAAGTAGTTCTCGTCTTCGACAGCCAGTGGAACTTCGCAGAGCAATTTAGACGTTTTGCTCCCAATTTGGTAATGTGGCTGTGTTCAAGCGGCTCCTCCCCAACCTAGGGGGAAGAAATCATTGTCATGGGATCTGGCGGAGGCGATGGCGCCGCACGCACCTACAGTTTGCGCGTCGCCAGGCCGAAACTCCTCTGCCGTGACAGATAACTGTACGGCAGACTGACTTCCGGCGCGATCTTGCAGCAACGTCTGTCGCAAATGATAGGCGGGCAACCTGTTATAAGACCCCTGTTTGAGGAGTGGCTTGTTGAGGGATGCCATGGCGTCCGGCCGTTTTCGCCTGATGCTTGGCTCCGCGCGGCTCTGACGATATCGTCGGTTCACCTAGCGGGACGCCTACCCACGCTACGTTTCGGTTTTAGTTTGGGTTGACGGTCCGGCAAGCACCAGCGTCAGGTGCGTCAGGCGGAATTGTGCAGACGATACAGCTATTATTCTTTACGACAAAACTTGGGATCATGTATATCAACTTGCTGAGGGCAACCTCACTAACTGTAGCTGATATTCTCAATAAAACTCTTCATGCGCTTAATATAAAAAAGACAAAACACAAAGTATCCTCATAAATATAAGCCTCAGGTTCTCCAGCTGTAGACTGTAACTGTTCAACAATAGACCGCAGATCTACACTTATATACTTGAACATCACTATACACTCTTTTAAAGCTCAATTGGTTTTCAAGTCAAATAAGAAATATGATCTAGATTCATGAAGAAAGTTCGTGATTGTACTCCTACACCAATCCTAGGAACTATATGCCTTGGCTCAGCCAGTCTATCCTACAATATGCAATAACTGGCTGGGGTGGAGCGGGAAAGAACATTTATTGAAATAGAAAGAGCTCAAAGAGATGTTATTAAAAAATGTGATGCTCAAAAAACCAGTCAGATACTCAACAGATGCACTTGACAATTAATTTCCTTTACTACGTGCACGAAACCTGTACATATACTTAACGCCACACTTCGTGCACACAAGCTGTAAATAAAACAGACCAGGCTTGTCATCCGCATTAACAAAATAAGCAAACGCTGTGACATTGCGAGATAAAAGTTTAAGCATCTAAAACTGTAAGAAAGCTGTTTTTACTTTTGTTACGATAACATATTTTTTCCTGCCAAAAACTAGGCGTAGCCTAGTTTGGGGAATCGGCGGCGGCAGCGACCTCTCGCGCCCGGCCTTAGTCGAGGCCATGGTTCGATGCGAGAGGATTTAGGAAGCCGTCTCCTCTTTCTGCGAAGCAGTGATACTCGCAAAGGAGGGGGCGGAGCGTGTAGGCGACATTCCGGGCGTCGGGGATCGAGAGATGATCTCCGGCCACCGTAAGCGCGGGTCGCGGTGTCGCGGTCGTAACTCGGGCGGTGAGTAAGGGTAGCTCGCCGCCCGACAAGAACCGCGCGCGCCTCAAAGAGCCAATAGACCACTACAGACTGGGCCACTGTTGCGGGTTAAGCGCAATGAGTCACCGTGGCCTCAGCCAAAAGCAGGAGAAGGAACGGGGGGTTTTTAGTCAGTAAGAGTCTGACAGTCTCCCTCTCCTTAGCCTGGCCGAAGAAGTCACTTGATGACCTTCCCCTGACAAAAATAAGCCTACTTTGGGGACCACAAATATTATAATAATGTACCGCTTTAACCCGCACGGACGCACCCAACAAATAACAAATATATGTACATCCATACCTTCTCACAATCTTTCACATTTATATTATCAGTAGGAAGACTAGGAAGAAGAGAAGGAGAAAAACTAGGGTATCTATGTCGAAATTTTGTCTCTAAATTTATTGTTAGGCACTATCAACAGTATATAGGGCACCAGCACCTCGATAAAGAGGTCAATTTTTTATGTGTCGGAGGGCCATGCTTCGGCAGGAATGGGTCTGAATGATATCTCGTCTTCACAGAACCGACGTTAAACAACCGTTGTCATTTGTGAGCGAAGTTACTGGAGGTCCAACCTTCTTCCCCTCTCCCAAATCTCTGAAAGCCTAGTCCCCAAAAGTCCGGCAACGCAGTCGTTACTCCTCTGGTGTTACGAATGTCCATGTGTGGCACCGATATCTGACCATCAGATAATCCGTGATTTGCCGCCCTGTTACATACAAAAAATTCGCGCTCTCCCCTGTGGACACGGCAATGCTCAGCCCAAGCAGGGAACACCGCCACTGTATGCTCCCCATGGCCGCGCATTGTCTTCCGCTGGATCCGAAACAGGTAGTTAGAAGTTTGTAGAAGGTGAGGGCGTTCTTCGTAAGGGTCCTTAAAGAGGGGTATTACTACTGCTATGGCAGTGAGCCGGACCTCAGTTGAACAGCAATTCAAAGCTTAAATTGATGATCGATCTATATAGATTAACTTAATAAATACAGATAAATAAAATATGGAAAATAATGCAAGTAAATGACTAAATACCATCATTTTATTTCTTTTGTCCTAATAAGTACTAACTTTCGTGATCAAATTAGACTCATCAGTTAATTTTGAGGCCATACAGAGTTCGCGGGTCCAGCTAGCATTTGATATGAACGATTTGTTGCCTATGTTTTAGCCGAATAAACTTTGAGTGTATAATCAATTACTTTAAAACACATTTCAATCACTGTACCTACCTAATCGTTTATACTATGAAGTGGTTATGAAAAAATATGTCTAACTACATTTTGATTGGAACATACTTTCAATATAGCATTATGCCGACGCACTTGTAGCTCCTCTGGTGTTGCGGGTTTACACTAGGAGCTATATTTGTTCGTTTGCGAACTTATTCCGCAACCATTTGCTGCTAAAGATAAGATGTTGATCATTGCTTATGGGACATTCAGCGTTAAGCTTTATGACTCTTTTAACATTATGATCATGTTGTATACATGTGGCCATTTATTAATGAATAAAGACCTTCAGTTGTAGTTTTGCAGTTGGCTTGACTTGACTTGTTGGAAATGACCGGCACTCCCTGTGACCTTTGTCAGCTGTATTAGAAAATAAGTCAAAATTCCCTTCCAGCAGGGGTTGCGGATCATCATGCTGACAGTTCCTTTCACCCCATCCAAGGCCACAGAAGGCAATACATAGATATCCCCTATAAAAATCTATTAACTGTAGGTGAGCCATGCTTCAGCACGAATGGGTCGGCTCGACCGGAGTGATACCACGGCCTCACAGACAACCAGCGTGAAGCAACACTTACGTTGTGGTTCGCCGTGTGAGTGAGGTTGCCGGAGACCCTTCCCTCCCCCCCCCCCTTTCCATCCTCATTCCTCAAATTCAATTCTTTAATTTGTAGGGGCGAGAAGTGCTTTTGCATGTTGTTTTAGTAGGCTTTTTACAACACTACAACTTGCCGATGGTAGAACTCGACCTGATGATGAAGCCGGTAGACAGTCGAGGGATCTCCTAGATTATTTGGAATAGTTACATTGTGTTTGGGCTTGATTGATTCGTATTGGTGAGCATTTTGAACCAAGATTAATCGTGACTGTCATCAGCGGTCTGATGATGAGACAGAAAGACAGCTCAGGAAACTACTGAATGGTTTACAGTAACTACATCGTGTGAAAACTTCGCACCTATATGGGTTACAATGAAGTTATGCAGTAATCTGACGATGGAGCCGGAAGACCGTCGAGGGATCTCCTGCACTATTTGGATTAGTTGAATGCCAAGTGAATCATCAAAGCTATTATAGGTACCAACCAAACAACAACAGTATCAGAAAAATATATTGATCAGTACCTCCTAATCATCAAACTAACAATAGGTATATAAGTAATCTTAACACTATTATTGTTTTACTTGGCACCGAATTCAAGATTATAAAATGGTTATTAATATTATTTTCTATTTAACTTAAAATACAAAGTAACTTAATTAAAATTAAAATGAAAACATGTATTTTTCTAAAAACAAAATTTTTTTTTTGCTTTTTAGTTTACTTGGGTACCAAGAACGTTTCTAGACCACGCTACCACACAAACATTAATATATCAAAAAGTATTTCTAAAGTGGTCGAATGAACATGTAGGAAACAAAACTAAAAAGTGTTTTCTCTTTAAATAGTAAACACCGTTGGGTGTTTTAGATTTTTATTAAATTCTAAAAAAGAAGAATACAGTGTAACCACCTTTTTCTTGGGGGCATACAACCGCTCAGGAATACCATCTGGGTAGAAATAAAAGTTAGGAAAACAGCACCCAAAGCCAGTTACTTGTTTTTCTGAAATTAATTATTCCTTATCAACTTGCTTTTAATATAATTATTTGCTTGAATGACCGTGGTCAATCACTTACACCTTAATACCATTGTAGAAACATGTAATCGACTTGTACTGCCATTTTAATTAGGTAAGTTCCGCTACATTGCCGTTCTGTCTTCTCCCGGCATCGACACGAGCTAGGCGGGGGTCCGGGGACAGGATACAGGTGCAAATATGAATGACACCTTTTCATTGTTACTGTGCCAAATTCTGGTAAGCTTAAACATATTTTCTCAAAAAATTACGTAATGTGATCTACCCTAATAATAAGTATATCAGAGACAATAATGATTAAGTTGAAACTTTACTAATTGAAATAGTTTTACAAGATTAAGAAATCGATTCTTAGTCTTGTAAAACTATTTTAATTTGTAAAATATTAATTAATGTGTAAAAGCAAGCAATAAGTTATGTCTCTTAAATTCAATGTACCTAGTTCTTGTGAACAAGATAATCCACAGTGTATATATCCTAGCAAATTTCGTCCCGCGCACATAAGTGAGTTGAGCCATTAAAACATACTAGGAAGACATTTAACACGTATCTTGATTTTTATTTCAGTTAATACTTACGTTGCAATACATTAAATGCAGTGGCGAGTACCAAAGTGATTCCTACAATCTCGGTGAAAATAATAATGACGAAAATAGCCCCTATGACAGAAAAAGCCACAAGGATTTCGCGTTACGATCAGACATTTATGGAGAATCGTACAATGCTAGAGAGCGACCTTTTATGTTGAATGACTACTATCGTAGAAAGCATAGAGAATATGATCAAGCTGGACCTAGTCGACGTGTATCTTCGATTCAATATAATAATTATGATAATAATCTACCAAAACGTTACAGAAGAACTGATGACAGCGAAGAAGCTATAATAGACAGCATCAAAGAACCCGTATCAAGGAGTAATTTTATCGAAAGTGAGAACTCCTATACTAATAAGATACCAATTGGCGAAGAAAGTCGAAACAATGTACCTTTGATTACCAAATCTTCGTTTGTTTACTTCTCAACTCCAAATGATAGATGCACGTGTGCTGATACCACTAATATTGAGAAAACCACCGAGCTTATCTGTTTCTCTAGCACAGATGGTGGTAAGCACTTTAACGTGAAATTTAATGGCTTAGGGCTATTCGAACTAGAAAATTTAATCAAATCTTACCATAACTACATCGAAAGTATCCAGAAAGAATCCGGGATTAAAGAGAATTATGGACATAATAGTAATATATACAAACAGTACCACGAGAAACAGGATTTCAGTGCAAATGACATTAAGATTGGCCAAAATCAAATTACTTTTAAAACCGAAAATAGTTTTGATATACAAAATCATCAAGAAAAAAATGCTGAAACTCAAAACCTGTTCAGTTCACAATTCGGAAAAGATCTCAAAAACAATTTTGATTCTAATTTTGCTTATCACCAAATTCATAATAATTACAATGGTGCGTATAATAACAGTAATGTAAATGTCCATTCACAGAATAATATAGGTGACTTCCATCAACAACTTACTAAAGATCAAAATGTGGCGCTGATTATAGAAAAGCTGAAAGAACAACTTCAGGCTAATATAAAAGCGCAAACATTGGCACACGAACAGCTAAAAGCTGAAGTACAGGCACAAGTTAAAAAACAGGCACAGTTACTGTCACGTTTAGAGCAGGCGCAGCAAGAAGCAAAAGCACACACTCACACTCAAGCACATACACAAACGCAGTTTAGTTCAAAATCACAGGCGCTGTTACTTGCACAAAAGGAGGCACAAGTTCTGGCAAAGGTAATTGCTGAAAAACAGGCGCAGTTGTATTTACAAGAAAAGGCATTACTATTAGCAAAAGCACAGGCACATGCAAAATTACAAGAACAAATTCAGGCACATACACAGATACAAGAGCAACTGCAGCGGGAATTATGTAAAAAAGCTTGGGGTCAGAAAGAAGCACCGGCGCCGTTATGTGCAAATGTTAAGAAACAACCTCTATTACATCCTCAATCTCAGCCACAACAGCAGACTAATTCTGAAAATGGGCCATTGCAAACGTTTACCAATAATGAATCACAAACCCAGATACAGACACAGTCTCAGTTGCCATCGCAGACACAGTCCGAGTTAAATCCAAAACCACACGCACAGGCCCAAAAGCAGACAAAAGGCGAAAATCAGTTCCCAAGTTCTCAATTACATCCCCAAACAAAACCCCAGACAACGTTAAATTCACAATCTCAACAGCAAGCCAGCCTTCAAAAAGAGACAGATAACCAACCACTCAAAAATGATCAATCACAAATTAAAGCAGAAACTCAGGCAGAAACAGAAGGAAAAACACAGTCTCAGTCACAGGCCCAAGAAGAAGCATCCGCAAATATTCATACACAGGTGGAGGTTAATACACAAGCACAAAGTCAAAAAGATAACAGTTTTCAAAAACAGGCAGATATCCAATCACATACGCAATTACAAAATCAAGCAGAAGTTCAGAAAATTGCACAGTCGCAGTCACAGACCCAAGAGGAGTCGTACAAAAAGACTCAGGAACATCCGACAGATAACCAATCACAGCTACATAAACAATTACAAAATCAAGTCGAAACAAATGTAGATTTCGAGTTACAAGGGGCAGATAATTCACATGCTCAGACACAGACTAGTTCAAACACAAATGCTGAATCGCAGATAAAAGCACAACTGAAAAAAGAAGCACAAATAGGTGAATCACATAATAGTAACCAATATAACAAACAATGGCAAGGTTTTAATAGTGAGGTAGGTTCTAAATACGTCGGCAATGGATTCTTTGATGGCCTTGAACATGGTATAAAAGTTTTGCCAGCGGGACAAAAGGGAGTTGGAAGTGTGGTAAAGGGTAAGAAGGGAATAGGGGGTGGTGGAGGATACAGGGAAAAGGTAGTATTTGGAGGAGGAGGAGGAGGAGGATTCGGAGGAGGAGGGAGTTTTGGAGGAGGTGCAGAATTTGGAGGAGGTGCAGAATTTGGAGGAGGGGTAGGAGGAGGATTTGGAGGAGGTGCAGGATTTGGAGGAGGGGGTGGAGGAGGGTTTTCAGGAGGTACAGGATTTGGAGGAGGGGGTGGAGGAGGGTTTTCAGGAGGTGCAGGATTTGGAGCGGAAGCAGGATTTAAAGTATCAGCTGGATTTGGAGGAAGTGCTGGATTTGGAGGCGGAGCAGGATTTGGAGGAGGAGGAGCAGGATATGTAGGAGGAAGAGGAAGAGGGTTTGCAGGACGAGGAGGATTTGGGAGAGGAAGAAGAGGAGGAGGGGGTGGAACCGCTCGAGAAAGCGGCAACAGACGAGGAAGCCTTGAAAACAGAGAAGGTGAATTTAGGGGAAGAAAAGGTGCTGAGCGTTTGTAACCCAAAATACGACATAATCAGCAACGACAATGATAATTCGTGATCGTTGAATAATTTACATTATAAATCAAGTGTGTTTGCAATTTTTCATGTCCGTGTACTTTTTCTTTCTTGATGTTGGCACTTTTTCATAATTTCTATCCTTAATTCCTTGTCCTATGTTTATTGAAATAGGAGGTATATTTGTTATATTAGTCTAAAGAATCTAAACTAGAGTTAAGCATGTGATTTATCGAAACAAAATTGTACAATAAATAAAAATGATGTGCTCTCACGGATATCGACTTGTTCATTCTTCATCCTTTCGAGTTGTTAAAAATTCATACAAACTGCTTTGTAGATACCATTTTTTGTAACCTAACATTACTGTAACATCAGAAGCATCCTTCTCAGCTGAAGATTGGAAGTCCTGTGTATTAAACTCAAACCTTTTTCATAAAGTAAAAACAAGTATTGTGTTACGCAGTATGAAATTTCTATCCTAAATGACTCAGAAAGGGCGGGCAACCACCCGTAACTCCTTCATGGTTTGTGCAATGGAGGGGTTTATGATTGCCATACAAGACTAGGCTACTAACACAACAAATTATCAAAAATTTACTCTACCAACTTCTTATAATGACTTCAGTAGATCACACGGTGCCTCAGTGACTATACAGCACATCGCAGGCGCCTGAATAGCCATAGCCCACATTGACTATAAACACCGCCATGACCAAGTAGCTGCAATAATTTATCAGTCAATAGCCACTAACATAACATAATAAAAAAAGAAAGGCGCATCGATTCCCGCACGGAAGAACTGCACTTAAGTGACCCACAAATAGTTGTTTCGGATCTGGGTGGCTTGCGTATGTGAATTTGTATGTTTGTAAACGCACCCACGATACAGGAGAAAATCCTAATGTGGGGCAACGTTAAAAAAAAATATTAGAAACTATTTACTCCAGATCGAGCTATTGGTCGTATAGTACCTAAAACCGTCATTTATCGCATAATCCTCACAGATGCGAATTAGTGCACTGTTCGATGTTCTCAACTATATCATAGCTCTATATCATCCACGTAGCTGATGTTATTCATGTAGAACAGTGTGTTGGAGGCATAGTATAGCCGTTTCCGATGATAAATCAGGTTTAAAACCAAAATGTGTGTCTCGTCGTTGAATATTGAATACTTATCAAGCTGCTGATTAATCATGCAGACAACACCTTCGTAACTACATCAGCTGGAACATACGAGTGACTCAGGAACTGGCTGTAAAAAAATTCTTTGCTCTCGCGGTAAGCGCTTACCAGCATGCAGCAAATGGTCTATACTTAAGTTGTTATGACCCAGCGACTTGCCTCTTTCACTTTCAATATTTTTGTCATAGAATAGAATAGAATATTTGACAAAATAAAGAATATGTTTATTCAATAAGACGCTATGTTTTCCCATAAGTCATACAAATATAGTAAAGTTAAACTAACTTAACATTTCATTGAAAAGGAAAACAAAGACTACAGTAAATATAATTCACAGAGACACCATTCAAATCTAATCTAAAGAGTAGTATCATTTTTCAGTTAATACTGCCTGAAGATCCTCTTTGAATTTACTGAGAGGTTGATCTTGAAGAAGGTCGAAATTTTATTGTAAATTTTTGGAGCCAAACAAAAAAGGTTTTATTAGTTTTTACATCGGACTCGGACATCGGACGCATCGAATTTTTAAAAAATAGTTATGGATTAGGCTTGACAAACCAAACTGTGCGGTTTCTAATATGAAAAGAGATGGAAAAGTTAGAAGTTTATATTTTTTTGATTTGGGATGCACCTGTCTTTACTTTTAACATTATATGGGATGGCAAACTGTTAGGTGGATATCAAACCTTATGGTAAGCAATCAGTGTGGCCGAAGGACACCCGGAGTTCCAGAAGAGATAGTTGGGGATTTGACGATTTGGGATAGAGTATCAGAGACTCCCGGTTGAGTCTCTGAGAACCTCACTTACACGAAGGTTTTCTGTCAGGCTTTCGACCTAGTAAAATGAAACAATGCAACTTATATATTTTAATAACTTGTGATAAAAAAAATTCAGTCTTCTCCAGGCCAAACGATGCTTTCTATCCAAGGTAGGTAGTGCCTTATCTTGGTGTAGATTTCAGGCACGTCAGGTTTTTCACAAGCCCCGGTGTGGCCAGTGACACCAATCACTGTGTACTGACATCTGTAGTGGTCTATTTGCAAAGGACTGCCGCTGAACCGCTGGAAACAATGGAATAAGAATTTAACTATATAGAAGATGTCTTGAAATTTCTAGTGTGATTGCTTGGTTGCTTTAGTTGTAGCAGACTTTTAATGCTTTTGGGCGATATTATTCTCGGTTTTTAGAAGGTATTCTGGTTGAGCTGGTCCATTCGCGCCGAAGGATGTTTCAACGCACAATTGAAAATTCTTTATAAAGTTCTTAACCATAAAGAACATTGTGAAGGAGCCGAGCCTATCGTGCTGTTCCACGAGGCGGGAAGACTGTTGGAGTAAATAATCTTGAACCAACTCGTCAGCGTCACAACACACCTAGCGGACGGCCATTTCGGCCTCCGCAGTGGGCGCTCATGGTAGATGTCATCGTGCAGCACGATGGCATCCACCACATGAGCGCCACACAGCTTTCAGTGACCAGAGGGGGAAGGTTTTCGTCACGTCTCCTCTAGAGATGTATTCTGGGGGCGCTCCAGTAACACCGGATGCCTCCGTCATAAAGTCGAGGCTTATTTGACGGACAAGTCCGTCATCTACCCTAGTCACTGAGCCGAGAACTATAGTGCAGTGTTGTATAGGGGTCGGTCCGATTGAGGAGGTGCGATTGGGTGCTTATCACCATCCTCCTGAGTGACGTTGCGACCTTGGACCCTATTTTGAGGAATGGCTACATAGACCTCGCGGTGTCCTCACTTTCCGCCTGACGCAGGTGCTTAACACACACTGAAGTTTCGGCTGAAAACACAACGCAGCAGATATGTCACGCCGGTTTTCTGTGAGAACGTGGTATCATCCTCACAAGCAATTAAACATGGAAGCATGGCTCTCCCACACTGAAGACTGATATCAGCTTACACGGGCTCCATTAGCGAAACCGTGGATGGAAACGAGTTGTTAACAATTTAATTACATGGTAAATTATCAGACAATCCGCAAAACACCACGAGGAGGTAATTTAATTATTGCGCATTGCGATCGTATTTTCGACATAAAAAATTAATATTGTATGTATGACGCATGAACGAGCCCCTAACGTGATTTGAAAGTCGACTTGAGTGAAGCGAAATAGTTACTACAATACATGATTAAGCCTTAATCATTATTATTATTTGTATGTCTTTACCGAGAACCAACCACACCCAGTCATTTGGGAGGCGTACGAGGGTCCGAAGTGCCAACGGGGCAGAGGCCCTTAATACAATTTTAATCTAAATGAAATGGGACACAAACCGGCGACTGTCTCTGTATGCACTATTAAAATGCACCCAAAGCCAGTCCCTGGTTAATGTAGGACAATTGGGGATAATGGAAAGAAGGAATAAGGCTATGGGTGTGGGTTGCTGTGGACTGATATGGTGGGAACTATAGCACCTGCCAAAACAACTTAATTTAAACACGTAAAAATGGAGACTCAGCAATCGACCGGGACCCGCGGAAAGGTTTCATAGCATAGCATATATTAATAGCAACAGAGGGACAACGGAAATGTGAGTGGCTCCGGCTGTAGTGTCTACTATGGTCGGGAGCGAGTCAGGATGGAGTGCCGTCGCTACTTTCTGCGAGGCCGTGATGCTCGCAAAGGAGGCGGCGGAAAGGGACAGAGAGGCTGCCTTCTCTCTTCCCTCCCGCAGCAGACGCACTAGACGTCGTAGGGTGGCCGACCTGTGGCCACCGTAAGGCGCGGCCTGCGGATGACAGACTCGGGGCGTTCTTGTCGTCCGACCAGCAGCAGGCCTCGAGGCGGCGGCGCCGTGTTCCGCGCGCGCCTCATAGTGGAATCCTGCGGTCGGGGTGACGGCCGCAGTGGGTGACGGGGCCCGCCTTACCATCTGGCGGACCAATACCCGTCGGGGGGTTACGACGAATGCTTCGGCGATACCCGCCCCTCTGACACATGGGTAAGTGGAGGAACACCGGGTTGGTTTTTAGTCAGTAAGAGTCTGATAGTACCCTTCGCCCTTCCCCGAGGGCGATGGGTCTCCATGAGGATTTTCCAACCCGACACCAAAAAAAAAAAACAAAAAAAAAATTCAGTGGCTGAACGTGAAAAAACTGCAACATCCTGCATCACTGGCCCACTCGCCGCTTACGAACAGCTTCCGAGTAGGACGATCTCTCGCGACTCCACTTTGGACGGCCAATGTAGGCAAGCCAGAGGTGGGAGACCTGTTGACCTGTTCCTCGTCATAGTTCACTCCGGCAAGCCAATAAAGGCAAGTCGGAGATAAGGAACGGTGACTCCTCCCTGGAGCAATCAGAATGATGGTAGCCCGCAGGATCGCTAATTCCCGTCACCTCGACTCTAGTCCCCTTGTGGTGAGAGATAATCTCCGGCCACCGTAAGCGCGGGTTTGCGGACGGCGAGTAAGGGCATTTCGCCGCCCGACCAGAACCAGACCCGAGCGTACGGCGTGGCGTTCCGCGCGCGCCTTAAATAGCCAATGGACCACCACAGACGGGGCCCTATGAGGTGATGTTCAGCAGGGGTTGCGGATTAAGCGCAATGAGTCACCGCGGCCTCGGTCCAGAGCACGATAAGGAACGGGGGTTTTTAGTCAGTAAGAGTCTGACACTCTTAAGGAGAAGTCAATTGATAATTTTTCCCTGACAAAAAAAGTCCCCTATGTGGTAGTAAGTTACAACATTTACCTTGCACGTCTCTTGTGTTGCATTTTGCTTTTTGTAGCATAATTGTAACGTGGGATCAAACCCGTGCATCATGTTGTTGGTTGGCTTGTATGCGAGGTTGCAATCTTGTGAATCTGTTTCATCTAGAAATATCTGAAAACAAAATATGATTACGGTTAATCTATCTATATAAAAATAGTAAGGGTATAACTCAACAACCAACGCCTGGACCAATTTTTGTTTCTTTTTTCTTGTGTTTGTTTTTTTTCAGGAGAAGGTTCTTATTAAAGTAAATATTAGAAAAGTAAAAGGGAAAATGGGGAAACCTGACGATTTCTTTGTTAGCAATATCGTTAGACTTGAGATTGGCTAGACCGATAAAATAAATCTTGAGATTGGCTATAAAGTGTGGGAGAGCCATGCTTCGGCACGAATGGGTCGGCTCGACCGGAGTGATAACACGGCCTCACAGAAAACCGGCGTGAAATAACCACTGCGTTGTGTTTCGCCGTGTGAGTGAGGTTACCGGAGGCCCAATCCTTCCCCTCCCCCAATCCCTCCTAAATCCCTAAATCTCCAAATCCCTAATCCCTAAAAGGTCGGCAACGCACTCGTAACTCCTCCGTTGCTAGTGCCCATGGGCGGCGCTGATTGCTTACCATCAGGTAATCCGTCTGCTTGTTTGCCAACCTATTAAATAAAAAAAAAAAAAATTGTAATATTCCTGGACATACAGGGAATGTTTAAATAAGTTATATTTGAGGCTGTAAGTACGAAGTTTGCCTGGTCAGCATGTCTAATAATATAAAAATATAACACTGCAGTTAGTCTCGCTAAAACTCGAGAACGGACGTTTTGTTCTTAAAATATTCGTGGTCATCTAGGCTATTTGTTAAAAGACAGAATTTATTATTTTGGGACGGGACCGACATGGCTTACGAGCTTTAGGCCGGTTTTCTGCGAGATTCTGGTATTTCTGAACCGATGCGACCTTCAAACTTTCAAGAAAGGAGCGTACTCCTTCTTAAAAGGCCGGCAACGCACTTGTAAGTCCCCTGGTGCTGCAGATGTCCATGAGCAGCGCCGATCGCTTACCATCAGGTGGTACGTAGGCTCGTTTGCCTCCAATTCCATAAAACAATATAGATAAGAAGTAAACTATGAAAATAATATTTAATTCCCAATAAATCACCGTTTGCATTTCCGAAATCTTGAATACTTTTTTCTTATGACCTTGAATCTGGAATCCAGCTGTTTCTGCTTTTGATTTATCATGATCATCCACAGCCAAACAAGCTGGTAGGATTTCACTATTGAACGTTATTCTGAAAGCAAAGATATTAAAATAGAACCTAAATTCGATTATCGTCAGCCGGGTGACATGCGTTGTTAAAACGATGACTGAAAATTTTTTTCCACCTATAGGCTCCTTCTGGTGGAAGAAACAGAAGCTAAAAGCAGTTGTAAGAATTGATGGTAGGTTTTTTTTAATACTTATATTAGGACGGTAAACGAGCAGACATATTACCTGATGGTAAGCAGTCAGCGTCGCTCATGGACGCCCGCAACAACGGAAGAGTTACGAGTACGTTACCGACTCTTTGGGGATTACGGGTTTGAAGCTTTGGGGTTTTGGGGATTTGGAGATTTTGGCAATTTGGGAGGAATAACCTCATGGAATAACCTCACTTACACGGCGAAACACAACGCTGTGATTGTTTTACACCGGTCTTCTATAAGGCTGTGGTATCACTGCAGTTGAGTCGACCCTTTCGTGCCGAAGAATGGCTCTTCCACACTTAGCATGTAGCATTTAGCATGTAGTAGGTAGTACTTACTCGGTCTCTGTCTCCAAGAGTGCGATGTTATTGTACCACGAAGGCTCATTATAATTTGGATGGTTAATGACCTTCTTGATTGTATACGTGTTCCTATATATGGGCCCATCCTTGTAATTATAGACACCAACCGAAGCAAATGCGATAGTGCCGCTAAAAAAGTTAAATTTTAACATGTATATATATGCTATGTAATGCTTATTGCTCTATAATGCTAGATAAAATGGCATTTTTTGCGTTGGAAAAGAAGTTAAAAGAGTTCTGAAAATAAGACAAGCTGGTAAAGAGATTAAAAGAATAAAACTGAGATGTGGTGAATCACTTAAGGCTAAAAGAAAGAACAATATGAAAAAGAGTAGGTTTTGTTACAGCGAAGAGAACAGTGAAAGACATATTGCACTGACCCTAAGAACAAAATGTAATAAAGGAAAAAAGGAATGATTACGAAGAAGATATAAAAACGAGTTCACTAGTGTAATAAAACTCCTCGTATAATACAAATAAATCCTTTAATGTTCAGGTTTCAAGACCATTACTTTTATTCAGTATTACTCTTCACAACCTTTCGGCTCGGTTGCCCAGACAAGAATGCCCTTACTCGCCGTTCCCGTTCATTTCGATTATTCCAAAAGATCGATACAGAAATCGATTATTGATATAGTCGATTTTTGTAGTGTATGATATGATTAATACTAGGAACCTTACACTAGTAACCATGTATCAGAAAAACAAAATTATCTTTAAGAAAGAAAATGGCATTGGACCTTTGGAGTAATAGTGCATAGTGTATAAAAAAGAGATCCCACTTACAATACCCCGCCGTTAGTGCAGTGCGCAGATGTCAGTATGAATCTCTCACTGATCACTGTTCCTTCACATAACCACAAAGCTGTGGAAAGATCATCACCATATCCAAGACGAGCCTAGAACAATATTATCATCATGAATGATGTTAATAGATTGTCTGAATGTTTTTAGCTGAGTGGATGTGATTGTGCTTCTGAATCGAATCACTACACTACCTTTATACAGGGTGTAAAAAGAAACTTAACGAAGCCGTTAACTACGCATACTGCAGTTCTAACTAAGTAGCTTTAGGCTAAAATTATCACTGGGAAACAACTTTTATTTTTAACGGGCTTCGTGTCATTGTTTGCGTAGGTTCACAGCTTAGCATTAAAACGCTGTGATAAGTACGTAGGTCGACGTTTTACTTCGACACAACAAAACAATTCTGTAAAATAAAAATCCTACTGAGATGCATGATGTTTTTTGTGTGGGTCTGCATTTATTTATTACGTACATTACCTACTGTTCGTAACTTCAAATGCGTAATTTATTTAGAAAAATTGAAAAATGTTTGTTTGGAAAAAAAGTTTTTTAATAATACTTAGAATTCGATTGCACAAAAAATAATAATTTAAAAATGCATCTTTGACCTTCAATATCTCGAGAACCCGTGGAGTCCCAGCTATGGTCTTAAAGAAAAAAATGATCCAAATAATGGGTAGATATGGCTTTCGGCTTCGTTAAGTGTCTTTTTATTCCCTGTATGTCTTGTCTACTGCTGAGCAAAGGCCTCTTTCAAACGGAGAAGGCATGAGAATTAATGCCTTGCTTGCTTAAGGCGGATTGAAGATTTCAAACTACGCATTATAAGTCAAGCGTTTACATGTAAGCGTTTACGTTTACATTTTGATTTGTTGAAACCTGACTTTCCATATCTTACCTGATGTGGAAAATTCCACGCCACAGGAATTGGTTTAGCAACAGATAAGTTGACTTTCAGGACTGTAGTGTGGCATTTTTCGGGCTCCGACCAATTTTTTTGCAGGCTAACGAGGCCCTTGCCTCGACATGGATAAGGCAGTTTATGAAAGTAATCTAGACATTCTGAAAAAAAACACAAAGATTAAGCAGCTACTAAAATGGCATGATCAACAGGAATATGCAATTCAGTAGGTTTTTTTGAGGAGGTAAATTGAACAAATGGCGTCTCTCGTCCTCAACCCCGTTCTGTCTTTCGCTCCAGACTTGGGTCAGTTCAGTATGCGGAAGCCAGCTTTACGGAATATACAAATCAATCTTTAATCACCACGCTTGCTCAAAGCAGATTCGCCACTTCAAAGTTATAGTTAGATACTATAAGTCCAGGTTTCCTCACGCTATTTTCCCTCACCGTATGTCAGTGGTGTCTAATACTCATAGAAAGTACATATAACTCGGAAAAAGTCACATTGGTACTTGCCACGTTTCGAACGTTCGGGCCACCACGACTTATTTAATGAAAAATATCAACACAAAAACATGGAGACTTTAACAATTCAACGGTCATTTACAAAGATAATGGCTGCTAAAATGGAAATTGACTTACTTTTCCACGCTACGGATCCTGTCTTTCTGACTAGCACTCCGGAAGGCGAAACGGCAGAGTCTTTGAATCTAAATAAAATGAAATAAAATGCGAGTCAGTTAGTAATTTCTGAAAAAGGGGAAGATATATATGATTTATAGATATAGTTAAAAGCTTGTTAACAATAATAGGCTATTTTCATGCTATAACATATAAAATTATATTAGTTAGTCAAAAAACGGACGAGTAGTAGATATTTCTAATTTAAAATTATATTTTTTATCTGTGTACCACGTGACGCAAAACATCGGCCGCCATGATTTTCTCTGTATGACGTCAACAGTAGGTACTAAAATTTTTAACGTGTCAAGTAAAAATTGAAGTAAATTTTTTAAGTATTTTCGGGATTCATTACAATCAATATATAAATGTATGTCACCTGTAAGAAATATTTTGCAAACATACAGTGAATGTAAACGTGAAAACAGGACTCATTATAAGTTATTGTCATCATATTTTAGTACAATTGACGTCACAATATGTCGGTCGACATTTTGGCGCCTTTATTAATTTCGACAATATTTTGATAATTTTTCCCTGCTTGCAGGATATCTATTATATAATAAAAATTACACCTCATTATCGCATTAAAAGGAACATTTTAATAAATATGTATTTGGAAAAGGATTAGAATAGGCTATTAAGAGAAGAATAAGTACTGACTCATCATTGACGCTCAAAATGCAGTCAGTGCAGCAGTAAACAGGGTCGTCGTTCACGTGTGAACACATCTCTGGGAGTTTAGGCATAATTGTGTTATTTTCATATCCCGCATTACGCTGTAACGAAAGGAAAGATTAAAAGCGGTTGAAGGTCGGAATTATAAAATATACCTATAGGTACGTTGTGTGTCGCGTCTAAAACAAAGGAAATATTAACAGCTTTTGTATGTGCATCTTTTAAAGAGCAGATGCATTACCTGATGTCAAGCAATTGGCGCGACTCATGGACACCAACACCGGAGGAGTTCCAAGTACCTGCCTTTTAGGGGATAGGGTTTCGGAGATTAGGGTGGCATTGGATAGGGAAAGGATGGGGCCTCCGGTTACCGGCGACACACACACAATTGTTTTTACGCCGGATTTCTGTGAGGACGTGGTATCACTCTGGTCGAGCCGACCCGTCCCTGTCGAAGCATGGCTCTCCCACACATTATCATTTATAAGTTCTTGTATTATGTACCTTATGTGAGTGGCTGACTACTTACATAGAGGTAAGTTAATATAGCTGATCCACATTTTTCAAGTCTAACACATGTGCCCTGGTGGATTTGATCGGCAATGCATCGAGCACCTGAAATATCATAGTTATATCTACATTGTCTTAAAGTTATAGTTGGATTCTATATTCTATCTCTGCATGTCAACAAGACCTGAATGTCCTAAAACACACGGACGGACGGTGTCCTAGAATCCAAACCAGTTCCAGCACTCTTTTATATTGTTTTTTTTATTAGAACATTAGTGGCCTAATGTTTATTGTATTTATTGATACATAACTTGGAATGTTATGTGTGATATAAATTTTAATGTATTATTTATTTATTTTATTATGTTTTCGGCTTACTCACGTAATAATTTGACGAGATACTCGAGTAGTTTCAAGCCATGCTAGAGGCCCATATTCATGAAGAAAGTGCGCGTGAATCACGGCAGAGGGCGCGTTGGGCGCGCAGACTCGAGTAGCCAGTAGCAGCGCGACGGTCGCCGAGTCGCGTGTCGCGGAATGCTGCTCATGAATATGGGCCTCTAGCATGGCTTGAAACTAGTCGAGTATCTCGTCAAATTATTACGTGAGTAAGCCGAAAACATAATAAAATAATTTAGAATGTCTCACGAGAGTTATAATAAAAATATTATTTATTTACTGTGTACTCAATTTTCGGAATAAATAAAAAACTTACATATATCTCTGACTTCTCAGGAACACCTTAGGGCTTTTTTTGTGAGGGGAAAATCATTAAATGACTTCTTCCGCCCAGAGTCGGGGGGAGGGTGGGAGGGAGGGTAAGACTCTTCTATACTAATATTATAAAGAGGTAAAGTTTGTATGTTTGTAAGTTTGTATGTAGGGGGTAATCTTTGGACCCGCTGGTCGGATTTCCAAAATTCTTTGCTACCTAGCTACAATGTTCCTGAGAGCTATAGGCTATAAACTATCACGCTACGAACAAATGGAGCCGAGTAGCGGGCAACCGCGTGAGAGTAACTAGTACTGAATAAAAACCCCCGTTCCTTCTCTTGCTCTGGGCCGAGGCCGCAGTGGGTCCCGTCTGTGGAGGTCTATAGGCTGTTTGAGGCGCGCGCGGAACGCTACGGGCCGTACGCTCGGGTCTGGTTCTAGTCGGGCGGCGAGTCATTTTAGGGCTAAGAGCTCATTATAGCACTTACCTTCACTTAAATAAAGTTCAGACCGACCACAGTGCAGGGAAAAAAACAGGCATATTAAAACTACACTTTTAGTCGATGCCATGTTTGTTACACATGCCTACTACACAGTCAGCGCCTACACCAAGCCTAATGTTCTAAAATCTGTACAAATTATTTTTTTGATATCATTTCATGGCTTTATTTAAGCAACATGTTCGTTCCATGTACAGTAATAATGCATTATTACGTACATTACTTACCGGGAAAATATTAACTTAGGGATTTTTTAATAAACTTTAATCTTCTTGTATTAATTTTTTTGTGATAGGACGGGAAACAAGCATACAGATTACCTGATGGTAAGTAGCATAAGCGCCGTCAGCGTCGCCCATTGAGGGTGTCCATGGGCGACGCTGCACATCAACAGAGGAGTTACGAGTTCGTTGCTGCGGATTCGAAGATTTAGGGATTGGGGAGGGATTGGGGAGGGATTGAGGGAGGGGAAGGGTTGGGCCTCCGGTAACCGTTTGTGTCATGCGTGTTTTCTGTAAGGAACCCTCCGGCTTTGTCGAAGCATAGCAATCCTACACTTATCTATCTAGTCTATAGATTTTATCTAGTATATGCGATGGATTTTGTGGTTATTCGTTTTCGCTCATTTTGTTTAGGTATTATTTATCTTTGGTGTTACACGACTAGCAATTAATTGTTATCATGTAGTGAGCCTCCGGTAACCTCACTCATATAACGAAACCCAAAGCTGCGGTTGTTTCACGCCGGTTTTCTTGTGCCGGAGCATGGCTCTTCCACACTTCATTTCTGTTATGTTATCATTTGTACGGGATCTTTTCTATATCAACTAGAAGTAGTCTATCTATCAACTATCACACAAGTGAAACCCCCAGACGTTACTACGACAATTACTGTGTCGTGAGTTTAAAAACATACTAATATAGCCATCACGTCTAGACTGTGAATAACAATTTGTTGATCATATAAACAGTAACTGTTATTCCGCAGGAGAAACGAACCGGCGACACGTTGCATTTTACTGAGTAGCCTAGCTACTGTGCCAGTTGTGAGTCAATACTTTAAGCGAGATAGCATTTTACTTTCTGCATAAAACTGCAGCCTATAATTGTAAAACGCCACAGAAGGTTCCTAGAAAGTAAAAAAAATGGCTTGAATTACTTTGATTATTTTCCCTATGAAAGGATTTCTCAAAATTCAATGAGTGAGGTCATGATCACAGTCCATTGTAAGCATGCACCATGTGATGCCTACCGATCAGTCCAGTTGTGGGAACCGGTTCGTCCCCTCAACGTAGTATGACATCATCAAGATAAGAAGCGGTTCTTTTCATTGCAACTTGTAAAACAGGTATAATCAAAATTAATTGAATTCAGATAAAACCTTAATACAAAAAGGTTTTACCTGAATTCAATTGTAGTAAAGTATTCGAATCGGGAAAAATAGGCAGTAAAATTTATTATAATACCTATCCAATTTAGATTAAATAGTGACACTAGAGTAAAGGACCTAAAATACTACCTTGCGATACGCCATTGATGCGATCCGCAAATAATTCCAAGTTTTATTTTGGATGGAAACGACAGTAAATACAAAATATTACCCAAGGTAAATCAAAAAAACAATACAAATCATTGTCAATCATCACATTTATTTCATGCTTATTCTAAAGGTCTAATAATATAATGTACTTTATCAAGTATTTGATAGTAAAAATCATTGGGCTAATAATTAGTAAGAGTAACTGTAGTACAGCCATAATCTTGTTTCAATAGTATTGAAACACAAATGTACTATACATAAATATAAGATTCATTGGACAATTTCGTTCAATTCCATCGCAGCCATTGTTCCAACCATTGATTTTCTTTCTGCTTACGTTTTTCTACTTCTTCAGGCCAGACGATACCTTCGATCCAAGGCAAGTAGTAAGAGACCCTGGTGTACATGCCAGCCGAGCCGAGGATGCCGCAGTCTTTGCCGTATGAGGTCACTCCAATTACTGTGTGGTAACATGAAGTACTACCAAATTGAAGTGGACCTCCGCTATCACCCTATTAACAAGTAATGATGAATAAGTTATGTAACACGTAGGTAAGATTTAAGTAATAATACTAGCCGAATCCATTACCGAATATCGATATATACTTATTTTAATTCTAAATTATTCATAATCATCATCATCAGCCTATAAGTGCCTAATGCTGAGCAAAGGCCTCTTCTCACACCGAGAGAGAGCATGAATTTGAATTTGAAGCATTAATGAACACGTTTGTTCAAAGCGGATTGGCGATTTCAAACTTGTGTTTAGAAATTATAAATTCAGGATTCCTCACGATGTTATCCTTTACTGTATGTCAGTCGTGTCTAAACTAAATAATCATAAAAAGTAAATATAACTCGAAAAAAGTCATAATAGTACTTTGTAAGTCTCGAACCTGTACCTTCATGCAAGCGAGCGCCGTATTCTCCGAGTCGTAGCGATCAAGTAAAATTTTAGATTATATAAAAAATCCTCATGATGATTTCGAAAAATGAAGAATACATAATGTAGAAAAAAATAATAATAATTAATATTTTCTTACTTCACAAGTATCTATGACTTCGAACCGGGATCCGTAACACATTTGCTTGGAGTGATCGTAGCCGTTAGACAAATGTCTGTGGGGTCTGTACATATTTGAACATTCAGCTTGATTGAACTCTTCTAGATTGACCTGGAAAAGGTATTAAATACATAATTAAAACAAGTTCGAGCGAATCCACTGCTCGTATATATACGAAAAGAAATTAGAGTAACCTTTATGTCTTGCAGGAGAGAAGTGAGTGAAGGTTGGAGTCATTAGAAAGCGCTGTAACCTAGCTCAAATACCTTTGTCAGCTCTCACGGGAAGAATAATTACCGTGAAATGTGTATTTTATTCTGTATTACCACAAGGTAACAATTCTCTTTATATTAACGATACTAATCATATTATTGAAATTTTTAAGGTTATTTTAATTCATGTACACTCACCACTTGTAAGGTATCCGCCAAAGCCTGTCTATGTCCTAAACGGCCCCAGCCAGACGCCTCAGCAAATCTAATGTAATCGGCGCCTGTATGCAAGCACGCTGGTAGTAAGTCCTGTCCAAAAGCTATCCTGCAATTATTGATTTGATTGTAGTATTATCATAAGGTAGATACAGTATCATCAGTAACGTTGTAAGATATAAAAGGTCAGAGGGCACAATCTTTTAATATATAAATTTTTCGGACCTGAGAGAGAGCGAGAGAGAGAGAGACAGAGAAAAATAAAATATTATAAACTTGAGAATTCACTTTTGCTCAGCTACCATTTTAGTATTACTTTATTCAAAGTGGCAGATAACAAACAGGCCAAGATATCACCCTGTGGAACACCGAGGGAAAGACAACCATTTTAGTTAGGATTTCAAACTTACTCGTTTTCAGTTTCCAGTAATGCTATGTCATTGTACTTAGAAGGCGGTTTGTATTCAGGATGATTGATAATCCTCTTAATTTTGTATATCTTCCAGTTTTCCTTAGGGTCCGTCCGTCTCAAAAGCCCAAGTGCGGCGTACTGAATGCTACCTCTGGAAGTAATTCGAGAAATTTTAGTAATTTGTCAAATGTTCCAATTAGACGAATGAGATGATATTTAATAGCTTACAGCAAGCGAGTTGATGAGCAGTGTGCAGCAGTGAGAATAAATCTCTCGCTGATCACAGATCCTCCACACAGCCACTGGGCAGAATCCACGTCATCTCCGTAACCTAACAAAGCCTGGAAATAGGAGATGTTTTTATCATTCCGAATGTAGAATCGTTAGTGTCGTGGGTACAAAAAAATTAATCGTCAAAGATCATAGATGCTTCTGCAGTTAGACTATTACAGTGAATTGTTGGCCGAAATTGTCAATTTTCTTACGTAGATAATGTAATTTATTGGGAAAATAGAAAGTAAAACCTAATGAGTGCCGTGGCCGATGCCTTCCCTAACCAAACTCCTAAATCATACTCCCCAAAAGGCTGGCAACGCACTCGTAGCCCCTCTAGTGATGCCGCGCGTTCATGAGTGGCTCAAATTGCTTACCATAAGGTAATCCGTCTGTTTGTTTACCGATCTACACATATGACATACAAAGTAAAAGATGGCTTGAGGCTAAAAACTAAAAGAAAACTAGACAATTTATAACAAATACATAGATGATTTTCTTATACACACCACATGAGGGAACTCCCATCTCTTGGCATCTCGACCCCCAACAGCGAATCCAACGCCACCAGTGCGGAACGTATGATTGTGGCACTGGGAATTATGGAGCCAAGTCTTGTCTATAGTGAAGTACCCAGGGAAACGGCAGCCATATGGTAGCTTTTGGAAATACTCGAAGCATTCTAGAAAGTATAATAAATAACTTGAAACATGCTTTTAGTCTTTTATTTTTTTGTCATCAGGTAAAACGGTGGACATAACAAATGGACGAACTCATCTTTTGAACCCAACCTTGATATATTATGTTTACTAGAAATTAGGTCTTAGTATCACAAGGCTTCATCAGCGACCTTATAATTGGACAGTACTCTAATGTACTGTCATCTTATCTACATAATCTGCCTATTATAAGTGTCAAGTTTCATGATAATACAACAATCCTTGCTACTAATATTATAAATCCGAAAGTTTGTCAGAATGTATGTATGTATGTATGTATGTTTGTTACTCTTTCACGCATAAACTGCTCGATCGATTTGGTTGAAATTTGGTAAATCCCCAAATTCTTAATCCCTAAAAGGTCGTCAACGAACTCGTAACTCTTTCGTTTTGGCCATGTTCTGTTTGGGTGTTGCCATGGGCGGCGCTGATTGCTTACCATCAGGTAATCCGTCTGCTCGTTTGCCGATCTATTACATTAAAAAATCTAATTAGATGTAAAATAAAACTTACTCTCTAAAGCCACGGGTCCCTTTTTATTGACCATATATCCGTGAGGACCAATGGCGACGTCACGGTATCTGAAAACAAAAAAAAAACGTTTTCAATTATTTAGAAAACACTACATAAGGTCTGTGTTAAAATGTCACTTCATCCCCTTTTCATAAGTTCTCGGACGTAGTTACGCAAAAAGTATCCATCGCACAGCGTGGTCGAAAATGAGCTGAATGTACCAAATTAATCTTTAAGGGTTTCCATTACTCTCATACTATATCCAATTTTTATTGATTTATGATTTTTATTTTAATTCCGCAAAAACGAACCAAGCTGTTTGGATCACTATACACATAAATAAATAATAATTATACGAAATTTAAACCGGTCAACAACTTTAATTTTAAATGAATCACACCAATCAAAAATTATTTCATTGATAGATAGGTACAATGTTCTTGAGTGCTATAGGCTATAAAACCTAATGACCAGTAGGAGCCGAGCAGCGGGTGGAACTGTAGAGTAGTTTAAAAATATAGGGACAGAAAAAGCGGCTATGTTTTAAGAAACTTACCTCTCTTGACCAACGTCACAATCAGTGCAGCAGACTACAGGTTCATTGTCCTTGAAGGAACATATTTCTGGTAAAGCTGGTATCTTGTACTCCTTTAAATCGAACCCTGCATTAGCCTGAAAAATAAGAAATACGATAATATAACATGCGTCCTAATACCTTCCATTAATAACAAATGGTTCTTAAAATAGTAATGTTGATCTTTAACTTTGTCAAGATTCAAAAAGCTTATTCTTCCTCGAAGTTAATATTGTGTGCACAGATTGGAAATACACGTAAAATACCTACATTATGTTTACTAACCTAACGACTTTACTGTATAAGGTTCCATACGTAAAAGAAAAAGAACCCATGTAGATCGAAGGAACTCTATTAACTGCACTGGTAGCATTATGGTGAATTCTAAGCTTTAAAACAAACAAACATTTTGTGTTTATATTATACACTGTTAGCGACCTGCCCCGGCCTCGCACGCGTGCAATGCCGGCCGATAATATTTTTTTCCATGTGTATCTCTTTAATGGATGGTATTATTATACATACATATTAACCTTCCTCTTCTATCACTCTATTTATTAAAGAGACTGTATCAAAATCTGTTGTGTAGTTTTACATAGGGACAGACAAAGCGACTTGGATTTATATTAGGTAGTGAAGTGATGATTTGATTCTGTTGAAACTTGTAATTATAATGTAGGTACTTACGTATAAATAAGTTAGCGCTGCCGAATTGCATTTAAATACGTTGACGCATACACCTCTCAATCCTGTCGTGACACATGGAGATCCTAAAAAAATAAATAGAAATTTTACATAAAGCAAGCGACCAGCACCCCCGAATTGAGATACAAGTACAAAACCCCCAATACAAAATTGAAACAAAAACGGGAATCTGAAAGATTTTCCATTCGTTCTTTACCTTTTAGTACCTAGTTAGTAAGTACCTACTTCGAACAAAGTGCACCTTAATGACAATTTTCATTCATAAACAGGACATAACTGCCTAAGTGCCTAGATTCTTGATTACCCTGAAAATCTAATCTTTGTGTGTGACAAGGCTTTTGTTTTAATGAAGCCCTTGTCTTAGGTCAATAACAGAGAGTGATAATTTACATTAATTATATTGATTTCATCAAACAGATTTCATAACAGTGTTACTTAACAAATAATATATAAACTGGTAACAGACATGTTTTGTACGTATGTAAGCAATTGATACCTTGGCCTTACAGAATATCAGCGTGAAACAACCACAGCGTTGTGTTTCGCCATGTAAGAGAGGTTACCGGAGGTCCAATCCTTCTTGCTATCTCCTAAACCCTCCTTAATCCCTAAATCCCTAATTCTAAATCCTAATCTCCAAACTTGTCTGAAGTTGCGGGTTGTTGGATTTATTCCTACAAATAGTTTTTGTTTAGTGTGATTCCGGATGAAAGAAAACATTGTGAAAAAATCTTATAATTTTCTAATATCATTTTGAAATTGCCAATCCGCCTTGAGAAGCAAGCGTGGTAATTAATGCTCAAACCTTCTCCGGTTGCCGGTGCAAGCGTGGTAATTAATGCTCAAACCTTCTCCGGTTGCCGGTGCAAGCGTGGTAATTAATGCTCAAACCTTCTCCGGTTGCCGGTGCAAGCGTGGTAATTAATGCTCAAACCTTCTCCGGTTGCCGGTGCAAGCGTGGTAATTAATGCTCAAACCTTCTCCGGTTGCCGGTGCAAGCGCAATAATGTATCGTAGCCCCGGCCGACAAGGAACAGAGACATAGTCAGTAAGCGTCTGATGCTCCCTCCTAGCTCACTTAGGACGAAAAAAATAAAAGAAGTTCAAAAACTTGAGATCCCGCCATTGCTTCATCTGAAGAGATAAATCGGTACCTATAGGTACCTATACATATATTATAAGTTGACCATAATGTTTTGAATGTCAGAGGTCATTGCAAACCACATTATGGTTTCAAAATGGTGACCTTGAACCTAATGAACACGTCAGACAACGAGTTTTAAGTACTAATCAAGTTTTTATTAAAATATACGACAGACAGATATTTTAAAACATTGCTTTTTCTATAAGTAAATAACTTATCTCTCTATTCACTGGAGAGAGTTGCAACAAAATGTGGTCAGCAGTTTTCGAGTTAAACACAAACATACCGATGAAGCGAAATTTTTTGTATTATGTAGGTTATATAGGTGTCTACGATATTATTGCTTATACGCCCAGTAGCTACCAGCTTATTGCGAAATATAAACTATCAGCTGTCACTATTTATTACAGTATCTGCACTTATATCTGTCAACTGCTGAGAGTAGAGTTTTGGGTTCAATCCCGCCGAATGTGACGAAGTAAATAGTTTTTATGTCATAGGTTGGCAAACGAGCTTGCGGATTGACTGGACTGATGGTAAGTAATCGGCGCCGCCCATGGCCGCCCATGGACACCCGCAACAACGGAGGAATTACTAGTGCAATGCCAACATTTAAGGGGCAAGGGTTTGGGTGATTTAGGGATTAGGGATAGATTGGGGGAGGGGTAACTTACACAAAACCGGCAGTTTACCTGACCCCAACCCTGCCCAATATCTAAATCCCCAAAAGCCCTTGTCCTCAAAAGGCCGGCAAGGCACTTGCAATTTCTCTGGTATTGCGGCCATTTGCGGCCCAACCATTGCCGTCATATCATATAAAAAATATTTTTATGAACTGAGACAAAACCTGTAACAAGAAATTCCCAGCTAGAGGAACTGAGGAGGTTTTCTTAAGGAAATATCATAGGTAAATAGTATAATTATTTTATGGGTTTTTGCAACAACTTGTTGATAAGGTATCAACACGTTTTAAATCTTAGGGTAAGGCAGATGACAGCATGTTCAATGTAACATCCATTTTTGTTAATTAGATATGTTACAAAACACACAAACTTAATTTGTAGTGGGCTTGGAGCAGTAGAAGGTGCAGGGTGGTATTCAGCCAGTGACAGTCTAGTACTCCCTCTTGGTGCAGCGAGAGAAGTTTGATGATTTTTCCCAAACATTTTTTGAGCTATAATGAGTGGCAACTACCTATAACCGAATTGAAAATTTGGTACAAGGAGGTACCCAGCTCCACTTACAAACTGATTTCTCTGTCAGTTTCAGTCAGTTTACCCATTATCTTACTTTACTCTTTAGTCAGTTTGACAGAGAGCTCTGTGTAGACATATTATAGTACCTTTGTGTAGTTAACATAAATAAAATAAGGTTTTAATTTACGAAATAAAAATCAAAGTGGAAACGTGGGTATAACTTTTTTTAAAATTGCCATAACAATAATAAAATGTTACTTTATCCTCAAATATTCAAATAAATAAAACGATTAGCTAATTATCTGTTACTGAGAGCTCAATTTAATTCCTTATTAGGTATTTGTATGAACACTGTAGGTACCTACATAATTACAACAACTATTATTTTGTTTATCTTTCCGCCCGCGAAGGAATGTATATAATTATTTTTGCCTATATCTACCATTCCCTGAAATCCATGGACACTTTCTTATAATAAAATTATGTACAACATTTAGGTGTCAGTCATTTGAGTGGGCTTACTATGCAAAAAACATTGAAGCCTACCTACATATCTACCTACCTAATCAAATCCTGTTAATAATATTAGTATAAACCTGTTTTTTTACTGTTAAACTAGGTATATTTTTATTTCAATTTTTTAATATTTTTGTACCTAAGTATCTTTTTTAAACTTTAATGTAGATGACTTTGGAAATTTTACAAGATAATGACCCGAAGAAATAACTGATAAAAAAAAAATATATCAAAAAAAAATATTGCAGAAATACACACGAAGAAAGTTAGCCAAAAAGGTAATTTACGTTTTGTTTGTCTGTTAAAATATTTTAACACGTATCACTTACCTTCATCAAGCCCAAGTTGACAGTTGACACAGAATAAAAAATTTAATAAAAAAAATAAAAACATATTTTTTGTAGCCGCCATTTTTTCCGCGCGTTCGGCGGCCAGCGGCGAACTCTGCTTATTTGAAACTGACTTAATAACATTCTCAGGTGAATATTTATTATCAATCTGAAGATATAGAATAATATTATAGTTGTGTAGGTATTTATTATATTTATATGTTTATGTTCGTTCAAAAAGGTTCCAAAAGGTCATTAGCCGCGAATTCATATATTATGACCTGCAGTAATAAGATAATGGTTAATATTTTCCAAAAAAACTTGATTTAATTCGAAAAAGGGCTGCCCGTAAGGTGACCCTTTGGCTTTTATTAATCTTCGATGTATTAGGCATAAATATCCGTTTTTCTTTAAGTAATTATTAGTAAGGGTATTTAAGGTACTATATTGTATGCATTAGTTCCATTACGGCTTCTCACGTGTGCACACTATACTTTTCTTTATTATTAAATGATATGTTATGTTAGGTGATGTTATGTTACATCTTCCTCTTCAGTCACTCTATCCATTAAATAGAACCCGTCGCGTGAATTTTAAGATTTAAGCATTTGTTTTATTCTATGTAGAGATATTAATTAGGTGATATAGTATACTTGTCGTGTTTTTTTCTTTTTTTACTATCGGAAGACTGTGTCCTATCTTCGGACCAAACGCTTGATTTATGTACACCACTTTATGGTGCACTACTCTGAGACTGTGATAATGCCTTGATTAAATTCCGCCTTCAAGAAACGAGCATATTCCTTCTTAAAAGGCTGGCAACGCACCTGTGACTCCTCTGGTGTTGCGGATGTCCATGGGCGGCGCCAAACGCTTACCATCAGGTGATCCGTCAGCTCGTTTGCCACCTATTCCATAAAAAAAAAATCAGGCTGTGTATTGTGAAATGAATAAATGAGAGAATCTTAAATAATCAACAAATATGAATAACACAATTGAATTGAGGCCTTTTCGTCATTGACCTTTTAGGTAGTTAAAGGTTTCGGTATTACCTAGGGCTCAGAATACATAACAAACCAGAAGGCGTCATCGTGATTCAAACAGAAGCAACTAAAACCATTCTCAACTAGAATAGTATGAAATTTCTACGATTAGTCAATTTTGGCACGTGGCATGTCGTGACGTATTTACTACGTTATTACTACGAGTAAAATTGCGACTGGAATTACGAAAAAAGTGGATAAGATTACATAGTATATTTAAGACTGCAATAGTATATTTAATTAATTATTGATTTTTTTTTATCGATTTATTTTTCTATGAAAATGATGCGGCCATTTTGTGAGTGTTGTCATTTTTGGTAAAAATTTTACCCACTTATTTATTTGTTCTGGGTTATATTTTTGTCCATTCTGGAGCCTATGTCATATTAGTTTCCCTGACAAAAAAATAAATACAAATCATACAAAGGGCACGGTTAGATTAATTTTGGAAACCATCTAGCCAGAGCATAGTTTGCTCAATTCACTTTGAAGAGATATATTTATGACAAAGGGGGTTTGAAAACAGCATATCCTACTAAGATATATCTATACTTATTATAATGCTGAAGAGTTTGTTTGTTTGTTTGCTAGAATGCGCTAATCTCAGGAACTAAGTAAAGTAAGTAGACTTCTAATCTTTAGTTCCGAGTCTAAAGACAATACATATAAAAACTAAACCAGCAAAAGGGAACGCAATAAAACCTCTGTACTTATTGAAGCTTTATTTTATTTGTTGTGTATAGTAGGTGTAACTAAAATTAACAAATCCAGAAATCTTTCATTCTTTCTTTTCTTTCTTTATTGTTTTTGGACACATTTGACGATATGTAATTATGAGTGAACGCGGATTCTGGTTTGTTCTGTATTCTGAGACCTAGGGGTACTAATGAAGATAATGTTTTTTTTTATGAATTCGTCTCGGCAAAAGTTTGCGCTTATAACGGTTTTTACAAGATAAAGATAAAGACGGATAAGTTTTTTTTAATAGTCTCTGGATGGATCCCTCAAATCATGTATTTTTTTAGAAACCTTATTTCCCAACATTCCCTCTACATTTTTTTAATAAGTGGCAACGCTGAAACATTTCTAAAACTTTCTATCCTAAGAATCTTAAAAATAATTTGTTCTTGGGTTTTGCACTTAGCAACAGAAATACCGAATCATTTTTATACCTAGATTATGTTTGTATAAATACATACAACCTAAAAAAAATTGTCAATTAGTTAGAAAAAAGATTACCTAGTAGGTAATAAAATAGTGCAATTTTAACATTTTGTATGTAGGTACTATGATTTTACATATTTATTTAAGTTTCGTTGCATAAATATTTTCTATTATGACCAGTTGGATACAACAGTGTGTGTAAGCACCGGTACACTTAGAGATAGATAAATAATTAAATTGACAAATAAGAATCCCGTTGACTAATAAATAGCCAAACTATTTTTTTACGAGGCGTACCAATAGTAATTGTTTGTTCTAGGGCGATGTGACCCAGTATTTTTTTTATGTACTAGGTCGGCAAACGAGCAGACGGATTACCTGATGGTAAGCAATCAGCGCCGCCCATGGACACCCGCAACGGAGGAGTTACGTGTTGTTTCAAGTGTAAGTGTATCCTGTATACAAGTATCCCTCATATGGTTTAGATGTAACAAAAGATGTTATTTTATTTCTCTAGGTACGCAAAATATGTCTAATCTTTTTAAACGGTTTTTACTGTCTTTGACAGTAATGCGCCAAGAATGATTGCAGTACGGTGTCAAGACTGTACCTTGCTTCCATAAGCCTATTGGCAACTCAATGTGAAAGACATGTTTGAGCAAATGGCCTATTCAGCTTTAAATGGGATGAGACAGAGATGGATGGACGAAAGGATCAATAGCTATAAAGAGGATGATTATAATTATTATAGGTACCTAATATCTACAGATATCACTAGCATTTGCATAATTAGAACCAGGTGCCATGAAACTTTACGAAATGAAACCATAACATGCTGGTATCAAAGTGTAATATTTAGCCACTTATCAAGCCAAAGATCGTCTTGTTTCATGCGTTCTTCTGTCTCCTCAGGCCAGACGATGCTCTCGATCCAGGGCACGTAGTAAGAGACCCTGGTGTACATGCCAGCCGAGCCGGGGATGCCGCAGTTCTTGCCGTATGACGTCACACCTACCACTGTGTACTGACATTTGAACTGGTTCGTCTGGAGAGGACCACCGCTGTCACCCTGAAGAATAATTATAGTAAATTATGGTACAAGTGTGTAATGATGGTGATTACCGCTGAGGCGCATTGAGGCCCGAGCCATTAGGCGAGGGTCTTAAGGAGCTAAGGGCAGTAGCTATGCCTCAAAAATGGGGTATCTTTTTTTGGGCTTTTTGCGGTTAGCATTTTACCGTAAGAGTAAGCGTAACTCAACCAATAATATAAAAAAACTGTAACTGACTCGTGAATAATAGTAATGAAAAAGTCACAGTTTCATTATATGTAGATATGTAGGTGTCATTATGTGTCAAAGTGCCATGGAATGAAAGCCACTTTATGAGGAAGTGTGTTGAAAAAGATGATATTAGCCCGTTTGTCTTGATGAAACCTGAAGATTGAACATCGACAATTACTAGCGATACAAATTCACTTTATATCGATGTTTAGCGTCGTCCAGCATCTTGGTAAAACAAGGCTCACATCTCCAATAATAGTAGTTTCCTCTTAAATTAAAGAGGAATCTGCTTACTAAATCTAGTCTATAATTGGTAAAAGCTGCACAACGCGCACGCTGCACATGCACTACTGATAGATAGCTACGATGTTCCTGAGTGCTATAGGCTATGAAACATCACGCTACCATTAAATGGAGCCGAGCAGCGGGTGAAACCGCGCGAGAGTAGCTAGTTTTCCATAAAATAAGGAGGTATCTACTATCTGTACTTCAAATTCTGAAGTTAATAACAATACTCTATTGGTTGTCGTCTCTTCACTTATCGTTGCTGCTTTGGTAAAGTCCATTCTTAGGATAATTCTTGTACCTGGTTACAAATAAAATATTTCAGAGTATAAGTACCTCACAAGTATCAAATATCTCTTTGTGATTCCCGTAACACATTTGTTTTTCATGATCGTATCCGTGTTTCAGATGTCTGTGTGGTGGGAATAGATCCGCACATTCTTTATCTTCAAACTGCCGGAGGTCTACCTGTAATAAGAATTTAAATATACGCTAATCATTCTACTGGTGAAAAGAAATACAGGGTTGATAAACTGCTAAAGAAATTGTCAAATCAAATCAAAATCATTTATTCCAAATAAACCATAAATAGGTACTTTTGAAACGTCAAAATAGAATAGTAGTCTGTCAGTCTGTTCGTCAGTGAAGCTAGGTGCTCGTTCCAAATTGTAGTTTCGAATGGAGAAGAACGAGCAAGAAACTCCATCGTTACTCTTTTAAAAAAAATATTTGTTTTACAATTCATAAATAATACATTTTTTATACATTACTGTACCCCTATGTGAGAACAATGCAGAGACAAGTTGTTAATAAAAAGGAACAAATGATGGTCTATCTATCATTAAAATTTTAATCCTTTGTTGTCTCGAACATGGTGCTCACATATGCGTACTCACAATCCAAAAGAATGCTTCTATATAAACTCATTCAAGGTTTCATTAATTTTGAGAATTTCAATAACTAATGACTACATATTTGAGTATTGTCCAGTGGAGCCGAACCAACATGATGCCAGGCATTCTTGTCCTCAATATAATCTGAAAGTTTGTAGTATGCCTGTCTACATAATTCGCGTTTAATATAAGTTTTAAATTTTCGTTCATTAAGATTTAATACACTTCTTGGAATTTTATTGTAACAATTTACACAGAACCCCATAAAGGATTTCTGTACTTTGGACAGACGGAATCGTGGCACAGCCAGCCTATCTTTGCCTCTTGTATTAAAATTATGTCTATCGCTTCTTTTTTCAAATAATTGCAAATTTTTCCTTACGTACATAATGTTTTCATATATAAACTGACAAGGTACCGTTAGGATATTTATCGTTTTAAATAGTTCTCTCAGAGATTCACGAGGGGGCAAGTTATATATCGCTCGGATAGCCCGCTTTTGCAAAATAAATATTGAATCTACTTCCGCAGCTCGACCCCACAGCAAAATTCCGTACGACATAATGCTGTGAAAATAGCTAAAATAAACAAGCCTTGCTGTGTTCACGTCTGTGAGCTGTCTAATCTGTCTAACTGCAAAAACAGCTGAGCTCAGTCTTCCCGAAAGCGTCTTTATGTGGGAACCCCATTGAAGTTTATTGTCTAGCGTAATACCTAGGAACATAGTCTCGTTAACAAATTCTAACTTTTGCCCATTTAAAATTATGTCACAATCATTACTGTGTACGTTGGGCAAGCTAAATTTAATACATTTTGTTTTTTTCTCGTTAAGTGCTAAATTATTGACTGTAAACCAATTATGAACTTGATGAATGGATCTGTTTACTTCGTCAAAATTATTAACACGTCGACCTATTCTAAAAATTAATGATGTATCATCTGCAAACAGCACCATTCTTGGCTCAGTTTTAAATAGAAATGGCAAGTCATTAACATACACTAAGAAGAGAAACGGACCCAAAATTGAACCTTGCGGTACGCCAATTCTTATCTCAGAGCCCCGGGAGTTAGAACCACCTACATGAACTCTCAGCTGCCTATCCTCTAAATATGACTTTAGTAGACGGAGTGCAGTATGTCTAATCCCGTAATGATCTAATTTCAGCAAGAGTGTTTCATGATCAACGCAATCGAACGCCTTTGAGAGGTCGCAAAAGACACCAACAGCATCCTGTGCTTCCTCCCAAGCACCGAATACCTCCTTTATCAAAGTGACACCGGCGTCAGTTGTACAACGACCTTTAAACGTGAAACCGTATTGTTGGTGATGGAAGATGGCATGTTTATCAAAGTGATGAAGCATCCGAGATAGCATTAACTTTTCAAACACTTTGCTAAGAACCGGCAGAACAGACACAGGCCTATAGTTGTTTGGTTCCTTAGTGTCACCATTTTTGAATAATGGAATAACTTTACTGTATTTCATTAGGTTCGGGAAGACACCGTCATCTATACTTTTATTGAAAATCAAAGCCAGATACGGCGCTAAAGTTCGGATAAGTGATCCGCATACTTTCACCGATAGTCCCCAAAGGTCCTCAGTTGATTTGATCTTGATTTCTTTAAAAACCTTTATTATCTCTAAAGGATTGGTATAATGAAAACTAAAATCGTCTTTGCATGATTTGACATTTTCTCTAAGCAAAGTTAACGATAGTCTGGCTGATGATTCTAAATGAGCAGTTGTTGTGACAGGTATATTAGCAAAAAATGCCTCAAACTCCTGAGCTACATCTTTGCTTGACGAAATCTGTCCCCTTTGAGTGTTTAAACAAAATTCCGAATTTTTTAATCGTTTCCTACCTGTCTCATTCTGTATTATTTTCCACGTAGCCTTTATCTTGTCATCAGCAGATTTTATTTTATTACTGATGAAAAGTCGCTTTGCGGCTTTGCATACTATTCTAAATGTTTTTGAGTACAATTTTACATGTTGATGAAAAAGGGGGTCGCAATTGAATGGTTTCATGCCATAAAGTTCAAAAAGTTTATCTCTACTCTTACGAATACCTACGGTTGCCCAATCGCTAAACTGAAACTTAGAACAGATATCTTTACATTTCAATGGCAAAATAGCTTGAAATTCCCTATTTAACACCGCAAAAAATTTTTCGTATAACTTGCTCGGATTACTGACATCAAAATTTTGTACACTTAATTTAGTTGCTATTGAATCATTGAGTTTCTCTAAATTTTTATTTGTAATATGTCTAAACTTTATTTGAATTTTTTGTAAAGGCAAATAAGTGCTGTAAGTTACCACAAGACCACTGTGGTCAGAAGGTAAACTGTTTATAATTTTTTTTTCTAAATAGTTACTGTTACTAAAAATGTTATCAATACATGTGGCAGTGGATGGTGTTATCCTAGTCGGTTCTAGAAAAACATTTTTTAAATTAAATGATCCAAACAAATTTAATAGATCCATGCTGCCTGCATTGTTTTCCAATAAATTAATGTTAAAATCGCCACATACAAGTACTGATTTATGGCTAGAACATACCTTCTTCAAAACATCTTCCATTACTGAATCAAACACTGCAAGATTCTGATAATTAGGTGGTCTATAAACACAAACAACAACATGTTTATCCAGCTCAACACAGGACAACTCAATAGTGTGTTCAACTGACAGTGCTACAATATCTTTCCTTTCTTTGGACTTAATGCTATTTTTAACTAAAATTAAGGACCCACCATGTAACATATACTTTCTATTAAAATTACTTATTACAATATAATTATCAAAATTAAAAGATATTAATTGGTCCTCTTTCATCCAATGTTCCGCTAAACACACAATATCAAATTGTGTTTTCTCGAGGAACATTTCTAATTCAAATAATTTAGAGGAGCAGCCCTGAATATTAATATAAAATAAGATAAGATTGTGCTGCCCCTGAGCCTGTGTAACAACATTTGATATGAGTTTTTTTTTGCCAGAATATACCTTACTACTAACATTATATATGGTCGTATGTTCTGTTGTCTTAAAATCTAGTTTAAATCTATCACTGTGTTGTTAGGTAGCCTAGACAGCACAGATTCGTCCCTAAAACTAATATCTGTTATATTTTTTATAACAGAGTTAATATTGAATGCTATTAGCATAGCAAGTGTTTTTCTATATGTGTTTGAGAGGGATATGCCTCTCTCTGTCAATATAAAATCACTAATAAATTTATTAGTATCAAAAAAAATTAATTTGTCACTATGACAACATGTCAATTGGTGTAGCGTACTGTTAAGTACACCTAAATGTCTATTTTTGGAGTCTGTTAAGGTACTCGAATAGGGAAATGCACAAAGTATTATTTTTCCCAATTTTAATTTTAATAAAGTGTCCACACCGTTTATAATGTCGCTTTTTTTACATCCAAACTGTTACCTACTAATAAAACTAATATTGATTTTTCATTATATTCAGTCTGAGTTATTTTTTCTATAATCTTATTGTAACTCAGACTATGATAACTATTGTTAATGTAATTATGGTCTAAGTGACCATATATCATGTTACCCAAACCAGATGTAAGCTGGTCCCCATATATTAATGCTGGATATATTAATGCTGTCAGGAAAAAGTTTGTGTGTTGATAAACTTTATACTTACTACAATATTTTTGAGATGGTTAATATTCTATTTCGATTCCTTATTGATATTTAAAAACAGTATTTATTAATAATAGTAACTTACAACTTGCAATGCATCAGCTAAATTCATTTTATGACCCAAACGGCCCCAACCGGAAGCTTCAACCGTATGTAAATTGCTTTTTCCCACATCCAGACACGCCGGCAGAAGATTTTTTGCAAACTTTATTCTGTAATATAATCAATAATTACGTGACTTTTACTTCGCCCAGTAACAGTTCATTCTATAAAAGCTGGACCCAATACTGTTCCCTGGAGAACACCAATAGTAATATAGTATTAAGTTTAGTTACTGGTATTGATAATATTTTTTATGATTGGTAAACGAAAATGTGCAAAGTTTTTCTATTACCAGTAGGCACAGAGTAATCAAAGTTACAAAATATTCATAGTTTTTCTCATAAAATTTACCATCAGCTCTATCAAATGCCTTTGCAACTACATAGAAACATTTTTTTAAAAGAACTATTTAGAAATAAAACAAGTTCTTAGTCAGTAAAATAAAAATAAAATGCTTACTCGGTTTCGGTTTCCAAAAGTGCGATATCATGGTATTTGGAAGGAGCACTGTATTCAGGATGGGGAATGATCCTCTTGATTTTATGTATGTTCCATAACTCCTTCGAGTCAGTACGTTTTAGCAGTCCAAGTGCAGCATATGAAACGTTGCCTCTAGAATTTTCGAAACGTTAAAAGGATGAAAATCAGGAATCTAGGATTATTTGTAAATTAAGTATAACACCAACTGAAACTTACAAAGCTTTGGTATATATGCAGTGTGCAGCAGTGAGTATGAATCTCTCGCTGATCACAGTTCCTCCACACAACCATTGCGTGGATTCTGATTTCTCGTCATCCCCATATCCTAGTAAAGCCTTAAACAGAGTGCAAAAATTAAACAATATTTAAAACACGGAGCGCGAAGAAGTAGATGCGACTGATTGCTTACCATAACAAGCATAAATGAATGTACACAAACTACAAAATTACGGGACGATGAATGACAGCAGTGGACATCGCTAAACGCGAAGTCAACGTCGCGTCTGCTCAACGTTGACGTCGCGTTTGTTGGCAACAAATGTATGCCAAAGATTACACTTGATAGAGAAGTAATTGTACCTACTAGTAAAAAGGTAATTTTGTTTGTTTAACGTTACCAACATTATGATAATGTTCACATCTTATGAATGGACAGGAATCGAAGGAGCGCTTTGCTTTGATACGAAGGCAGCTCCACCTGAACGCTACTACATTATCACAGAAAACCGGCGTTAAACAAAGCTAGGCAAGTCCAAGTAAGCCTTCTCATCCTCAAATTTTGAATCTCCGGTAAAGGGGGGTAAAGGTAAGTAACCTTTACCTTTACAATATTTAAAACAAGGAGCGCGAACAAGTAGATGCGACTGATTGCTTACCATAACAAGCATAAATGAATGTACACAAACTACAAAATTAACGCGAAGTCAACGTCGCTTCTGCACGTCGATTCTATAAAATTTGTTTGATTTTGAATCGTGTTCGAGTGCGAAGTGAGCGTCGAAGTGACGGGTAAATTAAATTTTTGAATGCCACTTTTAACGTCATTTCATACTTTATCTTTCAAAATGATGCTGTCAATTTAGTTCAACTCGCAAGTGTAGCGCTAGTGTACTACTCACGGCGGATTCAAATTCGAAATTTAGAATGAAGTCTTACAGAATCACACTGCTGCTCAACGTTGACGTCGCGTTTGTTGGCAACAAATGTATGCCAAAGATTACACTTGATAGAAAAGTAATTGTACCTACTAGTAAAACTGTAATTTTGTTTGTTTAACATTATCAACATTATGATAATGTTCACATCTTATGGATGAAGAGCACTTTGCTTTGGAACGAATGAGGCAGCTCCATCTGAACGCTACCACAGTATCACAGAAACCCGGCGTTAAACAAAGCTTGAGTAAGTGCGTTTGCCAGAGGTCTAGTCCAAGTAAGCCTTCTCATCCTCAAATTTTGAATCTCCGGTAAAGGTTATCTGATAGATACTTACCATATGAGGGAATTCCCATCTTTGTGCACTTCTTCCTCCAACCACGAGGGCTATATTTATCTTGTACTCATGACACCGTTTATCTTCTTTCCATATCTTTTTTAGCTCGAAATTTCCTTGATGTCGACATGGGTATGGCAGGCGTTGGAAATATTCTAGGCATTCTAAATAAGAGCAAAGCTTCGAGAGCCTATTTGTTTAGACATCGACTGTGCATTTGAATACATGTACTACTTATTTAGAGATGTAGACAGCAAAATCTAATTAAAACCTAGAAAATTCGAATAAATTACTTACTAGACCAAGCAACTGGGCCTGTAGTATCAACAAGTGTTGCTAGAGGGCCTATGGCGGTATGACGATATCTGAAAAAATGAATTACAACATATTAATATGGATCATTATTTACTTTCATATTCTATACGGTTTCAACCGCTGCTTGACTCCTATGGTCACGGTTGTCCTTACCGTTCTGTATCAGGAATTTTACAATCAGTGCAGCAGACTATAGGTACATTGTTCCTATATGAACAAATGTCAGGTAGCTCTGGATAATTATACTTCTCTCTAGCGAAACCAGCGTTAGCCTGAAATATACGATGATCATTTATATTGATTCATATTTAATCTATAAAAAAAGAAATATTCGAGAATGAGAACTCATTTATTGTGCTATATTTAATCTTTATTTATCAAGACCAAGAGATGTTGAAATTGAACAGGAATATTTGGTAAAGCGCTGTAGCCCAAAAATTAAAAACAATATCACTTTTCGTTCCTAAGTGAACAATTATCATCTCATCTCTCATTCGTAATTAGTTAGCGTTGCAATTACCACGTACTTACTGAAGTATTGAGAAGTAATGAATAGTTCAATACTAACATAGAGATAAGTCAATGATGCGGAGGGGCACCGAAATACTCCAACACACGTTCCGTTTACACCATTTGTGACGCAAGGTTCATCTGTGACACAGCAATTAATTTAGATAAAGATACTGAAAAGGTTAACATGTATGGGCATCAAAATCTTGCATTCACAGCAATTCTAAATTAAACTAATAAATTAATTATGATGTTTAACGACTTACTCATGTGACTGAATGACGAGGAACTCGACTAATTTCAAGCCACTTTAGAGGCTCATGTTCATAATTAGTATTCAGCTACTCGAAGAATACTAGGTATACACGAAGCAACGAATAATGTGCAGCTAAAGGTAGCCGAAGAACACAATAATTTATTTGATATGTCTTAAGAAGTTATAGTTAGTTGACGCAAAAATGCTATGACGTCATAATTCAAAGTTTCATACAATTTTCATAGAAAAGTATCGTTTTGACATTTGGATAAAAGTATTGAATTTGACTAGTTGGAAACAACCGTATTGCGACACGGCGTTATATTATGCTTTGAATGTTTTATACATCGTCTGAGTAAAATATGCTTTCAGATAGCACATTGGGTGCGACTTAATCTCATCCTATTCACCTCAAGGTGGTTGAGATTGAGGTTAGGTTTTACAAATAAATAGTTGTGTTACATATGATGATTTATATCACTAAAAAAAGGACTTACCTTCTTGAAGATTCAGTTCACACGACACAAAACAGAGAAACGTTAATACACACACCAAAATTCTAATATTTGCGGCCATATTATGCGAAGCCTCAAAGCAAAATGGTAAACTTAATGGCCAAACTTGCGCAAAAAACATGCTATTCATCGTTTGTTCATAATAGTTAATTAATAATAATGTTTGAAAATCGTGATGTAGATAGATTGATAATGAATGGGCAGAGCCAATACCTACACATCTAATAATCTTTAATCACTTTATCGATATCTACGCCTCGTATTCTTTATTGTTGTGAGTCGTGATGTCCTTTACGAATCAGTTTTTCCGGGTTATAGTGTTCCAGGTATCCTTACTTCGCTTGATTTCAATGGTATCGTGAATCCTAATAGATAATTAGCTGCGGTTTCAAACACTACACTAAACCCTCCTACAGAGCCAATGATCATTAGTTTTTCCCAGATCACCGTTATTCTTCCAGCCATACGCTGGACTCAAACAAAACATTTTGATGGGGAGACGAGAGTTAGGTAGTTGATGTGACTTCTTTCAATATTGTTGCGTTGGTCCAACATTCTAACAAAGGTAATACAAACATTAAAGACTATCAAATTTTTATATTGGAAGCCTATGTTATTGCTGATGGTTTTATTTTATTCCACGGATCCGGTGTCCAAGCCGTTGAGGCCTCCTAGGTTTATAACGAGCTATGTGTTATAAGATAAACAGAATGGGCAATAGTAGCCTTAAAGAACTCCTTCACCGAAAAATATGCAGTATGCATCTTGCATCGCTTATACCACGAAGAGTGAACAAAGGAATTATTTGGCTTGTTCCCTGTGCAAGGTGAATAAACAGTGTGTCTTGGAAAATGTCTGGTTCGTACACCAAAGCTTTGTATGAACTGTCGGCGGCATTATTTACTGATCTAACTTTTGTACCGCCAAAAAAGCTCGTAAAAGACCGGAAGCCTCCTATCGATAACCACTGAGGTTATGGATTGGAGGCGGCGCTGATTGCTCACCATAAAGTAACCCTCTGTCCTGTTTGCCTCTTATGCCATACAAAAATGTGTTTACAAATTACAGCGTTACAATAATTAGAGAACCATAAAATTTTAAAATTATTTTATTAAACAATGTTTTGATAGCTACTAAGTTGTAATATTTAGCCACTTATCAAGCCAAAGATTGTCTTGTTTCATGCGTTCTTCTGTCTCCTCAGGCCAGACGATGCTCTCGATCCAGGGCACGTAGTAAGAGACCCTGGTGTACATGCCAGCCGAGCCGGGGATGCCGCAGTTCTTGCCGTATGACGTCACACCGACCACTGTGTACTGACATTTGAACTGGTTCGTCTGGAGAGGACCACCGCTGTCACCCTGAAGAATAAAAAAATACAAGTGACTTGCATTGATTTTGATTAAAAACGATTAAAAATCAGATTATTTATTTAGTTCATAGCCCATTATTGATTACGTTCGTACCTCACAAGTATCGATTATATCTCCATTATTTCCATAACACGATTGTTTTTCACTATCGTATCCGTGTTTCAAATGTCTGTGCGGCGGAAAATGATTCGCACACGTGGCATCATCAAACTTCTGGAGTACCACCTGTAATATTATGAATTGAAGTATTAATATAAATCAAAAGCAGTTTATAAAAAAAGCTTTTTAAAATTTTAAATAATCATCGTAATCAGATTAGTTGGAAGGTAGGTTAATTTAAAACCATTAAAATCTCGTTTTTCTGAACAAACACAAAGCCAAAATCATTTATTCCAAATAACCTATATACCTATACTAGTGTATGGGTTGCCTTTTGAAAAGTCAAAATAAAATAGTCATAAGTCTTTAGAGGTATGAGGAACAGGGTGGAAAGTTCCTCATCCTCCATTGAAAAGGGAGGATCCTCCGACCAGGCGAGGTGTTCGTGCCTGGTGGGCTACTGCCCAACAGTTGTTGTCGGGATATCTGTATGGGTGCTAATTGTGTGGAAAACTCTTATAGCGCGATGTAGACTCTTGCACGTGATTGGTGCTGTTGTTAAAGTAGTGCGCTAGATGTCGCTACATCACTCCCCTCCGAGACCGGAGGTCGTTAGCAGGTTGAGTCGTCTGAATGTCTTGTCTTGTCGAGCCAGTTGATGGTTCCAGTGCGTGGGAACCGCTGCCGCATAGTTCACGGTGAGTCGGAACTGTCTGCGGGGATGCCCCAGTGTGTCGGGGTGTTGCAGTGCTGAAGAGTGGCTGGCTGCTGCGTCGACCAGGAGAGGGAGTACGTCTCTGCTTGCTGACCGGCCGGTGCAGTATGCTGTGCCGAAGTTGCTGATGAGGCTGTAGGTGCTGACCAGGAATGCGCGTCGGCTGCATGCTGGTGGTCAGGGAACCCGTTGTAGCCGTGGAAGCTGGCTGACAGTAGACTCGCTGCTTGAAAGCTCGAGGAAGTGATGACGTCATGGCTATGAAGTAGTTGAACGAAGGCTGCATTGATGTTCATGCTCGGGGTCACCAGTTTAGAGGTATGAGGAACAGGGTGGAAAGTTCCTCATCCTCCATTGAAAAGGGAGGATCCTCCGACCAGGCGAGGTGTTCGTGCCTGGTGGGCTACTGCCCAACAGTTGTTGTCGGGATATCTGTATGGGTGCTAATTGTGTGGAAAACTCTTATAGCGCGATGTAGACTCTTGCACGTGATTGGTGCTGTTGTTAAAGTAGTGCGCTAGATGTCACTACAAGTCCATCAGTCTGTACGCCAGTGATGATTCTAAAGTATAAATTCGAATGGAGAAGAACAAACAAGAAACTCCATCGTTACTCTTACCTCCACAGCTACCCAAATAGGTTATCAGTTCCCTAAAGCGAAACTGATTATGTGTTGGTCAGCGACTGAGAATTAAAACAACAAAATGTTATTACTTACTACTTGCAACGTATCAGCTAAACTCTTCCTATGACCCAAACGGCCCCAACCAGAAGCCTCGGCAGTGTTTTCTTTATTCGTACCTGTATCAAGACATGCTGGCAGCAGATTTTTACCAAAGTTTATCCTAAAACATATATGATCATTAAATATATTTTAAGGTAGTATTACTTAGTTATTTATTATATACTTTCTAGTAAACCACATAGTTACCTAGGATAACTTACAAATATCCAGTGTACAATGGGTGGTCTTTTCGTACAAGACGATCTTTTACAGTAACATAGGGCACAGTAGTAACATAGTACAATTAAAACGTCTACAAAACGGGCCTAATACGGTGCCTTGTGGAAAACCGTTGATATAAAAGTATATAATTTATAAATAGAGAGCTATTTCTATCTGAGATAGTGATTTAGTATTTTTCCGTTAATTATGTACATTTTTGTTATGAAAGTTATATGATATGATTTTGATTTTACTGGAAAAATCTACAATTAGCTTTATCAAACGCTTTCGCAATGTAAGAGAAACCATATTATTACTTTTCAAGCAAAATTAAAATAAAATGCTTACTCGGTTTCGGTTTCCAAAAGTGCGATATCATGGTATTTGGAAGGAGCACTGTATTCAGGATGAGGAATGATTCTCTTGATTTTATGTATGTTCCATAACTCCTTCGGATCAGTACGTTTTAGCAGTCCAAGTGCAGCATATGACACGTTGCCCCTTGAATAAACAAAATTAGTGATACAAAGGATTGGCAGATTTCAGCATGATTGACAAATTTTACATATTGTGTTTTTTTTCATTAGGTACTTCTCAGTACACATTTCTATGCTTTAATATAACCATCATTTTTATTTTGTTTCTTCAGCGGAATGTTAATCCGAACTAATATTATAAATGCGAAAGTAACTCTGCCTGTCTTTTCTTCACGTCTTAACATAAGTTTGGGACATAAGATTTTTGAAGAGTTTTTAAACCAAAAATCAGCAGGAAGTCACTTCCACGCAAACAAAAGTTAAGTAGTATACGAATAAAAAAAGAAAAGGAATCTGTGTTGATAATTAAACCTTTCACGTCAAAATGAAGGCATCGTTCGTGCAGCGAATTATATGATGGTACAGAAACTCACAAAGCTTTTGTAGATATGCAGTGTGCAGCAGTGAGTATGAATCTTTCGCTGATCACGGTTCCTCCACACAACCATTGTGCGGAGTTCTCGTCATCTCCATATCCTAGAAGAGCCTAAAATTATTAGAAGTATAAATTAGAAATTAATCATTCAAGTTCACACTTACAAAATATTTTTATTTGCTAAACAAAAAAGGGAATATGTCTCAACTCTATTTAATGAATAAAATAAAAATATGAATATATTTGAGCATAATGAAAGTCGCCTTAAAGAGACAAAAACGTGAACCTTTGACTAAGTTGGGGAAATGTTATGATGAACATTATGGACACCCACTATACCGAAGAATTTATGAGTGCGTTGCCTGCCTTTTGGGGATAAGGGTTTCGGATATTTAAGAATTGGGAAGGAATGGGGGAGGGGAGTGATTGGATGGTACAATAAGTAAATGACGTTTCGCACGCATTTTGGATTCAGTGTTTGAAACTTAATATTATTCGCAACGCCTGTTAGTCGTTTCTGTATAATAATAATATCTGCTCTTACCATATGAGGAAATTCCCATCTTTGAGCATCTCTTCCTCCAACTGCTAATGCGTTCTGTAACTGGTACACATGACATTTTTTATCTGCTTTCCAGATTTTTTTCACTTGAAAATTCCCTACTCCCCGACATGGGTAAGGTAGATCCTTTAAATAGTCTAGACATTCTAAAAAGAAAGATAAAAGAAGAAGTTAAAAAATAATAATAAGAATATATTTTGAAAAAAAAAAAGTGTAGTATTTAACTTACTGGACCAAGCAATCGGGCCGTTATTATCCCTAGGAATCCCTAGAGGTCCAATAGAAGTATGACGGAATCTGAAATAAGGATTTAATTCTTGATGATTATGAAGTATATGCACAGAAGGCTTAGGTACATTTTAATTCTGCCTGCTGTTGGGACTGACTCGATGGTGAAGCGCGTCTGGAATGTTACGGAAGTTAGAATAGATGACTTCTATGTCATTTTATGCAAGTGATGTGCATCCATGATTTGATGATTTCTGAAGTCTCCTATGCCTTAGGGAATTAGACAATATTGCATCTATTATGTGTATAACATAGTAGGTTTCAGACTGTCAGCCATTTCTAGTCCGAAAAAAAATCTATAAATACAGACATTCGACAGAGTGGCTCAACACAAAGCACAGGTCCCTGTGCTTTGTGTTGAGCTTGGTTTAGCTTTGTGCCTTTTTGTACTTACGGCTCATCTTTAGAAATATTACAATCAGTACAGCAAACTACAGGTTCCTTGTTCTTATAAGAGCAAATTTCTGGTAGATCCGGGTAGTCATATATTGTGTCAGGTGACTTGATGTATCCCGCATTGGCCTGAAAACAAGGAGAATGTATTTATTGACATTTAAATTTGTGCTGTGGGCATCCGTTACATAAAAGACGTCTTCTCAGAATATCAAGAAGATTTAAAAAGGCTGTTTAATCCTTTGACCGCCATGGTCGGCCATATCGGACAAAACAAAATATATTGGAATATGACATTTTTTGGTCGGCTATGCTCGATATTGGCGTAATAGTAAATTTTTAGTCAAAAGGTTAAAAGGTTCGGATATAGGATAGACTGCTGTCTGAAGATAACTTAGCAGTCCAATTAAACACCTAGATAACACAGACATGACTGTGTTGACATTCTGCTTAGCAGTATGTCAAGCTGCAGTATATTATGGATTCAATACTATTGTATCCTACTTTTAAAGTGGAATAGACAATGGAGTCAGAATTTTTATAACGATACTTACATAAAGGTAAGTCAAAGATGCGGTAGGGCACCGAAATACTCCAACGCACGTTCCGTTTAGACCGCTAGTTACGCAAGGTTCATCTGTAACAAAGCAAATCTAAATAAATTAGAACAAGACTTCTTCGACTGTCCCGTTGCTGAATATATAAGCTTATTTTTTGAGGAGGGAAAATCATCAAATCACTCCTCTCGCTCAGGGTATGGTGTCAGACTGCTAGCGACTAAAAATCTTTCCGTGTTTTCCCCACCTCCAGTCTGAGGCTCCGCCCACAGACTTTAATAGCTGTCTGTTAGGGGGTATGTTTTTTTTCAATTACTTTGAACGTCAAGAAAAAAATTAAAAAAGAATTTCTTGTCTGTCCGCCTGTCCTCTAGTGAAGCTATTTGCTCGTTCCAAAGTGTATATTCTAGTGTTGCCCAAATTCAGTCTTGGTCTTGCAGTCTTGGTCTTGTTCTTGCGTTTTTGCAAGACCAAGACCAAGAACAAGACCCCGTATTTTTAGCAAGACCAAGACCAAGACTGACCGTGCAAGACTTGAGCAAGAACAAGACTTAGCCTGCAAGACTCTTGCGTCTTGCAGCTAGGACTTAGCGCTATTTCACTGAGTAGTGTACCTAGCAGTTCGGTGTAAAGGTAGGTACACTTAGGAATTCTATGAGACGCAAAAAACTGTATCAAAGAATATGAAAAACTGGACCTATGCGCATTACGACTAATACCATAAACATAGCGAATAAAAAAATATCTATTAAAATCAAACTGAGTGCATGCATAGTTATGTTTTAACCATCGGCACTTTGATAATGCGGCATCAAAGGTTTTGTACTTACTTCTCAAAGAAATTTGCCGCTTTTCGGAAGTACATGGTTATGATACACACGCCGGCTTCGCGGCTTCTTTTGAAATCTAAAACAATCGTTGCCGCCACCCCGAAATCATAACATTTGACACTATTTGATTGCCGCCATAGGGCGTAGGTAAACTCATGCAAAATAATTTCGAATTTTAAGATAGTCCGGTCAATTTAGGCCTAAAATAAGGAGGAAGGTTACATAAATTCATAAGAAGCTGAAAATTGCCACAATTGTTCAAAACATGATTATAAATGAAACCTCAAAAGTCCCCATCGTACCGAGGTGTGCTAAAAATTTTACACGAGGTCAAAGGTCAATAAAATGAGTTTTTTGCGATTTTAAGTGAAACGGTGAGTTTTTTCGCAAAATCACCCCAGTACAAAATTGAAGATCAGAAAATTCTCTACAAAAAATAAATCAATAATTTTTTTCCTAAAAGCCACCATTTTGAAGATATAACGCGTTGAAAAGTTCGATCATTGGTAATCTTCATACTTTGCACATGTACGCCACGTATGAATATCACTTATAAGGTGTTATAACTTAAATTAATTTGCTATTGGTGATTGTAACTTATTTCTGTACAATATAAGTTAAAATATGAAAATCTCAGGTATAATAAACCCCCGTTCCTAAACTTGTACATCAGTGTAACCTTGGGATAACATCTGTCTTTTATTCTATTGTCTGCGTTTTCAAAATGTTTGAAAAAAAAGACTTACTTCAATGTGCTAAAGTTTTTAAAAATAGTGACTCAACTCAACCAGACGTTATCAACAGAGGAATTCAATTTCTTCTCCTAAAAAAACCACTTGCTTAGATAAGTTGCGATACCTACGCAACTTTTGTTAAAAATACGCGTAATAAAAAGCAAGTACAATTAGCTTCTTTACCTCCAACCTCAGTAGCTGCTCACCAACATTTATTTCGGGTGTATTACCAAGTTTAAGTGTGACTTGGTAATCAGCTGGACCCTAAAGACTGGGGTTGGAAGTTGGTCGACACTACATTAGAGCCAGTTCTAACTTTACTTCCACCAGCACCTGAGAATCTTCTCAACTCAATATTTTGCAACTGTAAAAAAGGTTGTAATGCTAAATGCGGATGCAGAAAAGTTGGACTGTTTTGTTCCCTGGCATGCACAAACTGTCAAGGCCGATCGTGCTCTAATGTTGAGTCAGCTAATCTCGAAGACTCATTTGATACCGATGAGGAATCGCTAGTGGGACAGTTGCTCTGTGAAATAGAAGAAAAAGAAGAAGAAGAAGAACAGGAATAAGAACAAGAAGAAGACGAAGAACAAGAAACAATAATCCTGGAAAATTACGAATCAGACGAAGAAGATTAATCATTTTATTTTCAATTGCACCGCCATTATTTTAACCAACCGATATATACAATAATATTTTACAATAGTTTTTAAACAAATAAAATCACTGCAGACCCGTGGAATAGGTCTACAGGGGATACCACGTTAAAATAAAACGCGCTAAGTACACTACCTCATAGGTGGCGTGGAAACGTGTGCTAAGTATGAAGATTACCGATGATCGAACTTTTCAACGCATTATATCTTCAAAATGGTGGCATTTAGGAAAAAAAATATTGATTTCTTTTTTGTAGAGAATTTTCTGATCTACAATTTTGTACTAGGGTGATTTTGCGAAAAAACTCACCGTTTCGCTTAAAATCGCAAAAAACTCATTTTTTGACCTTTGACGTCGTGTAAAATTTTTAGCACACCTTAGAACGATGGGGACTTTTGAGGTTTCATTTATAATCATGTTTTGAACAATTGTGCCAGTTTTCAGCTTCTTATGAATTTATGTAACCTTGAATGTATAAATTGACCGGACTAAGAGTACCTACAGGTGTTCCTAGACTAATGAAGTTTCAGAGTGCTTAGAATGAAAATGAATACATTATACTGATAGCAAGTAGTATGTATTATGATTAGGATAAAATGGTAAGTATAGGTAGTAGATGTCATATTAATTCATTCTAGTAAGTATATATTATAATATTGATTACTTATATGGTTTTAAACTAATTACTTAGGTACTATTATTGTACATTTAGTCATTATATTTCTTAAGATTTTACAAGAAAAAATAACAAAATAGTGTTCAAATATCACCCGTTTAATAAATATTGTAGCCACTTTTAAATATACTTGAAACTGCTGAGAGGTTATTTTCTAAAGCATCATTAGTAATTAGTAATTAGTAATTAGAAAACATAGAAATAGGTCAAGTGATGAGTCAGCCAGATGGTTACTTTGTATTAATTCTTGGTCAAAAAAATTGATATAAAGTATCATAACCTAATGATAAAGCTGTTGATTTGTGTTGTATTTTATTTTTTATTCAAATAAATGATAAATTGTAAAACTCTTTTATTAAATTTCTTATAACTTGAGGGTTCAATCTCTTTCTAGACAGATAAGTATTGTTCTTTAAAATACAGTCAAGTTATATTGTAATTAATTTGTTTTTTTACATGTTTTAGCAAATGTAAGCTAATAAATCATAAATGTTTATTAAGAAACAGTTACTTCCATGGAAAACGACATCAGTAGATTTTTCGAATTTCTTATCAAATATTCAGTTATTTATTTATCTGCTTGGTCTTTACTATGGCTATGTTAATTCAAGCTCACAATGTTCCAATTCTAATACGTTTTTCTAAGATTTAAAGTAAACTTTAATAAATAGTAATAGATTAATAGGTAATTGCAAGACTTGCAAGACTCTTGCTGCAAGACCAAGACCAAGACCAAGACTGGGAGCGCAAGACCAAGACCAAGACCAAGACCAGGTGTATTGGCGCAAGACCAAGACCAAGACTGGCTAAGTCTCGTCTTGTTCTTGCATTTGGGCAACACTTATTCCTATGGAGAAGAACGAGCAAGAAACTCCATGGTTCCTCTTTTCCAATTAGTTTTACAATACATTTATTTGTTACATCATTTAGTCGGTTCTGATATGTGAGAACAGTGTAACACTAATGTTTAGGCAAAAAATACGAAAAAGAAGTTAACCTTAAGGACAACATATTTAGACAGCCTGGAGATGACTAGTCCCAATAGGCGGCGCCCGTTCACGAACACGTACACCAGCACCGCCCAACTCAACCATATGATAGGGAATTGAGCGATCCAGTGCCCGTATGAATCGGACACTTAAGCCACAAGACGTCCACTGGAGAGCATAAGCCTTCTAGTTCAGTCCCCTCTATGGCTTCCATTTCGGTTGAATCGACTGCCTGGCAAGTGCAGTGCAGGTAAAGTCGCCATTAAGAAACCGACTTGAGAAAATGTTTGGGTAAAAAGGCCAGATACTAGATAGAAGATACATCGTTGAAAACTGTATGTTGGAATGATAGGAGTATTTTTATGCGATATGGCGGCAAACGAGCATTCGGATTACACCGGAGCAGTTACGAGTGCGTTGGCGGCTCCTTGAGAATTAAGGTTTTGGAAATTTAGACTGCTGCTGCTGACTAGGTTTTTTTATGTCATAATGTCGGCAAACGAGTAGACGGATTACCTGATGGTAAGCAATCAGCGTCGCCCATGGACACCCGCAACGAAGGAGTTACGAGTGCGTTGCCGACCTTTGAGGTATTAGGGTGTTGGAGATTTAGGGATCGGGGGAGGGGAAGGATTGGGCCTCCGATAACCTCACTCACACACGTTGGTTTCTGTGATTCCGTGGTATCATTCCGGTCGTGCCGACCCATTTGTCCCAAAGCTTGATTCTCCCACACTTGAAGTGTTATGTTTTTTTTTTTTTTGGTGTCGGGTTGGAAAATCCTCATAGAGACCCATCGCCCTCGGGGAAGGGCGAAGGGACTGTCAGACTCTTACTGACTAAAAACCATCCCGGTGTTCCTCCAATAACCCATGTGTCGGAGGGGCGGGTATCGCCGAAGCATTCGTAGCAACCCCCCGACGGGTGTTGGCCCGCCAGATAGTAAGGCGGGCCCCGTCACCCACTGCGGCCGTCACCCCGACCGCAGGACTCCACTATGAGGCGCGCGCGGAACACGGCGCCGCCGCCTCGAGGCCTGCTGCTGGTCAGACGACAAGACGCCCCGAGTCTGTCGTCCACAGGCCGCGCCCTACGGTGGCCGCAGGTCGGCCACCCTACGACCTGCTGCGGGAGGGGAGAGAGGAGGCAGCCTCTCTCTCCCTTTCCGCCGCCTCCTTTGCGAGCATCACGGCCTCGCAGAAGGTAGCGACGGTACTCCACCCTGACTCGCTCCCGACCATAGTAGACACTACAGCCGGAAGCGAGAGATTTCCCGCAGCACCTACGGCAAGTGTTATGTCGTTCGTGAAGGCAAGATCGTAAAGTGTCGGAGTCTAAAAAGCCTATGTTCTTCTTTATCCAGACGCTGGGCAATGTTAATTACAAGTCATTCACCCTTATGATGGACAGGCCAGATGAACCGATAAAGGTCGTAGGAAGCCGGTGCATGCAAGTCACATTCAGTACATTGTTAATAAGATGCAAATCTCAAGGGTCACGTGTCAACACGTGTTGATTTCAATATCATTGCATTTAATACAAAACAAAGTTTCTCTATTAAAGCGAGATAAACTCTTAAACGATTGAACTTATTACAAGTATTGAGAGACTGGGTAAGATAAGTATTACAAAATATTTTTATTAATATTTATCATGATTAGAATTATTATTTACCTACTAGCTTTTACTCGCGACTCCGTTCGCGTGGAATAGTGACTTCCTGCAGATTTTTGGTATAAAAACTATCCTATGTCCTTTCTCGAGTTCCAAACTATTTCTGTACCAAATTTCACAGAAAACGGATCAGTAGTTTAGGCGTGAAGAAAAGACAGACAGACAGACAGAGTTACTTTCGTATTTATAATATTAGTTTGGATAGATCAATTCATCTGACACATACTTACGGCAGGACCTTCTGCCTCTGACATTGGAATTGTTTTGCAAAAAAATGCTTATTTTTTTAGGTCCAATAAAAACCTAAGAACGTATATTTTTAATCATCTATAAAATGATGATATTGTTATACTTTGTAACAAACCAAAAAGCCTTCAGTATGAAAATAGCATGATTGATTTTTCGATTATAGGATTAATAACTAGGGCACCGACTTACTTTTAATATGGTCGTAAACCATACGGTAACTTTAGATAAAGGCTTACTTGACACCTAATTACATTGAAATAGTCAAAAATCTTACCTTCTTCGAGATTTAATTCACACAAAACAAAACATAGAGAAGTTAAAAACAACAATGTTCTATAAATATTTCCGCCCATATCTTACGAAGACTCAGAGCGAAATGATAAAAACAAAGCTCATGCTTGCATAAAACAAGTTTATACATTACATTAACAACATGTTTAATTAATATTATTGGATGAGAATCGTGATGTGTCTGGAATTTTATAGATTTAAACTATAGTCTACCTGCTTACCAATGGATTATATAGGTATATTAATGGATTAGATCTCCCTTTAAATTATTAAGAAAGATTTTTGATAACGATTGTTTGTAGTAAGATTTTTATACAGCTTTTGTACCTAAATGCAAAAATCCGGTTTTCATTAATATCATAATCGTCAATTTGTTGTTTTTTCTTTGTATTTTTATTCCGAATGTCGATTGAAAGTCTGCGAAGTGACCTAGATAAATAAGTGCCAAAATAACAGCATCTGTAGCTATTGCCTTGTAAATGCACCCTCAAAAATTATCATGAATTCGTTTTTTTATGTTATGATTATTACTCGGCAAAGAAGCGTATGTGCCATCTGATGGAAAGCAAAATAATTTCATTTGTTTTGGAGTTTGCGGATGGGGGAAGAGGGAATATTGGGTCTTCGGGAACCTCACAACCCAATGCAAATGTTGTATCGCGCCGGATTTCTTTAAGGTCTTTATATACCTCCAGTCGATCTAGCCCATTGTGCATAAAGCATGACTCATCCACTCAGGTAACAGAAAGCCAGGGGATTTGCTTGCTCAGGATCTGCACATAATATAGAAAGCATCAAACGCACCATCAACCGAAAAATTGACGAATAGCCTAAACACATCAAGGTACAATACCTCGCAATATCTGTCAAGGTGGTGCGCAGCCCAAGCAATCGTCCCCAATGGCTTTTTATTTATCATATTAACATTAAAATAGCAATAAAAACCACTAAGGTTCTGTGTGTTCACGTGTTCTCCGGGTGATCACCGCAGTGACGATACACGGACGTTTTGACCTCAACCCAGAGCAGGAGAAGGAACGGGGGGTTTTTAGACAGTAAGAGTTTGACACTCCCTCCCGCCCGACCCTAGGCGGGAGAAGCCATGCATTTAATGATTTTCCCTCACAAAAAAAAAAACATTCCGAAAAAGGTTGAGTACTTTAACCTACTGTAACCTGTGTTTTTTCTTACCTACTGTTACTAGCTAGTATGAAGATCGTTAAAGTACCCGATCGATAAAGGTGATATCAGACGGTTCACTCAAATGATTATTCACTCGAGTGAATGCTACCGGATGCCAATATCCAACACTGTTGGATCGGTTCACTAATGAATTCATGCGGCACTCGTGTTTCACTTTTTGTTCAGACATTTCATTTCGAGTGAAATGTACCGAATGAAAGGTGAAAATGAACAAAAAATGAACCGTCTGAAAATGCCATCAAGTATCTATCAATCCTAGCTTCTCTCAACCATTGAGGTCATCTATATGTAGGTAGTAAGTATATAGTAAACTCACCTAATTGTGTGACTCACTTAATTCGAAGATTCCACGTTTGGGCTCTTTCACAGCGTTATAGGAGTAAAATCCAATACATTAAAATTAACCCTATGGTATGGTAATAAATCTTCTTTTCGTGTACAAATTTTTGTTGTATTGAAAAGCAAAAAGCCAGTGTCGAGCATACAAAACCACAATGTACTTACCTATAACCTACACGCGTTTTTTTTTTGTGAGGGGAAAATCATCAAATTACTTCTCCCGCCCAGGGCCGGGCAGGAGTGGGTGTCAGACTCTTACTGACTAAAAACCCTCTGTTCCTTCTCCTGCTCTGTGCCGAGGTCGCGGTGCCTCATTGCGCTTACCCCGCAACCCCGGCTGAAACCTACACGCGTTGAGTACCTAAGTAACTAGTATTGTTCCACGTACTACACTCGCGAGCAAAAGTATGGAATCACTTACTTGGAATTGAATCCTCGCGATCTTAAGTACTTAATAACTAGTTAAGAATAATAAAAATGGTACTATTTAAAAGGTTAAACTGTTAACTTTAAATTGATACCAAATTCATTTAAATCACGCCATAATTTCAGAAGTTATACGGGATTACGTGAAGAATTAAGGAAAAAGATATGTTTCAATGGTTTGATACGTCACGAGTTGCGCCCTATTGACCCCCTATAAAAGCACGTGTTATCGGATTTTCTCTATCAGTCGGCTTTCACACGTTGACCAGTACACATCTCCGCTACTTTAGACCCTTGAACTTGGACGACAATGGATACTACACCTACAGAAGCAGCACAAATCGTCGTCCTATTGCAAGAAGGGCTCAGCCAGCGGGCTGTCGCACGTCAGCTCCACATAAGCCAGTCCTGTGTTTCGAAAGTTTATAAACGGTTTCGGGCGACTGGTGGCTTTATCCCGAGACCAAGATCTGGACGGCGCCGGTGCACATCGGAGAGAGATGACCGTTTCATCGTGTCAACCTCTCTCAGAAATCGGCATTTGACTGGTGTCGACGTCCAACAGGAGCTCCGAAATGTTCGTGGGGTAGCTGCCAGTGAGTGGACAGTTCGTCGAAGACTTAAGTAAGCTAATTTGACTCCAAAAAGGCCTGCCACAGGCCCGAAACTGACGGCAGGTCACCGACAAGCACGCCTTCAATTTGCTCGCTCCCATCTTGATTGGGAGGTTGAGCAATGGAGGCGAGTTCTGTTCTCCGACGAGTGCAGAATGTGTTTGCACGGCAGCGACCGAAGGGGTCGGGTCTACAGGCGGCCTGGGGAGCGATTTGCGCAGTGCTGTTTCGCTGAGACAGTGGCTTATGGGGGTGGTTCTTGTATGATGTGGGCCGGCATTTCCTTCGACGGTAAAACTGAGCTTGTTTTCGTGCCTGGCGGGGAACGAGGAGGCGGTCTAACTTCAGACCGCTATATTTCCGATATTCTGCTGGAACATGTCGTTCCTTATGCGGGATATATCGCCGATGACTTCATCCTTATGCACGATAACGCTCGTTGTCACACTTCCCGTGTCACAACTGAATATCTCGAAGAAGTCGGTATCGCCACAATGAACTGGCCAGCACTCAGCCCGGGCTTAAATCCCATTGAGCACGTATGGGATGAACTGAAGAGGAGGGTTCGTTCCAGAAATCCTGCTCCTTCAAGTGTGAATGAGCTGAAATCGGCTTTGATAGAAGAGTGGGAAGGTATCCCGCAAGAATCGATACAGAAGCTGATAAGGTCAATGAAGAACCGCCTTCAAGCAGTTATTAGGGCGAGGGGAGGGAACACAAAATATTAAATCTTAATTTTAAGGCCAAATAAAATTTTTATTAATTAATTTTTGTTGTTTTCTTCATTCATTATTTTTTCCATTATCCTTATGTTTTCCTAACTCCTTCACTCAATCCGGGATAGCTCCTAAATACTGGTGTGATTTAAATGAATTTGGTATCAATTTAAAGTTAACAGTTTAACCTTTAAATGGTACCATATTTATTATTCTTAACTAGTTATTAAGAACTTAAGATCGCGAGGATTCAATTCCAAGTAAGTGATTCCATACTTTTGCTCGCGAGTGTATATACGAGAAATAAGCATATTATAGTCACTCGAAATTTAAATATTCATGACATCTTAGGTGTTATGCATTGTAAATAAAACAAATATTTTTTTAAAGCTCATTCAAATCGGTTTCGTCAATATTGCGATAAAATCACGGACAAACGTATGTATACATATACATAATTCTAAGCATGTACCTACGTACTTAATGACTTCTAATTCAAACTGTGGAACCTTTTTTGACGCTGCTGTAGTAATAGAAAATATGGTTTTAAACAACATGTTAAAACATGTGAGATTTTGCATCTCAAAGCGTTTAGTTATTGCTAATCGATTTATGAGTCAGAGTAAAATGGCATTACTGACAGTTGGTCATTGACAATGACAGTTGTAATGTCAACAATTGTAAATTGTCAGTTTGGCTAGTTGGGATTGGATGTGCATTATTGTTTATTATAGTAAAATATTTCCGTTTTAAAAATAAATACAGTGTTTAATAATAAACAACAAAGAGACAATGCTGTTTTGACCGTTATACTTTTAAATGAAAGTTATTGAAAACCTGTTTTCATTATTTGACTAAGGAAAGACGGTATGTGTTTTTTGTTTATGATTCATAAGAACAATAGGTTTTACGTATTGGTCACATAATCTAACGTTTTCTAAACATTCCAAGACGTGTTCGTAATGTTAAAACCTTGGTATTCTCCTTAAAAAGACCTTGTAAGATGTTAGGAACTCTCGCCGAGACAAAATAGTTGCAAAAAAGTAGTTTTTGATGATGTCACGATGGATAATTTAGGTCAAACAAGATGTTTAGCTGAGATATCTACTCTAATTACAAGTATTGAATTAATGTAATAGATAATAGTGACTGGTATTTAACCATTTGGTAATTACTTGTATTGACCTACTTGTTATTATAGTTTATATTTGCACATACATGACATCCTTGCAGATCACCAGTGATAGTCTCACTTGAAGGATATTCCTGTTCGAATTTTGATTTGATACTTTCTTATGTGATTCAGTAGTAGGTAATTGCCTTACTTATTCTTACACATTGCAGACAAATTAAATATTATCATACTCTAGCTTTCCTACTGCATGCTGAAAACTTCAAAAAATTACAGTTAAGGAATCTTATAGAATTGCAAAAGCTATTGGTAAGAACTCTAGAAAAATGAATTTGAAAGTTTTGAAATTTATCTACTGCAAACAGATGTACCTATAGTGGAACTTCTTTTTTATAATGTACATATATAAAAATGAGTTCTGACTTCAGACATAATTAGAATTATATGATATAACTACCGAAAAGTAAAACATAAAATTGAAGGATATTATGAATAATCAATGAGAGTGTTGTAAATTACTATTAATTTTTATAGTTTTCTGAGTAAATTTAAACAATATTATGAGGCTTGTATTTGAGTAAATCATCTTAATTATCTTAATTAAATATGTAATAAATTGTTTACACATTCCATGAGTAATGTGCAGATGTTTTCAGAGAGATGTGGTGTTGAATTACAATCAAATGTCAAAATAAAATGATGCAAATAATAATAAATAAACATCTGTATAATATACAAATGAACATCTAGATGTGTTGCTAAGTGCAAAATCTCAAGAACTACTGAAACAACATTTCTCATTCTTGTAATTTTTGTCAAGAGAAGGTTGTTATTAAAGATAAAGTTAGATGAGTAGTGAGGAAAGTTAGGAACAAATTAATAACACCAATGTGGTTGGACATCTATGGGAAACAAGGATGGGCGGCTAGTTGTAACTGACTCATTTCTGACTAGCTTACACTGTAGGTAGATTCTGAGACAGCCAATGGCTGAGACTAGACTACCTAATACTTTACACAACTTTGGACACTATGTCAGACAATGGTGTCCAATGCTAGCAGAGGATAAGCCTAAAACTTTTAGCCATTAATTATTAGAATAAACTCAATTCTTCCATGTTTCGATAAATATTTATAAAACATTGAATGCCTTATTACATTGACACAACATGTTCTATCTACCAAGTAAATTAGAAAAATATTCCCAGGTTTCACTAATTACCTATTGTTTTCATCTTCTTCTTAATTCACAATTATGGACATGCAATTTTTATCAATATTCTGTAAAAGTATGATGTTTAAGCAAAATCAAATACACTAGGTAGGTATAATGCAGTTTTGATGTACTAATAAAAGGTCACTAACAATTTCTCCTGAAATAAACTAACAAGGCAGTTACTATTTATATAATAAAATATGGGCACACATACTTACCATGCTACATTCTAGCTGCTGGTAATTGTAAAAATCATATTACAATAGCAAATCGATGTCATAAAAACATGAAATTTTTTTTAACAGTGCTATGATCTAGATATGTTTTATCATCAAAGTTCTATTCAAATTGTTAATTTTAATAACACTATTGTAGGCACTTTTGAATGTGAAACATTTATAGTTATAACTGTCAGTCATCAAAAGCATCTCGGGAAGTCTAGAAGAGAGAGACCATTATAAGAAAAGTCTGGAATAAGGCTTCCAGACTTTTCTTATATTTTATGAGGTTTCCTAAAATAAAGAATTCACATACCTAGATAGTACTAAAGTTTCTGTTTTGTCTAATCAATCTAATCTAACTACTTCAACTTAAGAGGTTTCTTTCTTGTACTAATAATCCAATAATCTTGTCAGTCAAGTTGAAAAGAGCCTTTTTTATGCGAAACTCAATGGTAAGCAATCTGCGCCGCCCATGGACACCACAACGGAGATTAGATAGAGAACAACGGATTTGGAGATTTTGGGATTGGGGAGGTATTGGGCGAGTGGAAGGATTGGGCCTCCGGTAACCTCACTCACACGGCGAAACACAACGCTGTGGTTATTACACGTTGGCCTTCTGTACCTTAATTAATTGTTCTGCCTTTAATATAAATATTATGTGGTATAGACAGCTAATATCGGTTGAAGGGACTTTATAAAAGGTCTCTTTGAAATAATATAATTTTGTTTTTTTTTTAAGTTGGTCCCTCTAAATGCCTAATCTTAATCTTAATGCAATAGTAACTGATGTATGAGTAAGTTGTAATAAAATTAATTGTAATAGCTACAATATGTATACAATTATAATGTTCATAGTAATTGTTTTATTACAAAGCAGATGTAATAACTGCCTATAACTGGGGTGTTCCCCAAGTGATAACGCTATCATTGCGTTGTACGCCTACTAAGTATACCAATAATAATTATAAGTTATTGAAAAATAAAACATGTTTTTTTATTGCTTTGAGTATCTACAATTCAATTTGAAAACCGAACAAAGGAATAAGTGTTGATTTCGTTTCATGTTTTTTTTTTTTATATGTATCTATCAATAAGTAGATGGTTAATAACGATTAACGATACTTAAGTAGCTTTCATCCATGCGTCGCTGAAAGAGTGCCATTTGAAAACCTCTTTTGGCTCTCACTGAGCCCAAGTTATATTGAGGTGGCAACCCGTTCCCGTCACAGGCATTTTGTCACCTTGTATATTTTTTTATTCTGTGTATGTAGCGCTGCCAGGCGTCCGGATAAAGCCGGACATAGGTAGGCTTTTTGATTGCTAGTCCGGCCAAAATAAATGGTGTCCGGCCTGTCCGGCTTTTTTTAGGCTTTTTACCTAAACTTTTCACAATCGCAAACGAAACACCAAACATGGCTGGAGTGAAGCAAAGACTTAGACTTATTAATTATTTCATAAGAATTCACACAACAAGATTTATGACTTTATGACAATAATCAAAATGCTTGATTTACATTAAATCTTGTCGTACCTATTAATACTGAGATAAAAAATCCTTAAGAATGTAGTGTGTCCGGCCTTTTTAGCTAAATGTCCGGCTAAACGGGCTGGTCTGTCCGGCTATAAGGCCTAACGACCTGGCAACCCTATGTGTATGAAACAAATTCAGATTTTGTCGTTTTTTTTTTCGTTGGTATTAATATTTTGATGTGTCGAGTCTGGTGTTGAATATGTTTTTGTTTTCTAGAACCACAGAGTCTTGAATTGTGTTCAGTTTATGACAAAAGGCTTACCTCCTCTTACATGACTCCAATAATAATAAAAGTGGGTGTAATTTGACAAGGTATCTGCGTAGAGAGAAGAAGGAATGGGGATTTTAAATCAATAATATGTCACTCCCTTTCTCCTCACACAGAGCAAGAGAAAATCTTTGATGATTTTCCTCCTTTACTAGTTACAAGGCATATTGTTTTGAGATTGGTGTTTTACCCTAGGTTATTTGCCGGGGTTGCGGGGTAAGCGCAATGAGGCACTGCAACCTCCGCAACAGAGCAGGAGAAGGAACAGGGGGGTTTTTAGTCAGTAAGAGTCTGACACTCCCTCCTGCCCGGCCCTGGGCGGGAGAAGTCATTTAATGATTTTCCCCTCACAAAAAAAAACCCTAGGTTATTTGATAAGCTGGTCCTTATACCAACAAGGCCTTCAATTTCCTTAACTTCATGTCTCCTTTTTTGTTACAGTGACAAAGCCAGCCATGGCTGAAACCCTGGACCCATTGTCACCCACAGTGAACAGTTCAGGACGGAGTGAACTAGGCATCATGGATAAATTGAGGTTAAGGATCGGAAGAGGAGGATCTGCTACCAGACCGGCGAGTGAAGGTTTGACTGTGTTTGGTTATTAAATTAAATTAAATATCTTTATTTCAGGCAATTAAACGCATAGCAATATACAAACATCTAAAAAAACTAAGCATTACAACAAACAAATATAAAGTATTACATAAGTTTTATAATAAAAAAGTCTTTTATCTCGCTTCTAAGATGTATAACACAAAACACAACAGCCACAATTTCGTTACAGCTCAGAGCTACTCTTGTGTAGAATGAAGCCCTGAGTTTCTGTATTAGCGTGACAAAACCGGCAACTCTGCTCTCGGCGAATATGTCAGTCGCACTACACCGCCAGGGCAAGTTCATCATGGCCTGAAATGCATTATTATATTGTACACGAAGAGTGTTATATGCACTCCTCGTGTAGCGGTGGCTGGTGTAGAAGGCGCCTTGAACAGCGTCACTTTCACTTGTTATTCGGTGATATTTTGGGGTATAATTTATGCTTTTTAAATGTGCTGCTGTTACCAAACGAGCCAAAGGACAACCTGATAGTAAGCAATTGGTGGTGCCCATGTATACTTACAAAACTAGAGGAGTACGTTGCCGGCCTTTTGGGGATTAGGGTTTCGCATAGGAATTGGGGATGGGGAAGAATTGGGCGTCCAGTAATCTCCTTTACATGGCGAAACACGATGCTGTGGTTGTTTCACGCCGATTTACTGTTAGGCAGTGGTATCGTTTCGGTTGAGCCGAAGCATGGCTCCACCACATTTATTTTACGTATTCTACTTCCTACTATCCTACTAATATTATAAATGTGTATATGAGAATGTATGGATGTACATAATAATATGTTTTTTGTTCGTTCACGCACCCGAAAACGGCTGGACTGATTTTGTTAATGTAGATAGGTGATACCCTGAATTAACATATAGGCAGCATTTTATTAACATACCATGTGGCCGAAACCGCTGGCGGAGACTAGTAGTACAACGTAATATATGTAGGCATGTAGTTATAAAATTTTTTTACCGATAACTGTAGAGATAGCTAACGCTGTGCGGTAATGACGTCACAATACATGCAGTGTCCAACTGTCCAAATAAATAAAGCAGGCTGATTATATTATTATTATTTGATGATGTCATATTGTTTTATTTTAATAACTAATTAAGAGTCTTTCACAATATATCTCATCAAGATTCTGTCACTTTAACCTGCATCTTTTTTATTAATTTTTGTTGAAAAAATATGTCGAAATGACAACAGAAACTAACTCCTAAATAAATAACCAATAAAGTATCTTTTTCTATTATAGAAAGTATCAGACGTTTTTACAAATAAGACTGAAGTGAACTAGAGTTCAATGACCTTTCATAAAGTAAGGCACATTGCTGACCTTAGTGACGTGTTATTGTAGAGAATTATGTCTAGCAGTTGACAGAAACGAACTGTTAGTGATGTAGACTGTAAACAGTTATTTACCGAAGGGATTGGCAGAGGCATCAAGTATCAGAACCCCTAATTTATAGTAGTAGAAGACAATACTCTTGTTAAGTATTGTTTAACCTATTGACGACCACAGCTGGCCCAATAGAACCGATGTTTAGCCGGAGTCTGTGGTCATATCCTGGAGCAGGAGAAGGAATGGGGTGGATTTTAGTCAGTAAGACTTCTTATTCGATACACTACCTCTTGTGGGAGAGTCTTACTAGAGAAGATAATTGATGATTCTTCTTATATCAAAAAAAAGTATTTTTTATTCAAGACAATTAAAACTGTTAATTGTCAGACTTCAGTATCCAACGTGACCTTGATGACAAAATATCGCTGTTGCTTCATTCTGCAGTTTATTGGAGTGCCCTTGAAAACGAGAGAGAGAGTGCGCAATTAGTAACAAATAGCTCACCGGAAATCGGCGTGAAACAGCTTGCCTTGTAATTCTTGGGGTGTTGCCCGTGTCAAAAATTGGCGTCAGCTGTCTGTGTGTTCCTTTGGCACCCTATCCAATAAAATAATGATGAACACATTGTATGTTTTGGAAACTAAAGAACTTCTCTGCAGAGTGTATATAATTGCCAAAATGTCTTCATTCGACTTGGTGGACTGACAATCGCTCCACCAGCTGTTCTTTTCCTGTTCTCCGCGGGGATGTGGTGCTTTGTTGCGCTTGTACCTGTAACCTTGAATACTTGTATGTTAATGAAGAGGAAATAGAAGAAGAAATGAATGAAAGTTGACACTAGGCGTTATTCTACGTGGTTTTTTAGTCTGTTTGCCTCTGCATACCCCTATAAAAATCTACATTTCTTTCACAATAAGATGATGGACAAATTAATGAAGGCCAGCGGTTACCATTCAGGATGCGGGCATAGCGTCAGGCTGGTACCGGCCGCACTTATAGACACGGAACCCTTGGCTCTAAAATATGCGGGTTGTTTTAGTGTGTCCTTATTTAACTATAGATAGTCATTGGTCCAATTGGGACACAAGTAAAAAAAGAAAGAAAAAGGAATAGAAAAACAAACATAAAAAACATACGCGGTAGAAAAACATTTTTTTGTAATAACTGAAAATAAATGGCTTCATTAAGAAACACAAAACTGAAAGCAGTACAGAACGGGAAATTTGCGTTACTCCTGTATGAAAATGCCCTCGCTTAGCATAATGCTGAGACCCTATACGGGACAAAGCCTCAGAGCGCAAATGTTTAAGTAACTGTGTTTAAAATTTACGATTCCAGAGTTTAGTGTTGTAATTAAGAAAATCTCTCTTACTGCCAGGCGCGACAGGGACCAAAAGAATAAAATAATAATAATACAAGTAGCCCTTCTCGCCCTGGGTAGGGTTCGAGAGAGTATTACACTCCTACTGATTAAAAACCACCCCCTTCTTTCTCTTGCTCCAGGCCTCGATACATTTTTGCGCTTGACCTGCAACCCCGGCGATTATTATTAGCTTTTAAATTCACTTGGCTTCGGCCCATGCACCCTCTAACTCCTCTGAGATTGGACAACCATAATCGATAAGAATAATAATATAATCAGACTCTGAAATCGAACACATTTCACTAGTAATAAAACAAAACAATAGTATTGTAATTCTCGTAAAAAAGTACTTTGAAGTTAATGTTCACAGTTCCAATCCGTTTGATTTTAAATTGGTGTGACTTGATCTATTGTGCACGAAGGTCGGTAAACAATGGCCGACTGGTCAGTGGCCAACACAATTAGTCTTGGTTCAACACTGATTAAGTGAACTTGCTTGGGCGATATGAGCGAAAAACGGCCCGAAGGTGATAATTTTAATGTTAATTTATTTATTGGCGAATTTTTTTAAGTGTGTGCTAAAATAATTTGGATGAAGTGTTCTCGTTTTTTAAAAAATAATATGTATATTATTTTCAAGTTTGACATTTTGGGTTTTGAGTACAGTACTGGAGTGTATTTGTTAAGTTTACAAATGCGATTAGTAGTAGAAGAGTATAGGATCAGAGAGTGCTTCATTTGTCGACATAGTTGTGCAGTATAAAATCCCCTGTGAAACTAGTTTGGATAGACTAGTTATTGTGATCGGTTCGGACATCAGCCGGGGTTGCGGGGTAAACGCAATGAGGCACCGCGACCTCGGCCTAGAGCAGGAGAAGGGACAGGGGGGTTTTTAGTCAGTAAGAGTCTGACACTCCCTTCCGCCCAAAAAAAGGCCCTATCTTACACATGCTTAACTAGTGATGCGGATTTCGGACACACACGTCATGCATTCTCTCAACTACGTATTACGATTCTACGATTACTTATAAATATTATACTTGCTTTTGCCAGCGGCTTCGCTTCCGATACCTGTATGAAGAGCCTATGTGTTATGTCAACCTATAATCCATATCTGTGCTAATTTGCATCGAAATTCATTGTATATTTTTTACTTAAATGAGTAATAAACATCCATCCAATTACAAGTGTTTACATTATAACAGTAATAAGATGCTTTGCGCCAAAAATGTGTCTTTATGTTTTCTGTGTTAAATTGTTGAAAATAATATAGCAGGGTTTTTATGATCATGATTCTTAATATGAAAGGGCTTGACCATTGTTTCTAAGCTTGATTTTAAAGAACCAGGTAAATCAGATAGCACTGCTATGTACTCGTAACTCCTTTGGTGACGCGGGTGTCCATGGGCGGCGCCGATTGTTTACCATCAAGTAATGCGTCGACTCGTTTGCCGACTTATGCCATAAAAAAGTATTTAAAATTATGATAGATTTTTCTTTTCTAACGCCTAATTATCCTCTTTTCCAGGATATGTCGAGTTTGGTGAGTTCAGGACGGAGAGGCCTGGCATCAAGAAGGTGGGCACCTTCGCTGGAGTGTTCTGTCCGGTGGTGCTGTCCATGTTCAGCGCGCTAGTCTTTATACGAATGGGTGAGTTAAAAATTTTGTTATGGAATTTATCCTATTTAGCGTACGTGTTTTCAAAGGCGAAATTTAAAAAAAAAGGTTTCTGTCTATAGACACATTTCTCAGTAGCTGATTACTTAATAATTGCGCTATTTGGCGTATTCAAACTCGTTGTCGATCTTATAATTTTTGTGGAAAGATGAATTAATACGAGTTCAAAGTTGTTCGCACGAATAATTAAATTTCGGCGAGTACTTACCCTTAGAATAGGTTCAGTAATTTTTGAGATTATCGCCAAAAAACCAACGCGATCCGTGTAAGATTATTTTTTGTAAAATGTGATATAGGTAATTAAATGTCTTCATTATTACACACATTTATAAACTTACGTTGTTAACGAAAAATACATATGTTTATGTATACGAGTATAACATTTCAAAAAGAATCATCTAGTTTTTTTTAAAGTTTACAAGCAAACGTACTTGTAATCTCAGTTGTAATTAAGTATAAATTATAAGAAACATGTTTAATAATAAGGTCGTGTTTGTATAATAACTAAATAGTTATCGAGCGTGTGATTCAGACGCAAGGTCATTCCGGTGCAGCTACTAATTATTATATTTATTTAATAAATTGCTATATTCTTTATTCTTGTTTGGTTTCATCTTTAATAATATGATAAATATGACGTCACTGAAAGAAAAAACAGTAATGTATCGTTGTTAAAAATTCAATGTTTAATCGAAAGCAAGGATATATAATAGACTAGCTACTCTCGCGCCGTTTCAACCGCTGCTCGGCTCCAATTAATTGTAGCGTGATGTTATATAACCTATAGCACTCAGCAACATTGTAGCTATCTATCAGTGAAAGAATTTTGGCAATCCGACCAGCGGTTCCAAAGATTACCCCCTACATACAAACTTACAAAATTTACCTCTTTATAATATTTAAGTATAGATGTACGATTGTTTTTAATGCCTCATTTAGTACCATAGTCTTACTTACGGAAGACCACTACGTTCCTTCCCTTTGTCCGGGCTGGGGCGGGGCCGCAATGCATTGTTCTGCTTTATCTGTCATCCCAGCTGGACATTCTCTCTAGTAAGCCGCATCCAAGAAGTAAAGTAATAAAGGGGGAGAAGAGAGCCATCTTGCGTATTTTTTTGGCAAACAAATTTAAAGCGCCCTTTGGATTTTGTAACCAGAAACTAATGCATGCTGTATTCATACTTACCTATAGTATATGTATCACCATATTTATACATAGATTTTGATTTAGCCTGTTTTTAATGCCGGCCCCTAAACTGACCCTTAAACCTATACAGTCAAAATATTTTACAGTTGTATAGATAGGGTTTAATTGCTAGGAAGGGCACCGGTAAAAAACAGACATAACTAATTCAAATTAACAAAAATCGTGTTATCTGTCAACGTCAAAATTTAAAAGACTGGTGTTGCCATACTCTAATACAATGAATTTCATTAGGGAATGAATGAATTAACGACTGTCATCCAAAAAATTATAGTAACAGCCACTTGTTAAACTAAAAATAAAAGTTATAGTTAATTGATACACTTTAAATCTTCTAAATATATAAATATATTTATAAACGTTATTTAAATTCACATGACTAGTTATTTATACCCATTATTGAAGCAGTTCTTTAGATCTGCAACACCAGGACAGTGGCATCGATTGATTAGTCACTTAACAAGACATTGAGTATTTCTAAATTACAAATATAAGATGGCACCTCTATCTTTGCGATCTTGGTGGATGAAGGGCACTGTCCCCTCTCTGGCCGCATCTGTAGGGGTGTCTCTGTGGCGTGCGCAGAACGCGACATGCCGTACGTTTGGGTCTGGTTATGGTCGGACGGCGCCGGCGAGTTACTCTTGGTCGCTGTCCCCAGGCCCGTGCTAACGGTGGCCCCTCCGGCCAAATTCTTATTACACTAGTCAAGTTCAACTTTTTTGGTTTACAGGATATTTGGTGGGCAACGCAGGCCTGCTGGTGACCCTCGGTCAGTTTGGACTGGCCTACTTGATTGTGATATTCACGGTGACATCAATCTGCGCTATATCCACCAATGGAGCTGTTGAAGGTGGAGGTGTATACTGTATCCTTTGCAAAAATTGATCATTATCATCAGCCCAAATACTGCAGAACAAAGACCTTTTTTTGACCGAGGGCGTATCCATAATCCTGACTTTTAATATATAAGAAATATCCTGAAAGTATGACCGAAAGAATGATAACTTACTGTTATAACACAATGTTTTGGGGAGCTTAAGTCTCTGATCTTCAAATCCCCAATCCCAAAACCCCCAACCTAAAAAGTGCTTATAATCAGATGATCATCTAAAAATAGGTCATTCAATCTCAAAAAAAAGGCTGCGCAAAATAGAATAGACAGATTTGTAATTAGTTCTCCATTGGACTGATAGTGCTTAATTCAACACCAGCGCCATCTAGTTAACCCAAAAAGTGGAAGTTGTTATAATATTGTGTCAAATGTAAAATTTCGTGTTGGCCCAGAGGTGAAGGCGCCCTTTTCATACTTGAGGGTGCGGGTTCCAATCCTGGCAAGTACCAATGTAACTTTTTCCGAGTTACATGTACTTTCTATGATTATTTAGACACCACTGACATACGGTGAGGGAAAACATCGCCAATTAGCATTGAGCAAGTGTGGCGATTATGCTCAAAGCTTCTCCGTGTGAATCCTCTATTCTTTGCTCAGCATTCTATCCTCTTTGCTCAGCAGTGGGCATTTATAGGTAGATAATGTTATGTGATGTTATAATATTAATAAAAACCTTAGCCATGGCTCAGTTATGATTAGCAGAACGTTAGGTCCAGAATTCGGTGGTGCGGTCGGGACGTTGTTCTTCTTCGCAAACGTGGTGTCTAGCGCGCTCTGCATATCAGCGTGTACTGAAGCTCTGGTAGAAAATTTTGGAGAAAATGGTAAGTGTATTTTAGTAAAATGATTTGAAGAAACTGTGATATGCTAATATGGAATCGTCATTCATATTGCAATTAGTTCTATGTCAAAAATGGCAATAGATTAAAAATAAACGGCGTACTGGAAAACAATATTTTATGGGACCAAAATGTTTGTAAACAAATTTTTCTTAGCTATTCTTAGAACAATTTTCGATCGCGTTCAAAATTAAAATTAAAACATATCAGAGCACCAAACAAAAAAATTTTGGGCATTTAAAAAAATAGCAAGATGTCCGACGATATGGTAGTTTCAACAGTAGATCTTAGCTTTATTGATCCTTTTTCTTGTTTTGAATATCAAGAAGTAATCGTTGAATTTATGAATGAAAGAGTTTATTACACTTTGAGATTACTTTTTGAATGTTTTATTGCATTGAAAATCTTACTTATATTATAAATGCGAAAGTTACGATGTTTGAATGTTTGTTACTCAATCTCGCCAAAACGGCTGGACGAAATTTAGCACAGGCAAAGGATACTCTCCGGAATAGGACATAACAAACAAACAAACAAAAAGTATTTATTCGCGTCTGGGACGCATAAAAGACACAAAACGAACAATAATAAAAAAAGGTAAAAATAAAAATACATTAAGAATTATACTACAATATAACAAAAGTAGAGGGTAGGAGAAAAATATGCGTCCAAGCTCGCGAAATGGCCCTCGCTCAGCATTATGCAGCGACCCCATACGAGACAGTGTCGCGGCGCTGATTTTCAGCGATGGCCGACACCATAGGCTAATTTTTATCAACATACCACTGGAGCGAAGCGGACGGAACCCTAAATTACCTACCCTGTTTATTTTGTCTGTATTACATTAATAAACGGCTTTTCTTTCTTCAAGGTTATCTGGTAGGAGCCAACACAGGTATTCCAGATGGCTGGTGGTACCGTTTCATGTACCGTTCAGGGTTGAATGCAATCGGCCTTGGAGTGTCCTTGGCCGGAGCCTCACTCTTCGCCCGCACCAGCTTGGCCATCTGGATGAGCATGGTCATATGTCTTGGCAGTGCTTTCCTCAGCTTCTTTATCACACCTATGGCTACAGTAAGTTTGAGTTCGTCAAACTGTTTTAAGTTTTTTATCACACACAGTATTCTTACATTGTCTTTTACATTAATTCTTTATTTTTATTACTAAAAGAAAACTACTTGCGTCCTGCTAAAGTCTGATCGGACGTACAGCGGGCAAGTGGCATTATCAATTTTGTTATATTAAGGGCTGATTTTTCAATAGTTAAATAAAAGTTTCCTGGGGAATAAGTATGATGCTGTCGCCTCAGAATGTTTGTATAAGACAGTGACAGCAACTATTTGATTCTTCAAATAACATTTATCTGTCTATTGAAAAATCAACCCCAAATTAAATAAAACCAATGAGTATGGAAAAAGTTTCTTTGGGAAAGTTGTTTGTTATCTTGATGTAGTCAAGATCACGTGTTTCAATATCGGTTACTAATAACTTCCTTTCTGTCGGGGGCCGCGGTACATAATTGCCCTAACACACAAGTCCTCATTTACTAGGTAAAGGTAATTAAAAACGCTTCTTTCTTTCAGATTCCAAAACCCGATACAAATCATTTAGTAAATATAACAGGATTCAACTATACTGGTCTAAGTTCCACGACGCTGTATGATAACCTGTATCCTGCTTACGGACGGGACTATACGACCACGGATGGTCAGATGGTGGATTTCGCGTCAGTTTTTGGAGTCCTATTCACTGGGGTCACTGGTGTTATGGCTGGGGCTAACATGAGCGGTAAGTTAAGGGTTTAGTTGATTTAAGTGTCTTTTAGGAATGGTAGTTTATTAATATTATCTTGTTGATATTGCATTTGATAGGTACCGATGTTTTTCTGATATTATTTATCCCAGTAGAAGAGGTTTTTTTTGCAATTTTCACAATTTTATTAAGACCATATCATACAATTAGAAATTGTGACCAGTGTAACTTATTACATGACTGCCCAATTAAAGGATGAGAGAAAAAAGAAAGTTCTCTGTGACATTAATTAAATAAGTCATACGCTCCGCGCTGCAATAAAATTACTTATCCTTTCCTCTTAATAATTAGTTTTTTACTTTTTAGTTCATTTTTAAATATGGCAGGCGTGTTTTTTGGTTTTTTAATTATTATTTTTACGTTGACATGCTGAAACCTTTACTGCGTTTAGCTCTCTGATTGGTTAGTTTGTAAGGTAATTACACCGCCATAAACGTTGGCGATCATGCTACCGAAAAGCAAACTCTGACTATTATATTATTGTGATCATATCACATTGATTCTGTCGTTTAGCTTTTGGTGAACTTGGAGCAGGCGAATCAACGATCACGGTCGACTTCGTGCTATAATTTTTAGTGCTCTTTTTTATTGATGATGATGATTTAAGTGTGGGAGAGCCATGCTTCGGCACGAATGGGTCGGCTCGACCGGAGTAATACCACGGCCTCACAGAAAACCGGCGTGAAACAACCACAGCGTTGTGTTTCGCCGTGTGAGTGAGGTTACCGGAGGGCCGATCCTTCCCCTCCCCCAATCCCTTCCCAATCCAAGTCTCCAAATCCCTAATCCCCAAAAGGTCTGCAACGCACTCGTAACTCCTCTGTTGTTGCGGGTGTCCATGGGCGGCGCTAATTTGCTTACTATCAGGTAATACGTCTGCTCGTTTGTCGACCTATCACATAAAAAAATAAATAAAAATAACACACTCAGTAAGTGGTAAAGACCCAATTTGTGCTTATTTAGTCAATTACGTTATAATGACTGTACGGTTGGCGCAGTAGCTGGCTGCTGTGTGTGTGTTGCGGGTTCGATTCCCGCACGAAACAACACGAGTCTTAGGGGGTTTGTATGGTGTGTATGTGAATTTGTACGTTTCTAAACGCACCCACTGCACTCGAGAAAATCTAAGTGTAGGGCAATTTTTGAAAAAATACCGTAACACGCCATGTATTAAAATTGAAATTAAAATTATGAACACAGTGATCGTTGCGACTTATTTTACATTTTCACCCTGAAATAATTACTGTGTTTAGCTTTCTGATTGGTTTATTTGGATCGTGCTAACGTAAAGCAAACTCTCACTATTATATTATTGTGATCATATTACATTGATTCCGTCGTTTAGCTCTGATTGGTTAACTTGGAGCAGGCCAATCAACGATAAACGTCATAAAAAAGTCGATCGAGCTATGAATTTTAGCTCTCTTTTTGATTGATGGTGATGATGATTCTCAGGTTTTTTATTTGATGTTAGGAGACTCTCGCACTAATACGGTAGTTTCCAACTAGTCAAATTCAATACTTTTATTCAAATGTCAAAAACGACACTTTTCTACGAAATTTGTATGAAATACTGAGTGTTATTACGACGTCACAGTATTTTTACGTCAAATAGCTTACTTATTTCCTAAAAATGAGCTAAAAAATATCTAAAATTTTGTGTATCGATCGATCGATGAATGAAAGTACTTATAGTTATTTTTCAATATTTTGTTGTCGTAAACGTCGAATTAATTTATTTTTGACCTATCCAATTCTCTTTTCGTTTTTCAAATATCGAAATACTTTTTTTTTGTATAGAATAAAAGCAGTTTAATTTTTCTCCCCCAGGTGAACTGAAGAACCCTTCCCGCAGTATTCCGTTTGGTACCCTGGCGGCTTTGCTGTTCACATTCATCTCCTACCTGGCACTGAGCCTGCTGACCGCCGCCACGTGCACCCGAGACCTCCTCATCAATAACTACGTGTACCTCCTACCTATAAATATTTGGCCTCCTTTTATTGCCGTTGGTAAGTCTTGTTTATCTACTACTTATATATATGTATATAAATAAAAATGAATCACCAAAATGTATTTAAGCGCTCAACTCCGTAACAACTTGACGAGAAATTGATAATTTTTTGTAGTGTTTTTTTTTTAAAAAAACGTTGTCCCACACTAGGGTTACCTCCTGTGTCGTGGGTGCGTTTACAAACATACAAATTCACATACACATCACACCCAGACCGAGAACAACAACTTGTGGATCACACAAAGACTTGTTCCGTGCGGGAATCGAACCCGCGACACGTTGCACGGCAGCCAGTTGCCCAGCCACCGCGCCAACCGTGCAGTCAAAGTGTTGTAATTATATTACATAGATTATTGGGGACTTTGGAGGAATCTCTGCCGAGTACCCAGGCGGTGCTGAGATAAGCCTAACAACAAACATTTCCTATTTTTTGATGTTTCAACTAACATTATAAATGCGAAAGTTTTTACGTGTTTTTCTCTGTCATGCAAAGACTTTTGACACGCAATTTTTGCGATATAGGATTACGCGCTACACGCAGCTATTAACACGGACGATGCCACTGGTAGAAGCTAGTATTAGTAATCGAGATTGTAATTATTTTATTAATTGTTATTTTCAGGAATGCTAATGGCTACATTCTCAGCTGGACTTTCAAATTTAATTGGAGCATCTAGGGTGTTGGAGGCGCTGGCAAAAGATAATATTTATGGTACGTCATAAACTCGTAGCTCATCGTTATTATAAAGTAAATATTTAATTATTGTGGGAGAGCATCGATCACTAATAAAGAACTAGATACACAATCCCATACAAAAGTTCGCTTCAAAACTGTCGCCAACTGTATTTAGGTACTTATACTTGAAATAAACATGCATTAATGTAAATTAAACCTTAAATGCAACTCATAGAGTTGTTTTTACAAAGTGATGTACAAAATCTTAATACTTTTTGCGACCGAAGCTCTTGACAAACACAAATCATAAGAAATTGAACCATATTCGCATGTTTTTAAGTCGAATTTAGAAAGTGTCAAAAATAAGCAATAAAATTTAACGACTTCGGCTCACCGCTAGGACAAAGAATGATTAGAGTCGAAATGTCTCGTAAGAAATATATTTCTTTCGTATTTTATAATTTATCAAAAAAAGAAAATACGCAAATTAAAACGCATTACTTATAGTATTCTTTTCTATAGGTTTGTTCATTTATTTACCAATGAAACTAATGCATATAGTTATAATTCTTTTTTATTATTTTCGTCCTCCTTAATCCTTTCTATTCGAAGTCAAATAAAAAAGATGTAAAATAATAAAAAGAATATATATCTAAAGTAATTACTGAAAATGTTGGCGTTATTGTTGTCAATTTTTCATATCGAACGGGTCTTGATGAAAGCTAAAAAAAAAATTTCTTTACTGCAGTTAAAATTAAATCCATTACATCTGCCTATTCCATATTTTAATAAACACAGTAAAGAAGTATAATATTAAATAAAAACTATTTTTTAATAAAAAAAAAACAATAAATAAAATTTGAAACAATAGCGTCTCCACTAAACGGAACAGAATCAATCCACGTAAACCGAACAACTTAAGTGGTCATGCTAGAGAATGATTTTAAGTTTAGTATAAGTGTCTTTATAAACTGTGTGCATTATAACCCCGGTTTTTGAATACGATTTCATTTGGAAAAAGTTTTAAAGTTGATTTCTTAGTAAAATATCAATATTTAAAATAGAATGATGACAATTATATAATGATAATATTATTACTTGACGAAAATATGAAATTCCATCCTTTTTTGCATCTTAGATGTGTGTCTTTTTGCAGTTTTTTAACGAGCACTGAGGCGTGTTTACCGTCGGAGCATTCGAGTGGTACTAAACTAAAACTACACCGCGATGTTGAGTTTGGTGGACTTTCAGTTAGGACATTTTTTTGTCACTGATTGTGTATCTAGTTCTTTATTAGTGATCGATGTGGGAGAGACATAATTCGGCACGAATGTGTCGGCTTGACCAGAGTGATACTACGACCTCACGGAAAACCGGCTTGAAGGAACACTTGTTTCGCCGTGTGCGTCAGGTCACCGAAAACCCAATCCTTTACCCCCCTCAGTCTTATCTTAAAAAATGTTTAATAAGTTTTATTAGTTCAGTCCAAAAAACTTCGACTAAATTGACAATGACGAATATAAAGCCAACATACGACATAAACATTACTTAAAATCGTGTCTATCCCTCTCCCCTCTTCTAGGCTTCCTCCTCAAACCCATGGTGTCTCGATCGGGTAACCCTGTGATAGCAGTCCTCACATCATGGCTCCTGGTTCAGATCGGCATCATGGCGGACTCCCTGAACGCCATAGCACAAGTCAACTCTGTTCTCTTCATGACCAGCTATTTCGCCATCAACCTGGCTTGCCTTGGACTTGATCTGGCTTCGGCTCCTAATTTTAGGTAAGTTAATTAGTTCTGTAGTGTGTCTTTTGTAAATATATAAGCTACCGAAAGTGTCTTTTTTGGTAGTTTTCCTATATTGGTTTTCAAATTTTATGTAAGTAACAGTCTGTTTTTAATAATTTTGACTTTTATAAAGTAACAATCTACCAACAATCCACTTCAATCAAATAAGTTACACTTAACAATGACACACAACCAGAAAATATAAATAATAGGAAGTTAATTAAATGTGTCACAATAGTTATCATAAAGCTCACGAACTGTTAAACTACAGATATTAACTATTAGCATCCGCCTGCGGCTTTGCTCGCATAGTGTGTTTTTTTTTTTTTTTATGTAATAGGTCGGCAAACGAGCAGACGGATTACCTGATGGTAAGCAATCAGCGCCGCCCATGGACACTCGCAACGGAGGAGTTACGAGTGCGTTGCCGACCTTTTAGGGATTAGGGATTTGGAGATTTAGGTAGTGTTGCCCAAATGCAAGAACAAGACGAGACTTAGCCAGTCTTGGTCTTGGTCTTGCGCCAATACACCTGGTCTTGGTCTTGGTCTTGGTCTTGCGCTCCCAGTCTCGGTCTTGGTCTTGGTCTTGCAGCAAGAGTCTTGCAAGTCTTGCAATTACCTATTAGTCTATTACTATTTATTAAAGTTTACTTTAAATCTTAGAAAAACGTATTAGAATTGGAACATTGTGAGCTTGTATTAACATAGCCGTAGTAAAGATCAAGCAGATTAATAAATAACTGAAGATTTGATAAGAAATTCGAAAAATCAACTGACCTATATGTCGTTTTCCATGGAAGTAACTGTTTCTATGATTTATAAGCTTACATTCGCTAAAACATGTAAAAAAACAAATTAATTACAATAACTTGACTGTATTTTAAAGAAAAATACTTATCTGTCTAGAAAGAGATTGAACCCTCAACTTATAAGAAATTTAATAAAGGGTTTTACGATTTATCACTTATTTGAATAAAAAAAAAATACAACACAAATCAACAGCTTTATCATTAGGTTATGATACTTTATATCAATTTTTTTTGACCAAGAATTAATACAAAGTAACCATCTGGGTGACTCATCACTTAACCTATTTCTATATTTTATCCTAATCATAATACTACTTTTGCGTGGTCAGTATAATGTATTCATTTTCATTCTAAACACTCTGAAACTTATTTATTCGTCGGAACACCTGTAGGTACTCTTAAAATTCGAAATTATTTTGCATGAGTATACCTACGCCCTATGGCGGCAATCAAATAGTGTCAAATGTTATGATTTCGGCGTGGCGGCAACGATTGTTTTAGATTTCAAAAGAAGCCGCCGGCGCGTGTGTCTTAACCATGTACTTCCGAAAAGCGGCAAATTTCTTTGAGAAGTAAGTACAAAACCTTTGATGCCGCATTATCAAAGTGCCGATGGTTAAAACATAACTATGCATGCACTCAGTTTGATTTTAATAGATATTTTTTTATTCGCTATGTTTATGGTATTAGTCGTAATGCGCATAGGTCTAGTTTTTCATATTCTTTGATGCAGTTTTTTTGCGTCTCATAGAATTCCTGAGCGTACCTACCTATACACCGAACTGTTACACCTAACTACTCAGTGAAATAGCGCTAAGTCCTAGCTGCAAGACGCAAGAGTCTTGCAGGCTATGTCTTGTTCTTGCTCAAGTCTTGCACGGTCAGTCTTGGTCTTGGTCTTGCTAAAAATATGCGGTCTTGTTCTTGGTCTTGCAAAAACGCAAGAACAAGACCAAGACTGCAAGACCAAGACTTAATTTGGGCAACACTAGATTTAGGGATTGGGGAAGGGGAAGGATTGGGCCTCCGGTAACCTCACTCACACGGCGAAACACAACGCTGTGGTTATTTCACGCCGGTTTTCTGTGAGGCCGTGGTATCACTCCGGTCGAGCCGACCCATTCGTGCCGAAGCATGGCTCTCCCACACTTGTTGATTGTTTGTTGTGTTGATAAAAAACAGCCTATGTCCTATTCGTCCAAATCCGTCCAGCGGTTTTGGCGTGATTGAGTAACAAACATCGTAACTTTCGCATTTATAATACATATAAGTAAGAAATTTGTAAGATGGTTAAACGTATTACAGGCCAACATTCAAGCAATTTTCATGGATGACGTCACTGCTCGGCCTCCTAGGCTGTGCCGGTTTGATGTTTGGTTTGCGCGCATTGTACTCGTGCTGCGCAGCCCTGGCCTGCGGGTCGCTGGTGGTAGCCCTGCATTTATTCTCCCCTGCTGCAGCGGATCCTACCTGGGGATCGCTCAGCCAGGCCCTTATATTCCACCAGGTAAAAATTGATTTACTGATTTTTTTGGCTTGATATAAGCAGTTCTTGTTAATTATTGATTATTTGCAAATGTTTATCCAATATCAAATATACGAAAAATATTTTAAATTTTACAACGGATACTTTTGGACAAAATTTCAGTTGATATCGTCATATAATATCATCTCAATTGGTGATTTGATAGTCAAAGAATTAGGTAGTTTCCAAAGCCAATAACAAACTATTCAAAATAATAAAATACTTACAAATAAATATTTAAAATTGTTAAAATCAAGTGGAATAGTAATTTAAAGGGATAATGATTATACTTTCATAAATTGATTTAAGTTATGCTTTGTTTTCGTATTCCTCTGTTTAATTTAAGAGTTATAAATATGCTATCAGCCGCAAAACTGTTAGACGTAACAACTTGCTATTAAATCTACGAAAAATTGACGTTTTTGATGTTTTAAAAAGAGAATTTGCTTAGTTGGAGAATACCCCATTTAACCTGTTCCACTACCTACATTTACCAATTAATAACTATTTCTATATTGATCTCATGACTATCACAATCTTTCAGGTCCGGAAATACCTACTACTCCTGGATCCTCGACGAGAACACGTCAAATTCTGGCGTCCACAGATGTTGCTACTGATCGCGTCACCGCGCCAAGCTGCACCTCTCATTGACTTCGTTAATGACCAGAAAAAGGTAACTAATAGATTCAAGTCACTATAAAATCATCACATGACTTCTCGGCGAGAGGAAGTGTCAGAATCTTACTGACTAAAAAACACCCCTTTCCTTTCCCTCCCCCAATCTCCGAATCCCCAATTCCACACACCCAATTTTTTTTATCGCATAACTCGGCAAACGAGCAGACGGATTACCTGATAGTAAGCAATAAGCGTTGCCCATGGGGTGTCCATCAACAAAATTGCAACAGCAAAGGAGTTATCAAGTGCGTTGCCGGCCTTTTGGGGATAAGGGTTACGGATATTTAAGGATTGGGAAGGATTGGGCCTCCGGTAACCTCACTCACACGGCGAAACACAACGCTGTGGTTGTTTCACGCCGGTTTTCTGTGAGGCCGTGGTATCATTCCAGTTCCTTGCATATTACAACCTCGAAGTTCTCTTAGAACTGCCTCCACGTTTTTCCATATATAGTTTTCAAATGACGTGTCATGTTTCAGGGTGGTCTCTTCGTGGTGGGGCACGTGAGGGTCGGAGAATTGGATGGCTCGGGAGATCCGCTGGCGGCTGAGCACAAATACTGGCTGAAACTGATTGACCATCTCAAGGTAAGAAATAAATGACAGATTACTTAAAGGCTAAGCCTTTCTTACTCACCAGGCGAGTTGATGGGCAAAAAGGGATCCAATCGGCAGACAACTTATAAATTCAAAACTGTTTTTATTACAAATCTTGTAAAATTAATTAACTGGCCGTCTATTTATTTTAAAAATCAACGATGTGTCATCAACAAGTAATACCATTCCCGATTCACGTTGAAATAAATGAGGTAATTTGAGTGGCGAATAGATGTTTGCGAATTTTCCTAGTATATATTAACCCTTTTTCTGTGTCTATTCACCCCTTGAATTTTATTCACCCCGTTTTACCGTAGATACGTCATTTGTGTACACCAAAAACAGGAAAGGACATAATATCGAGCCCTGTGGTACGCCCATAGATATGCTAGCACCCTGGGATTTCACTTTATTTATTCCATTTTAATAACAAGATTAATACATCATAGTTAACACAATTCATACTATAAAACGCAGTAATTTTCTGTCCCTATATCCCTATGTATGCTTAAATCTCTAAAACTACGCAACGAATTTTGATGCGTTTTTTAATAGAGTAATTGAATAGGAACGTTTATATGTATAATAATATTTATGAAATAGTGGAGAAATTTAGTATCAGCGTTGTACCCGTGTTAAGCCGGGGTGTGTCGCTGGTAGGTAGGTACCTCATAAATTGCCTCTTTTTACTGTAACAACTCTTGTAAACAACACTTTCCACTTGACAACAGTATCCTATCCGCAAAGGGACGAATTGAAGTCACGATTATAAACCGAATTATTGTGCTTAAGCACAAGTCACACACGAAGCGTTAAACGTTGCTTTAAAAGTGTCTTTTTGCTTTATGTAGTGTAGAGATTGTTAAATCCGTAGGCGGCGATGATTGCTTACCATCCATCTTATCATTTGCAAGCGTATAACATAACAAAAAATACTTTTTTGCCTCTTGTGGTGATATGAAAATGATGTTAATGATTCCTATTTTAAATGTTAGGGAAAATATTTAGTTTTAATTCCGCGACAAAAATCCAGGCTTGTTGCAGGATGCAATCCCACTCCTATGCAATCATGCATATGCACATGCAGCAAGGGTCCCACCCTCCCGCCCACATGCATATGCACACATACACAAAACGGAAAAACATGCCACGCAATCAAACCTATACTCGACACGTGTTTCGCCCCTCCACAGGGCATCTTCAGGAGATGTTGACTCGCAGCCGAGCGCTCGTCGAGTGTTTTTCCGTTTTGTGTATGTGTGCATATGCATGTGGGCGGGAGGGTGGGACCCTTGCTGCATGTGCATATGCATGATTGCATAGGAGTGGGATTGCATCCTGCAACAAGCCTGGATTTTTGTCGCGGAATTAAAACTAAATATTTTCCCTAACATTTAATGTCATGGATTTCCGCAAAGTAACGCCTGATTCTATAGATTCCTATTTTGTTCGTCCAGGTGAAAGCGTTCGTAGAGCTAAGTCTATCGTCATCGGTTCGGTCGGGCGCGGCGCAGTTGGCGCGGCTGGCGGGGCTCGGCGCCATGAAACCTGACACCGTACTACTTGGGTTCAGGGACACAGCGCCACCCATCGATTTCTTTAGAGAGTAAGCTCTTTTATTATTTTTATTACATACTTACTTCGTGTGTTTGTTAAACATCCTTTAGTGCGACTACCTCGCAAGTCTTGACTTCGCTTAGTATGTCGAGTAAAGTCTAATTATTTATCAACATAAAACAGCCCTTTTACACGTCAAACTTTTATTAGTAAAAAAACTAGATGAAGCCGGCATTTCCTAACTTCGAGGAACTAACGACTTCTCAGAGTACGAGTAGTCAACTCGTACTCTGAGAAGTCGTCGAAACAAACAAAAAAGGTCCGTATTGAGTTTATACATGCATTCTCACTATTACGATTTGTCTAGTCTGTGGAAGTAAACACAAAAACGAATGTACGGCTTTTAAGACAATAGTCTATTGGAATAAAGGGACAATTCAAACTATCAATTTAAATACCAAAACTAGAATACCCATACGCGTATTAAAAAATGATAAATATGTTAACTCTCCCCTATTTTTCCAGCCCCCTCTCCCCCTACAAGACGGATATCTTCGACCTAGAGTCTGGTGAGACGATATTCCCAACGCGCAAGCCGACAGACCCGCGCCTCTCCGCGTCAGAATATGTGCGCATAGTTTCCGACGTACTATGCGTCAATAAGAATGTCTGTCTGTGTCGACACTTCCATAAATTGGACATGGCTAAAGTGGAACGGTGAGTTTCTTTGTTATTATTATTATAAGTAAGAAAAACGTCATTTTTATAGCCTGTATAAAATTCGGGCGGTTTATGTGTGGTTAAACTTGAACCTGAAGTAAAAACTACTAATGCGTGCTCAGCAATACTTATTAATATACTAATTACTTACTATTAATATATGTAAGTTTGTATGTGGGGGGGTCATATTTGGATTGCTCGACGGATTTCCAAAATAATTTCGCTGTTACTTATCATTGCAGCCCTCGCAATAAATTGTTATGTTAAAAAAGAACTAGTATACGCAGGAAACTCGACAAGTTTCGAGTAACACAAGGGCTCATGACAAGAGGTAATGATTTATTTGTTGTCGAAAAACGACTTGTGTGTTTGCATTGATGTCGTGGTGGCTCGTAGGTTAAAACGCCTGCTTCGAACTCGCAACCTCATGCATGAAATGAGAAAATAAAAATATCGAGCTCAAACGATCTCTGTGTGAGAAGAGACCTTTGCTGAGCAGTGATGTTGTGTTGCAGCAAGTGTCGGTCGCTGCAGTACATCGACGTGTGGCTGGTGGAGCTGCGCGCGGCCAGCTGCGAGGAGGCCTTCACCGTGCGAGGCCTGTTCGCGCTGCAGCTGGCCGCCGTCGTGCGCTCGGCGCGCGGCTGGCAGCATCTGCGCCTGCGCCTGCATGCCGTCGGCCTGCCCGCGCCGCTCCCCACCACCATACACGGTACGTTCCCTGTTCGCGCTGCAGCTGGCCGCCGTCGTGCGCTCGGCGCGCGGCTGGCAGCATCTGCGCCTGCGCCTGCATGCCGTCGGCCTGCCCGCGCCGCTCCCCACCACCATACACGGTACGTTCCCTGTTCGCGCTGCAGCTGGCCGCCGTCGTGCGCTCGGCGCGCGGCTGGCAGCATCTGCGCCTGCGCCTGCATGCCGTCGGCCTGCCCGCGCCGCTCCCCACCACCATACACGGTACGTTCACGGTGAACAACAGTTTGTGGATCACACAAAGAGTTGTTCCGTACAGGAATTCTAAACCTGCGACACGTTACACAACAGCCAATTGCCCAGCTACTGCGCCAAACGTCCAGTCAAATTCGAAGTCGATTGGGGGAAAGTAAGACTTAGGCATCTGGAAACCTTACTAAAGACGAAACCCAACTCTGTGGTTATTTCACCCCAACAACATTATATTTACGCGGGTATTAACGCGGAAAATTATAACAAGGTCGTGGTCACAAGCAGACTGCCTGCTTGTGACCACGACCTGTGCAACCGGGTCGAAACGTCAAGCCTACCAAGGTATTCAAATTATAATTTTCCGCGTTAATACCCGCGTAAATATAATGTTGTTAAGATGAAACGCGAAAGTTTAAAAGTTAGTATTTCACCCCAGTTCTGTGTGAGACCTTGGTATCACTCCACTCAACAAATAATCGTTATATTTCCAGAAGCAGGTCGCACAGTAACGGTGGGCGAGCGCTCTGCATTAGAATCCCTCGCCGCGGGCCGACCACTTGAAGAGAGACTCGACAAACTGCTCAAATTGCTCAGGATAAACGCCAGCATACATATTGTAAGTGTTTTCGTATTAATTAATATCATATTTGATAAATTAAAACTTAAGCAACAAAGCGCATAGATTTTTTTTTATCTTAACAATATCTTAACAAAAAATACAATTAATCATTTATGTAACATAAACACAACATGTGATATCGAACGCCACTGATTCTCAGAAAAATAATAATAATATTAATTAAGAAGTATAGGCATTTTGACTATCTGATGATGAGTCTGATGATGAGAGACTCAGCAACTTCACGGCGGCAACAAAACATTGGTTGATTCACACCGGTATTCGATGAGATCTTTACATCACTGCGCTCAAGCCAGCCTTTTATATCCCAATTATACAGTTGTGTATTTTTTAAATATGTTCCAATAATACATTATAGGTTTCGGAATGGCCGAAATTGGACGAGTACAGCCGATACTACAGCGAAGATGAGGATAGCCTTTACGAACGTGTGCCCCTCAGCTATTTGCAAATGTAAGTACTAATACAACTGACTTCCTTCTACAATATTAAGGTGAAAAATAAAATTAATATGAAGCCAGGATTAAGGAGGTTCCTGTATGGTGACGGATCACTACTATCCCCGCAAATGTCATAAAGCCCACCTTTTTTTTAGTTTTGATGGAATATAATGATCAGATGACTTCTCTGGGTGAAGGCTTTCACTAAATAAAAACCACCTCGCTTCTTTTCTTGGTCAAGGCCGAGGCCGCGGTACACGATTAGGACCCATCTGATGTGGTTTATTGGCCTTTTAACGCGCGCGGAACGCTATGCGCTATAGTATCGGGTCTGTTTCTGGTCGGGCAGCGGGCTACCCTTGCTCGCGGTCCAGAGACAGAGCTTACGGTGGCCTGAGAAGCTGCAAAGGCGCTAGGAGGATAGTTCCCTACGCCCTCTGCTTTCTTCTTTGCATAAATATCACTGCTTCGCAGAAAGAGGAGACGGCTTCCCAGTTTCTCACGCTCCACACCATGGCTACGACTAAGGCCGGTCACGGTTACAAGACGCCCAAAGTCTAGTTGTAGACTGTGGATCAAATTAAACAGTTTTAGATAGGCGACCTTCATTTATCGGATAGATCGGCAATCAATCCAACATTCTACGTGATGGTAAGCAATCAATGAGCAGCAAGACCCAGTTGTTTTAAGTGCTGCCTTTGAGTGATGGATTTGATGATTAGGGATGAGAAAGGTCATTTATTTCATTGTTATTTCATTGATCCAGTGGAACCTAACATAAGCTTTGTTTCACGCCAGATTTTTGTGTTGCTTGTATAAATTTATCATTCTTCATTTTCGTTTTATTCCCTATTTGCAGTGTAAACAATATAATCAAGCAGCGTAGTTCGGAGGCGACGGCAGTGACCTTCGTCCAGCTGCCGGCGCCGCCCAAACTGTCCAATACCGCTGCTGACGACAACATATGCGAACAATACTTGAAGGTAATATGCCAAAATAGACCTTATAAACAAATGTATAAAGGACGCACATGGAACAACTCTTTATGTGATGTGTAATTTTATGGTTGAAAACGAAATTCATAGTGTCATTAATCATAAAAAAAGTCAACTTGCGTCAAAAATATCTTTGTGATATTTATATGTTTGTAGTTTAGATTTTAGTGTTTCTTGTTATTCTACAATCTCTCTTTAAATGCAGGACTGCATGTTTCTTCTCCACACGTATTTCCATCCTAATTGCTAACAAAATTGCTTTCTCTGTTTTCTATATCCTTATGTAAGCTTAAATCTTTAAAATTATATTATGCGAATCGTTGGTTATATTAAATACTATCTTCTGCCCTCGGCTTCGCCCGCGTTGTATGTTAATAAAAAGTAGCCTATGTCCTATTCCGGAGTGTATCCTATGCCTGTCCCAAATTTCACCCAGATCCATCCAGCCGTATTGGCGTGATTGAGTAACAAACATTCAAATATCGTAACTTTCGCATTTATAATTTTATAGTAAGAACAATGACCTTGGACTTATGGAGTATGTTCATCATTATTTACAGGTGCTAGATGAGTTCACAAAGGACCTGCCCCCCACAATTCTCGTCCGAGGACTAAAGTCTGTCACTTCCACAGCGCTATAACCAGGGAGTACCTGACTCTATGCTAATTAGATCTCTTAGTGCTGATTTTCGAAATAAAAAATAAAAAATACCAAAATTGTTAGACGTCAATTCTATTTTACGAAAAAGTTGAAAAGTCAGCTTTTACTAAAGTAACGTAATAATGTCGCAGATAAATTAGCTTTTTACACTATCTCGATTTTTGACTGCATTTTTAAAATAGTGTGCATGTGCATAGGCTGTATTTCTGTATTTTTTGCTAAACCAACTGCAGGACAAAGACTTGAGTATATTATTGTGTTATATCTTGAGACATTCAAAATTAATTTAAATGTAAGTACGACTGATGTGAACTTTTCGAGGAATGCTCGACTGGTTTCAAGTTATACTGGGAACCATGAATGTGGCTTTTGTCCGATTTAAAGCGGTGTCATTGAATATTTAATTTAAGACAGTAATTGGACATGACCTTAATACTTTACTGTTTTACGGGATTTAATGCAGATTGCTTGTAACCATGGCAGGTGCAACCCTGCCGAAACGCCAAGCAGAGCAAATAAAAGGTACGTTCGCGTTAATTCCTGTAATACAGTAAAGTATTACTCTGTCACGCGAAAGTTTAATAGAGTGCCTTAATATTTTTTTTAACAAATCGAACACACTATGTACTTTTTTTAGGTAATTTTAGTTTTCAGCCTTATTAACTGCGACATAATAATGGACCAATTACTAGAAATGTAAACATACTCAAAGTTTTAGGTAAATATATATTTATATGTAAGGATATATAATGTGCATACTTGATAGCCATAATGATGGTTTGAAAAATAATACCGACCATATTTTTATGGAAATAACAGTGACTTTTTAGCATCGAAATGTCTTTAGGTGTGTAATTTTTAATGTCATTTTGATAAATCTATGTCATATGGATGATGACTATGGACTAATGGTCAAATTTAATGATCTTTTCAATATTTGAGATTCCAAATTGTGAAGTCATTGATCTTTTTCGTCAAATGTTACTACTTAACTTATTTTTATATAATCAACTAGAAAAATGATTTTTGAATATCAAATATCGTGAGACATATTAAATTTATTAGAAATAGCGACTTACGTGAATTAATTAACGACTTGTTCGACTAGTTTCAAGTTATGGCGGGACTCTTATTCATGGGCGATGTGCGTCATGTGGCCGTGCTGACTGTCGGCGAAATTTAGAATAACAAAACTAAGTTATAAGTACGTTAATTAATTAGAGGTTAGTCACTTTTATACAAATTAGGTGGACATTATTAATTTTAGATTGAGTTGTCTCTCTAATAGGAAATGTTTTTCAATATTATTTCTGTCACTGAGAGAAATAAAATTAATATGAAATCGATATTATTTTTCCAACCGTCATCTTATCTCAACGTACTGTACAATTGTCCACCCATAGAGTAAGATTTTAAACACGGTCGCTTAAAAAACACACTATTCAAATACACTATATTCCATTGTAAAATATTATTCAAAACGGTGCTGCTGCATAATAATTGTTCCTCTTTTAAAATAGTTAAAAAAGCAAATACACAAATTAATATTCAATGATCAGTAAATATTAATAACTGGATGATATTATTATGATGAAAATAACGAACGACTTATGCCCGGTATCCGAAAGCCCGATCAATGTTAAAATCAACTAACTAGGTGTCAAATCTTTTGTCAAGTCGTCTGATTGGTTGTTGATAATTCAGTCAAAGTCAAAGTCAAAGTCAAAATCATTTATTCCAATTAAACCATAAATAGGTACTTTTGAAACGTCAAAATAGAAAAGTAGTCTGTCAGTCTGTTCGTCAGTGAACCAATCAAATGACTTGACAAGAAATTAAATTGATTTTAACATTTATCGGCTTTTCGGAAACCGGTTGTAGCTCTCGTGATTTATCTGAGAAAAGCTCGACTAAATTCAAGTCACAACGGGACTCTTATTCATGAGTAGCGTTGTCTACACAGTTGGCTGCGTGACGTCGCCACAACGCGCAGCGCTTTTTTTTTACGTCTCGTCGGCAAACGAGTAGATGGATTACCTGATGGTAAGCAATCAGCGCCGCCCATGGACACTCGTAATATCAAAGACGTTACTACAAGTGCGTTGCCGGCCTCTTGTGGGTAATAATTTTGAGGATGTGGGAAAGGATTGGTCCTCCGGTAACCTCACTCACACGGCGAAATACAACGTAGTGTTGTTGTTTTTTTCAGTTTAATCACGTGAGTAGTTCGTTATTTTCAATAAAAAATATATTATTTTATCAATAAAACCACTTTCTGGCTACTTTTTTAATTGACCAATATATTTTTGAACATTAATAAATACCGCATTGTACTCATTATATTACTTACAAAGTCTTAGAATTGAGATTGTTTTTTTTAACTTATTCATACAGATTAACAGATAATATCTCTTTTATTTTCAAACTAGAAAGCCTTGTATTCGATTGTTTGGGTCAGTCTATAGAAATGATAGCGTGTAATTTAATTTCATACTTTTTGAAATGTCAAAAACGATTCATTTGTTCATACAATTTTTTTATTTTTATTGGGTAGTTTTCTAGCAGAAAAATATACTTAGTTATAGTAGTAGTAGTATAACAGTTTTCTATACAATGATATTTTTCTATGAATTTTGTTTGATCATATCATATTACGTCATAAAGTTTTTACGTCGAAAAGCATAATTATTTTGGAAAAGTTAACTAAAAACATCTAGAAATACAAATCAATGTATGAAAGTTTGAGTATATTTTAATAATTCATTGTATTAATCTAATATTGAGCACCTAGCTTCTTATTTATGGTTGAGTTGCAATAAATGATTTTGACTTTGACTTTGACTTTGAAAAGTCAAAATTATTAGTTTTTGAGCTAGGAAAGTACCAAATTGCTTGAGTCTAGAGACACGGCTTTCATAGCCTAAACATGGTCATCGAACTACCATTTATACGTGTACGCATACTTAAGTTTTTAATTTTCCCTAAACTAAACCTCACAATAAAGAATCAGGACAATAAGTATTACTAAATAGGGTGCAAAATAAGTTACCTATTAGCTAGACGAATTGAATTATGACAAGTGGCCTTATCGCTATAGTATAAGGTTGACATTAGCCTACTTTTTTGTAATTTGTAATTAATTTATTATTTATACAGATTGGATACGATGTATAGGGTTTTCTTACTGTACAGTGAATATTTTTGTGGGCTTAGATCTAGTCTATGAGGTCTCTTTTGTTAATTAAAAGTATAATTTATCAGACTGCTCAAAAACATTTGCCTTTTAATATACATATTTAGATCTCTATTAGTTATTGGCGTAAAAATATTTCTTTTTCATCTTTAAAATTGTTAATTACTCTTTTATTTCTCAACGAATTTCGATACTATATCTTTTTAGTAGCAAAATGTGGTGGTAAGCCTATAACTGAAAAACGGCTGGACCAATTTTGCCTATTCTTATTCTTTTGTTGTGTTCGTTATGGTCAGAAGAAGGTTTCTTAGAAAGAAAATTTTAGAAAGGAAGAGATTTGAATTAGGAAATCTATGTAGGGGCAAGCTGCTAGTTTCTAATAAGTTCTAGGACGATCAGTCATCTCCCTCATGATCAAAAAAACGGGAGTAGACACTTGAAATCCGGTGGTGATTCGGGTTCACGGGCAGTGTTGTTTGCTTACCTTCAGGTGACTCGTCTCCACAATTGCTATCAATGCTATCAATACAAAACAATAGCAATCTGAGGTTTGAATGTATAACCATATGTCGTATTCGATTTGTACAAAAGTAAGGGCTGATTTTTTAATGGTTAGATAAAAGTTACCTGGGGAATAATTATGATGCTGTCGCGTCAGAACTTTTGTAAAAGACAGTGACAGCAACAATTCCTCAGATAACATTTATCTGGCTATTGAAAAATTAGCCCCTAATAAACAATTTATATATTTTTTATGTTTTGACACAACTTTTATTATAACTTTTATATATTTTAATTATTCGATTTCATTGCGTATTTAACCCAAAAATGTTGACAAAACGTGGCAATTTTATGTTGAAATTTGATTATTAAATATTCCTAAAGTGTATTTTATTTGTATTCCATTTTTATTATTATTTTATTACTAACTTAAGGTTTTGACTTTTTAGTAAGATTTGTGTAAATAAATATTGTTGACATTTGCTGGCAAATGCTAGTTATAAAATCACTGACTATTTTATTACACTTTTTTAAGTTTCACGTGGCACATATTTAATTAAAATAATTTACATATTTAAATTCATTTATACATTGACTATTCAGGTATTGTAAGCCTTTTTAGTGTTATTAAGAAAATGATTTGGCATATTATAACAATTTAAATTATTAGTGCTTTTAAAACAAGAACAAACCATAGAATATTAATAAATTCAATAGTAAAAACTTACAACTTTTTTAAGAAATTAAAAATAAAGTCGAGCAATAAATTATTGAGTTTGACAAATTGTTTTCGGTGCTTAGCGATAAAGCTCACTTCACATTACATTTCACTTCATATTTATAACATAACAATTACTAAAAGTGTATAATACCTGCACCGTTGTCATTGTTATGTCATGTCATTAAAAAACAAAAGTATATAATAATATTACTTACCGAATTGTCCATATACCATCCATTTTCACCTACAAATTAAATTGTACTCTATTTCTATTAGCACTTAGTTTAAAATAAGTAGGTATAGATATAAATACTAAGGTGTACTTGCAAGACAGATTGCGATTAGTATCACAATATTATCTGTTTTTCATTAGGAAGGAAAAGAGATAGATTATAATTATTTAAATGAGTAAAAGAGATGGAATGCTTGTAATGTTCTTTTTACTTGACTTTGATGTGCTTGAATTCATAATATAAAAATGCTCTTTTAAAAATATTATTATTATTTATTTAGGTGCTTATATCAACTTACATATGGATCAAGTTCGATTGTCGGTTGGTTTACTGACATTAGTATAATTTGCCTCATCTCTGCTTATACACTTAATAAAAACTAGAATATAGATAGAATTTCACTCAACAACATTTGACCAAACAAAGATTTAAAGATAAAAAAGTGTCTGTCGGTCAGTCCTCTTAGTAAAGTTGCTCGTTCCAAAGTATAGATTCCGATGGGGCAAGTAACTAGTAAGTAACTGTGGGTTATTTTTCTTTTTCTGTCAGTTCGCTATTCGCAAAATCGTGCAAGTAAACCTTAATTACAGTAAGTATATGTAGATACAGGTTGTCCGACAATGCCACATAGAGGAAAATGTCTTTAATCCCTAATAATAGTGAAGATAGACAATTTTACTGAAAGAAGGCTACACTTTATTTTCAAAAACAATTCTAATTGCATTCATAGTATTTTAAATAATTGTCTGGTTGGACGAAAATGTGAACTATGTGTAGAACTGTGCTTGTGGAACAGCCTGTATACATAAAATAATAAATAACACAAAGGATGCACCAAAATATTTTATATAGCACGAATTTTTTATTTATATTAAGTATATGTATGTACCAATATAATTATATTAGTAAATGTACCAACTATGTTTAATATTTCTTAAGTGTAATTTTAAAAACAGTATTTTATAGCAAATTGTGATATGACAATAAATAATTGATTCTATTTTTATATTATTGTTTTTTTTATAGTGTATTATAGTATGGTGGTAAACAATTCGACGCACGCGCATGGTACGTAGCGTCACGCGCGCGCCGCATACCACCTCATATGAGCCAACTAACCACTACTGATGAGGCCCAAGCGGGCTAAAATTCGGCTGGTGTTGTGGAGCGATCAACAATGTGTTTTGTTGCACTGGCCTGGAGCAGGACTTCTCCTGCTCCAAAACTCTTACTCGTCCCTTCGGACGAGATGGTTTTTAGTCAGTAAGAGTGTAATACACTATTGTCCCTTATCTACGGCGAGAGAAGTCATTTCAGATGATTTTACCCCCATAAGCAGAGGTAGGTGCGCAATTCGCGCCGCCCCCATGTAGATCGACATCAAAAAAGTTGCCGAGTGTTTGAGATTGGAGGATTGTGGACCCTCTGTTACAAAGAGTATGTAATACCTTTCATACTTTCAACCAGGCCGAACAGGAGAAGGGACGAGAGAGTTTTTTGACAGTAAGAGTCTGGCACTCCTTCTCGCTGCTTAAGGGAGAGAAGTCATCTGATGATTTTACTCTTTTGGAAAGGGAGAGGAGGAATAAGTGCAATGAAGTCAAGTTAGATTTCTATTACGTCATGTTTATTACTTACAATTAAGTCTTATAAGTAATTAGGTAAATTAATATATTACAATTAAACAATAAATTATTATTATTTACAATAGCTTCCGCCTCTTGGCATTAGTGTTATCTTATGGTATTAATTAGATTTATTAAAAAAAATACGATCTTAATTTTGTTCTGTCAGTTAATAATGATTTCATTGAGAAATAAATGAGTTTTCTTAAATAAAAATTAAATGTCATTTACATTTGGTCACATCACATCCTCCTCTATTCTTATAATATTAAGATTTATTTAAAAAAAAAAAAAAGTTATTTTTCTGTCAGTAAGTAGTACCAATAAGGAATTTATTGAGACCTAAAATATGTCTAAGTATTTGTCGAAATTCGTCCGCCAATTATACAAAGTCTGGTGTATACCATATACAACAAATTTTCTCCATTTACACGGTCATAATAATATGTTGTTTGCAAAATGATTCAACTAAATCGTAGCTAACCAGCCAATAAAGCTCAAATTATACCTGATTCCAATATCAGGTATAATTTGAGCTTTACAATTCAAAATCTATTTTAAACTAGGAATATAAAATAAGCATATTACAGTTCAGAATCATTATGGCCCTTTAAAAAAATACCCATAATATTTTATGGCACTTATTTAAGACATACCTAATTCAGAGCAAATTTTCTAAAAGCAATTAAAATTGAAATTACGTGACTTGTAATACGGAGCGATTCGTTCAATACATTAAACATTATATTAGGTATTCAACATTGCAAGATTGTTATTAAAACAATACACTTGGAGGACAGACAACAATACAACATATACCTGTTCTATACTTAGAAATACACCCTATTATGGGAATACGCTCATACACTTACTAGAATATCTTCACTATAATATTAGTCAGTTTTATTTTAAAAACTTCGGTAGGTAAATCGACTTAATAACACTAACACCCGGTTTCGGAAAGGCCGATCAATGTTAAAATCAATTTAATCTCGTGTCAAGTCATCTGATTGGTTGACTGAATTATCTACAACTAATCAGATGACTTGACAAGAGATTTAACAGGAGATTAGTTAATTTTAGCGTTGACAAGCCTTTCAGAAACCGGGTGTAAGTGTCCGTGGAATTGACAACTATAAAATTATTGGATTGCTGCACCTTCTATCTGTGGTGATAGCTCTTAGAGAGGCTAAAGATTGGACTGACTTCAACTCCTCAGGAGACAAAGGCCTTCCTCTGAACTCATCCTCAATATCCTGAAGAGTTCTGTCCTTCGTTTCTGGCAATAAATTCCATACGATCACTAAACTGTACACCATTAACGACGCATATATTAAATACGTGCCATACAAGTCGATAGAACTTAAAAAAAATGGCACGGTTTTTATTGTAACAAATAAATTCGTTGAATAGAACAACACACTGATCCCTCCAGCTAAACTACGGTACTCTAATGGAAATATTTCACCAGCTATTATGAAGCACAGCGGTAATGATCCTGTAGCTACAGCAAACATGTGGATGTGTATTATTGATACCCCAAAACCGAACTCATCTGGAGGAATGTGACCGGTCTCCTTCGCGTAGGAATATGCAGCGCAAGCTATCAGCGCTATAATGTTTATACACACTGTAACACCAAGTATAGTCCGCCTTTTCACTTTCTGTATCACATACAAAGCTGTCGTATTTGCTAAAATTCTGTGCACGTCCAGAGTGAGCACTAGTAATGGTATGTCGCATTTATTTCCAACCATCTTGTGGAATAAGTCTATAGGGAACGCCACCAGCATATTGATCCCGCTCCACTGCCCCAATATGTATATGTGTATCATTATAATAATCGGCTTCAAAAACTCCTTTTTCTTCACCGTTGTCTTAAAATACTCTACTTGGTTTCTGAACTTCTTTATCCAAGATTTCGTTTGCTGCATGTCTGCTTCAGCCTCTCTGAGCAAAATGCTTGCTTCTATCATTTTTCTTAGCTCTTCTTCTTCGACCTCGCCTCTGAGCCACCGAAAGGATTGTTTGCAGGCATCATATCTGCCTTTCTGGGCCAACCAGCTTGGAGATTCTGGTGAATATAATACGATGAAGAGGTCTATGAAAGAGATGCCGCCACAAACTAAAGCTGTGGTTTGCCACGTGAAGTGGGCGCCCAGAGAATGTACTGTCATCACTGCTATGGCTATGGAGACTGATATCGTCATTAGGAAGGCTCCTCTGTTCTTGGGGCTGGTGTATTCTCCTATTAGAAGTGATCCTAGGGAAGTGCACATGCCCATGCAGAGACCCTGAAGAAACCTGGCCAGGAGTAGAATCGTGATGCTGTTGGCGAAGTAGATGGCTGCCCAGCCGATAATTAGCGGCACTATGCTGATCAGGTTGGCAATTTTTCTGCCATACCGCGACATCGTTGTGGGCGCGATGAAGTTGCCGAAGACCAGTGACATGCCGGGTATAGCCGCTGGAAACAATAATAAAGATATATATATTTATTTGTTTTTAAATAAATTATGTATACCTATCTAATTGGTTAAAGATTCAGGACTATTTTCCCTAAAGCGAGCAATGTGGGTTTTGCTACTTCTATAGGCGACAGTCTAACTTTAGCTACCCACAATGATTGACAATACTGTAATATAAACTCATAGGCACTGCTTGGTTCAACCCAGATGAGTTAAAGTTGAAATCTCGTCAACATAGCATGCAGATCATTCTAGTGTACTATTCATCAATTTGTATCAATGATCAACTGCAATATAAATTATGTATTTCACGTTTTATGATTTTGGCTTCTCATGGCACGGTCGCATCGGCACGTCACAATGATAAGAGGTCAAGGAGATACTGCAAAGATACTGAACATATAAACTAACTCCCTCGTTTAACTGCTATCTGATAAAATAAATCACTAAACTAAATCATGTTATAGTATGTTTCCAATTTAGAAGGTATGCTGGCAGTTTTGTGATTTCGTAAACACATTTTTTGGATTTGTCAGTATTTTTAATACTTTCTGCACTACAGCAACAATGAATCTGCGACATCTTCTAAAACATAACAGATGTCAAAGTCAAAGTAAAATAAAACACCCTGTCAATCAGTCCTCTTAAGGAAGCTATTAGCTCGTCTGTATAGTATTAGGTAGGTAGTATTAGGTAGATTCCGATGGAGAAAAGAGATGGAGTGAGTATGGCCACTCCTGCCTAACCTATCTACGAATAAAGCCGTAATATCAAGTGTGGGAGAACCATGCTTCGGCACCAACAGGCAGGATTGACCGGAGTAATACCACGGCCACCCTGAAAATCGGCGTGAAGCAACACTTTTTTTTTGTCAGTGGATAATCATCAAATAGCTTATCCCGCCCAGGGTAAAGCGAGAGAGAGTGTCAGACTCTTACTGACTTAAAACGCCCCCGTTCCTTCTCCTGCTCTGGGCCGCGGTGACTCATTGCGCTTAACCCGCAACCCCGGCTGAACATCAGCCCTATAGGGCCCCGTCTGTGGTGGTGTATTGGCTCTTTGAGGCGCGCGCGGAACGCTACGCGCCGTACGCTCGGGTCTGGTTCTGGTCGGGCAGCGAGCTACCCTTACTCGCCGTCCGCAGACCCGCGCTTGCGGTGGCCGGCGATCATTTCTCGAAGCAACACTTACGTTATGTTTCGCCATTTGAGTGAGGTTACCGAAGACCCAATCCTCAAACAGCCTATCCTTAAATCCCTAATGACCCACAAGAAGCCGGATTGCATAATAAAACAAATATAATGTGACCTGACAATGATACATGACAATGAACATGTTTATTATGCTGAACTACATTCAAGTACAATTGCCGAGCACGTTTCGTTCAAGCACATTTTGATTAGTGCCGGGTGTGGAAGTGCCTCGTGCTTGTCTAATTGCCTACGGCAAAACACATTGACGCGTCTAATGTGGTTAATAGGAGCTAATGTGGCACAAATGGAGCTGATGTGGCATAGTAGGAGGTAGGTAGAGGTACTATCGCATTCCCATAATCAATCTTTTCAAAACCCAGGTTGCCGGGTTGCGTAATGTGGAACCGCATCCTTGGCCCAGAGTAGGAAAGGGGGCCCGACTCTGGGCCGGAGAAGTCATTTTATGATATTCACCTCACAAAAAAAAACACCCAGGTTACAACCTTCAGACAAATTTCTAGTCTTCGGCAAATAACTTCATTCTTTAGCGGTTCTGATGGGTAGAGCATTCATCATGGACAGGTGACTTTCTGCTGATTATGTAACTTTTTTTGTGTACACTCTGTATTGTGTCCGAAAGGCTTGCAACTTTGCGCGTGTGTCAAGGCTTTGAACTTGGGCCTTCACAAGCGCGGAGATACTCTTGGCACGCCTTTTAATTTAAAGAGGTTGGTTTCTTGTAACTGAAGGAAAGGAGCTGCTTATAAATATGGGCCCTACAAATTATGAGTCCATCCAACAGTCCTACAACTCCATAATAAACTTGTGATTTCTCTAATGTTGCAAGCGTTCTTTAGTTACCGCACCCGTTTGCCAAATGAAAAATCGTAAAATTGTATGCTACCAAAATAGTAGTAGGTGTGTATAAAAATAAATGTATTACACTCATTTCTTTAGTGGCATGACGTGCTACTTTTAACGAGGAAAAATCGTCGAATGAAGGAGACATCTCACCCTGATTTAGTCAAAAGGGTGTGTCCGAGATGAGCCACAGGATAACGGCTGGATGACGTAGGTAGATACAATCGGAGACGACTTACTCCTTTTTAAGCGATAGGATGGCAAATGAGTAGACTACTTGCCTGATGGTAAGCAATCGACGCCGTCCATTGACACGATCGTTACGATTGCGTTGCCGGCCTTTTGGAGAATAGAGAACAGGGAACTATTGGGGAAGGGAAAGAAGGAACTGGTAACCTCACTCACACGGCGAAATACAACGCTATGGTTGTTTCACGCTGGTCTTCTACGACTTCCCTTCCACGCGTGCCAGTTCCAGTTTTAATAATGGCAATAAAAAGGCTTTAATAAAATAACAACTTGTTAATTGAGAAAATAATAACAATACTTATAGTATTAGAAATAAAAAGAGGAAAATCGGTTTGGCTGACATTACAAGGACACAGATTGCATTATCAACTTCAAGTTGCTCTCAATTATTAATAAGTACCCACTTAAAAAGTACGCATCATTTTTGCCCATCATATCTATAAATTGATGATGAAGAGCACCTAGCTCCACTGAAAACAAACTGACGTTTCAAAAGTAACTGTTTATATTTTAGTTGGAATAAATGATTTTGACTTTGATTTGGACATTTATTAGGTACTGTCTCGTTGGTTGAGAGGTAACGAATACAGCTGCCGAGTAAGACATTTTATTTATTTATTTATTTATTTTAATAGGCACACAAAATAGGATACAATCAATAACGTTACAGAATATCTATAAAATAAGTAAAACAGATCAAGACCGCATCCCTACACATGTGTACACTGCATGATTATTAGACAATTATATTATGCAGGAAATGGATTTGAAATTGGATTCGTTTCTTCTTTTATACAATGACATTATTTACCTATTGTGATATTTTTTAATTTTCATTAGACATTTTGTTAATTTATTTATTGACATTTTAATTATTTTGCTATTATTGTTAGTGTAAGGACCGTCTGAGAATTTGCCGCGCTTTTTGATTACCAGTTATCTGCGTTCTGACTGATTGAGTACTTGCGCGACCCACCCAAATGTTCTTTTGATCGGTATTGTTCGTCGGACAACTCAGCAGCACTAGCTATACTGGTTGCAAACTGACACTTGCGTGCCTGTCTCCAGAACGGGTCCACTTAAACTGGTGTGGTTCTTTCCTCAAAAGACCACAACAGAATGAACTTGCACGATTCTCTCACATTATGTTATTTTTACATTGTCTGGACTTGAAAAGAGACTGACATCTGAGTTTGTTTCGGCATTTCTTCTCAAAGTAGGTACTCAGATTGGAAATGGCTTCATCTAGTTTTTCACATATAATTTGACGAGTAAAAGTGCGTTTTATGGCCTATTTGCACAAATAAATTCATTGTTTCATTGAAAGTCATTCATTTTAATGGGATAGATCGGTACCAGCGACGACATCACCTATTGGTAAGAAATCTGTACTTCCCGTGGGCATCCGCAACACCTTTTATTTGGAGGGGAAAATCATCAAATGACATCAAATGAATCCGCAACACCTAAGTGTTATAGGTAAGTGCGTTGTCGGACTTTTGTGGATTGTAAGGGATTTGAGGATTGGAGATAAGGAGGGACGGATTGGATTTCCGATAAATTTTATCACTCTCTCAGCGAAAAACAACGCTGTGTTTATTTCACGACGGTTTTTTGTGAGAATATGGTATCATTCAAAATTTTATACTATAGGCACTAGCGTGATACCAGTAATAGCCATCTACTGGCAGCTTAGCTTCACTGGAACAACACATGGAAGATGAAAATAAAAAATAAAAACTAAATAAAACATAACTGACTAGCTATGCTCGCGCGTCTTTACCCGCTGCTCGGTTCCTACACATCGTAGCGTGATGTTTTATAGTATATGGTACTCAGGATCATTGTAGCTTAGCAGAATTTTTGAAATCTGACCAGCGGGGCCAGAGATTAACCCCTACATACAAATTTATAAACACAAACTTACAAATTTTACCTTTTTATTATAATATTAGTATAGAAAAATGTATCGCAAAATGTCTTGGTAAGTGCATAACTCAACAACACGTGGACCAATTTTGCCAATACTTTCTTGTTGTGTTTGTTATATTCAAGAAAAAGGTTTTATGGAAGAAAAATTTCGAAGAAGAAGTGACAAATAGCAATGTTTCGATGCCATGGCGGTTCGATAGCAAAACAAATAGCTGAAATTGAGGTAGTTGGAAACTCGTGCAAAGCAGGGGCGAGCTGCTAGCATTCGAATAAAGATGTGCTTGATTTTTTTTGTGTGATACGACGTCAATTGAGCAGATGGATTGCCTGGTGGTAAGCAATCGGCGCCGCCCATAGACACCCACAACACAAACGGAGGTACGAATGCGTTGCCGGCCTTTTAAGGATAAGGGTTTCGGTTATTTGAGGATTGGGAGGAGTTGCGGAGAGGGGGAAGGATTGGGCCTGGCCGACAACCTCACTCACACGGCGAAACACAACGGTGTATTTGTTCTACGCCGGTTTTCTGTGAGGCCGTGGTATCACTCCAGGCGAGCCGACCCATTCATGCCGAAGCTTGGTAATCATCAAGCATGACAATAATATTAGAGAATTGAGCACGTGCAAAACTGTGGTCGACAGCCAATAATATTTTTCTGTCATTCTTAATAAAATGTGTTGATTGTAGACCAAGTCTCCTATTACATAGATCTAATAAATATGCAATGTAACGTTAGGAGGACGCCTAAGTACCTACCATTTATTGCATAGGTCACTATGGTCATATAACACCTACGTTTTAAACTGCATATGTTTATTAACTACTTATTTAAGTATTATTGTGTGCTGTGTATTGAATCTTAACGAACGAAAATTTAAAACTTATATTAAACGCGAATTGTGTAGACAGGCATACTACAAACTTTCAGATTATATTGAGGATAAGAATGCCTGGCAGCGTTTTGGTTCGGCTCCACTGACAATACTCAAATATAGTCAGTAGTTAGGTAAAATTCTCAAAAATAATGCATCCTTAATTTATATATCCAAAGAGTTTATATAGAAGCACTCTTAAAGATTGTGAGTACGCATATGAGAGCGCCATGTTCGAGACGACAAAGGATTAATGATAGATCCCATCATATGCTTTTTTTTACAACTTCTTGTCTCTGCATTGCTCTCACATAAGGGTACAATAATGTATACTAAATGTTATATTATTGAAATTGTAAAACCAATAATTTTTAAAAGAGTAACGATGGAGTTTCTTGGTCGTTCTTCTCCATTCGAATCTACAATTTGGAATGAGCACCTAGCTTCACTGACGAATAGACTGACAGACTACTTTTCTATTTTGACGTTTCAAAAGTACCTATTTATGGTTTAGTTGGAATAAATTATTTTGACTTTGACTTTGACTTTGCTGTTTATCTAGTTTCCTGGGTCAGACAATTTTATTTTGAGATTCACAACGGTCCGTTTTTTTCTTTCTATGGATAAAATATTCGAAGTATCCTTTTTCTGTACATTCTTCTAGGAGTTTCACAATATAAATGAGGCGATGCTTATGTAGAAACCATTCCGAACTCAGAACCAGACAATTAAGTACCTAATACCTATGTTTTCATATTTATAATATAAAGAATGATCGCAAAATATGTTACTAAGCGTAAATATTGAGAATAGCCTTTTTTATGTCATTAGGTCGGCAAACGAGCGGACGGATTACCTGATGGTAAGCAATCAGCGCCGCCCATGGACACTCACAACGGAGGAGTTACGAGCGCGTTGCCGACTTTTAGGTATTTGGAGATTTGGGGATTGAGGAAGGATTGGGCCTTCGGTAACCTCACTCACACGGCGAAATACAACGCTGTGGTTGTTTCACGCCGGTTTTCTGTGAGGCCGTGGTATCACTCACTCCGGTCGAGCCGACCCATTCGTGCCGAAGCATGGCTCTCCCACACTAAATTGAGTGATTTTATTGACCACACCACACTGTTTAAGAGTGTCTCTAGTGATCACTTGACTAACGAAGCCGAATCTCTCTAAAATGACACGGAAACCCAGTCGTAGATTTGAATCTTGATTCCTTTCTACCATCAGATCCTACAGTATTACAAAAAAAGCTAAAGGCATACCAACCTACCCAAGATCCGGACGTGTCATCCAGGGGTATGATAGACCCTGGTCTCTTTAGCTGCTCCAGTAAGGTCGTGGTGAAACCAATCACCAGCCCAGAGCCAGCCATGTTCAGGGATACGCCAGCAGTGACGAAGCACTGAAATCATTCAATTTTGGAAGGTCAGTTTCATGGCAATTATGACTAAAAGATTAATGGTGATTTTGGTAAAGGGAAGGTGGAAGAATACTCATGACCTGGTGTTACTAGTTGAAAAAATACGATGGAAGCTAAAGATGTCTCACCTAACCTAACTTAACATTTTCAAGTGTCACAGTAGATTCTGTTTATCATATTAATTTTATTTTATTTTACAAGTTTTACGAAAACTCACAGCTGATCAAGAACAGTATATTTCGGTCGATATAACATTATTTTAACAGTCCGGACACGTCAACCGAATTGTTTGCAATTTTAAATAGAAAAACTAGATCCGAGATTTGCTTATTATTTGCGTAGGTATAATAGGTACCTTTTTTTGTCAGGGAATTTCATTGAATTGTTTCATTCAAGCTGTAAGCTGAAGGGTGAAGGGGTTGTAGGTTAGGTTAATACAGTGAACCGCACAAAAATCGAATCGCCGTCAGAAATAAACAGCTGTCGGAATTGAGAAGCGTAAACACTAGGCTGTTAATGAAATGGCTCTTTAAATCAATTGACTGTGACAATTTTATTAAAGCTTACTTAACTTATTAAGTTATAAATATAAATAAAACGCTTTACAAGTCTCGTTCCATTCAAAAACTATAGAATAAGTAATTTTGGTTGTAATTTTACTTAAATGTAGGCGAATTTTTATCACTACTAGTAAAATACATTACTACAGTAATGTACATCAGTACCATTAATATTTTTAAGGGGTAAGTCAAAGAGTGGAAAATTTTGTAGGTGCAGCCAGTGAAGTCGGTGCATTTAAAATCACTTTTACCTCACCGAAAGGGAATTATGACATAATAATAAAAATCAGTTCAGTCGTTTTTGAAGACATAGCATTTAAATAGGTCTTGAAAAAAAAACAAATGCCCTCAGCATTTTTTTTTAATAGAACTACCAACTTTACATAGAATGTTGAATGAATGAATGAAATGTTTTTGGTAGTAAATTTAGAACTACAAATTTAAATAATATTGTGAAAATTGTGTATCTAATATGAATGACGTTTTAAATCTCGAACTGACATAGATTTTTAAACTTTTTAACCTATGGCTATATTTTGTTTTGATTTTAGTTATCTTATCGGTTTAATTTTAATGTTTCCATTCATATCAATAACATAATTAGTAAGTAGGTAGGTAGGTACTTGCTTAATTTTCAGTACATAATTGTATATATATACTTAGGTACTATAACATTATAATGAGTACAAAATTGATTATTTATGAAATTTTCTTATAACGTTTTTATTAATACTTTACTATAACTAGGTGCGACAGAATACAAAACAAATTAAAAAAAACATCAGTTCCAAATTTAAATCTCAACAAATAATAAATTTCAGTAATTCAATTAGAAAATAATTTACAACACAACCGAAAAACAACACAATATGTCAAAAAAAGTTTACAAACCTGCTTTAAAAATGGCGTAATCCATTTATTTAGGCACCCCATCATAAATTGCACATGTTCAGACGTGTGTTGTCCACTCTCAGCACATTATAACTAAGGCCCCCGTAGATAAGGGTAACCTCTGAGTATTGATACAAAAAGTAAACTATAACATGTGGATATTGCGTTCTCATTGGCGCGACCTTGGTGTAACGAAGTCTATTTTAGAATGAGATGTCTATGACTGTAAAGCTCTCTAATTGGTTGGCGCATTTCAATTGATTTGCTTCTGACCAATGTTGTTACTTGGTCATCAAGAGTACTTATAATTTAAAGTGGTTGTTGAGGGCTTTTCTTCTGTGTGGTACGATGTTTTGAGTCCATTTTTTAGTCTTATTAACATGCATGTCACGTTTACGTGTTTATTTTTAACTTCAACTTCTTGATGGTTCTCAATAATGTTGAAGGAAGTGTCATCTACTGCGTTGATATAGAAATGAAGGTCCATGTTTTAAGAGAATTCGAGAAATTAGGAAATTAGATTTCATGTAAAAAGGGTCTCATACGTTCCTCTAATGTCATTGGGGTTCTTTTTCTACAAACAACGTATGGCTTGTGGTAAAATCATGCTAAATATTTTTTTAAGAACTGAGATTCTTGACAGCGTAGATATCTAATATTACCGTCCAATTCTCAAAATAGGTACCTTATAATTCCCATCTGAGAGCAATGTATTTATGGGTTTATCCGTACTTTCTACAAATTTTAACTTATAAGGGAATTGATGTTTGTTACTGATTCACGTAAAATCTACTTAACGGATCTGATCTGAATAAAAGTTGGGAAAAGAGATTATATTCAGGCTTGTAGAAGCTAGTATACAAGATACAAATACCTGCTACAAGATACAGAACTATATATTAAATGAAAAATAAATTTAATCTCACCTTATATATAAATTAAAGTAATTACTCGCCGTTCGCAGACCCGCGCTTACGGTGACAACTATATCTTAGTCTAAACTAAATCGTCATTTTCCTACCTTATACCTAACCAAACAGTAATATGTAGGTAAGTACTTAAGTTAAGATGGAACTGTAGGAATAACAGTGGCCGTGGCGTGTTGTTCCTGTATCCTGTCATCGGCTAACGTGTCTTTTACCATTACAAATGTATCTAATCTATGAGCTTCTGCCGTGACATGCCATGATGGCAATGTATTTGTACTAAGGGTGACAAAAATGCATGGAGAGCTTAAGGTCGACTATTGACTGACAGGTTTTGCATAACGCTACCATTGATAACTAGATGGCGCTGCTTTTAAATGAAAATAACCCTGCAAAGCTTGAATACTTTACACTGCAGAGGCACACAATAAGGTTTTTAATGGTTAAAATAATAATTAAGAAACAATAATATATTTATATTCAAATACACATAAATTATGTTAATTTTCTCATTTCCGAGGACTTAATATAGCGCCATCTAAGTCAAGCCAGCAAACCAATTAAAAGATGGCGTCAATAATTAATAATAGATAATAATAAAAGTTATAAACTAACCCGCATTTTCGATATCATTAAAAATGCGATCGGTAGCTCGGATAAATAAGAATGATAGAATAATGAAGTCGAAGGGCACCGGTTCTATTCCGGGTTATCATTTTTATATTCAGGGTTTTTAACAATGGTTTTTTTTATATTTTTATATAAAATCAGTAATAATAATATATAAATAAAATATTTGACGTTTAATATTTATAAAAGATAACAAAAATAAATAAATATATTATTTTAGAATAAAATTATATTAATAAATATAATTATATAAATAACTTTTATAATATGTGCTAACTATTAATGTAAAAGTAACATATTTTTCTTACAGATTAAGAATTAATACTAAGTTTAATTCTCATAAAGGATAACAAATAAAACTATTTTAGTGACATTATAATTTCAGACATTTATTTCTCAAAACATAATATTTATTTCTTTCTTATATAGTGTATACCCTGACCTAATAACTTTTCAGCTAACTGACACATTATTTATTACACTTTTTATAAGATTAATAAGTATTTTAAATCAAAATTGTGTTGTGCTAGTCATTTATTAGTTAGTTTTAAACACAATGTTATAATACGATTCTATATAATATGCAACCTTACTTCTGCAACTATTTTACCTCCCCATATAATTTAATTAAAGTATTGACTAAAGTGATTCATTTTGTGCATCATGTTATGACAAAGGCTCGTAGCTTAAGTATTCGTTCCAGAACAAGGAAGAAATTGAAGCTAGACCTTATTAAATCAATAACATTTCTAAGACCGGGATATAGCATTCACTAGATATGGGACGAATTGTTTATAGTAATTAATAAATAAATAATTTATTATTTTGCAATCAATAGCATCTGTAAATATTAATATTGCTTTTATTTTTATTTCTCATATTTAGTAAAACATTAAAATCATTACTGTATAACAGTCGCTGGTTATAAAGTAGTCAATAAATTAATCCTACTAGCACTAAGTTTGAACATTTATCCATTAAATAAATTATAGCTACCCCGGTCTTGTAATTGCTTAATCCTATAGTCAAAAATATATATATAATAAATAATATTTTCTTTTAAGAACTAGTGTAGCCGCCATTTTTATCGATCCTATTTCTCCTATCTCGCTGGCCAAGGAATAATCCGTATGTCTGATTGCTGACTAAACACTTGCACAATTATGGAACATTACACATAGGACAATTGTCCTGCACGAACGTTATCACTAGCACATCTTCATGACGTCTTTCAGCACATCTATGTAGTTTTCACTGTTTGCATCACTGAAGATGACAATGCTCCAGTAATTTTCCTCATAACCTTGCCCCATAAGTTGAAGCTGGTCTGAGTCAATATCACGTCTTCTGCCAGATCCACTACGGTGCTCCAATGAACCCTCTTCAATGATATCCATAAAGTGGCAGTCTTTACCTGTAAGGGACGTGTATTATTTATTATTTTCATGTATCGATAACCATGGATAATAAAATAAATAACAAACGGTCATTTTAGAAGAATACTTACGTTTAAGCTAGTTTCTCTAGAAATTCCAGTATAATTTAAGCTTTGATTATGCAATGCTATTATTTGGGCCCTCGTAGCCATATCAACATTTGAACGCAAATTCATAATAAAAATAAATATTAAAAACTTGTTAAACAAATCGTGACTGAACTCACTCAAAGATAGTAAAGAATGTTATGATTGAACAAAAAGATTTAATTTTTATACAGTTAATATTAAATTACCCTCAACTGTTTTGAGATTTATGATCGGGTTATAGTTGTTAAACAACTTCAATATAATAAAGAGTAGGATAATTTCAATACATTTCAAGGTTACGCAATGGCCTAATGGCTAGTGGCATCGGTTAACTTTATGCTACCGAGTTCTATCCTGGTTATTGCGTGCTTTGCTTTAAAAAGGTTTGGAATATCGTAGCATTAATTTGTATAAAATTTATTAAGTTAATAACTTTGTATCTGATAAAAACTATAAATGTATATTTTTCAATACCAATAGTATACTAGCGCCATCTATGTCATCCATGGTATATAATTAAGGCGATGAAACGCCGTACAAACGATTTTGATTTGGAATCATCCATGCACTTATGACACTGATAGTACCTTAGTCGATATGAAGATCAGCCGGGGTTGCGGGGTAAGCGCAATGAGGCACCACGATGGGCCTTTTTAGTCAGTAAGAGTCTGACACTCCCCACCGCATGGGAGAAGTCATTTGATGATTATCCCCTTTATTTTTTTAAAAAGAAGTCCATATGTAGATACACAGCACGTATATTATTATAACATCAAAAAGATAAGTAATCAGCAGATATGTTCGTCAACATTAAAATAATTACAAACATAAATTACCGAATCTCAATTATTACCTACGCATGGCTTAAAATTCAAAACGGTTAATTGGTCCTAGTATGTATTATTATTTTGTTTGTTCTTTCCTTTCACGGGACCACAGGGTCCCGGAACTTTGGAAGGCGCACGAGGAGCCGAAGCCAACTCGCAGAGACCCATTGAACAATTTTAATCTAAATGTGATGGGACATCAGCCGGCAATTATCCCTGTATGCACTATAAAAGTGCACCCAAGGACAATCACCGGTTGATGCAGGACTATTGTGAAATGTGGTAAAAATTGATAGGGTTATGGGTATGGGTTGCTATGCACTACTGGATGAAAACAATGGAAATACTTATGGCCCCTGCCCCTGACCAATATTGATACATACGGATAAACAGGCAGAGCTAGCATGTAGCGACAAGGGGGCAACATACGTTGAGCTGCTTGGGGAAGGAGAGGCATCCCACGGCTATCAGAGCAATCCCGGAAGTACGATCATGACCTCTACCAGCACCTTACTGAGATACATCCATCCCCCGAGTCTCCTTCAACTCCTACTCTTGCGAATATCCACCCAAGCTAGCCAGTTAAGGCAAGAATGAGGTAGGAAGGCTTGTTCTTCATCAGTGTTCACTCCAGTTCGTTACGAGGACTAACTGGAGGTGAAGAACAAGACACCTCCCGGGAGTCAGGTCCGAGGGGTCGCCTTTGCCCGCTCGCCACAAGCTGCCTTGCGGATGTATTATTATTATTTACAAGGGTTATATTCCTCAAACCTGACAGACTACAAAGCAGGTATAGTAAGCATAGAAAGACATTTCTACTGTCATTCGTCCATTGTAGAGGTACCTACATACCAAAGAGTACTTCCTTTTCTTATTTTACCCTTTGCATTTTCTTATCACGTGATATTCTATATTAATAAAAAAAATAATTCTAAAATCTTTATACACTGCGCTTTACCTCGAAAAATTGATACAATATTTTTTTTAAAAAAACCATTTTATATTCAAAATTTATAATGGTTTTTAAACGTGTGCACCTTACTATCAACGATTGCATCACTGCTTACCATCAAGTTTGGTTTCTTACTTTAGAGTTTTTCTATGTCTTTTTACCTCGTACGGTAAAGAAAAAATGGAGCTCTTATCGGAAATATATCCTCCATTAGAAAAAACCCTTCATTAGGAGGAAGTAGATAGATAAATCTTTTAATTACTTTGGCTCAGCAATTTTATTTTCTCAACTTTGTGGAACAGTAATTAAGCAATTCTAGACTAGAAGTAGACTTGAGTATTTGATATAAATTTCAGCCTTTTACCTCTATGAAATCCTGAGGAAAAAGTTCAAAAAAACCATCACCGTCTTGACAATTGATGTCCAACGCACTGTTCTTATTGTTTAATCTATATTTTGTATTCTTTTTCTCCTTTTTGATCGTTTACTTAACTTTCAGATATAAATATGTTCGTGCGCCTGATGATTTCATCATAGCAGCAACTTGCGCTTGTCACTGAAACTATAAATTATGTGTGATTCGACTATTTTTTTATTTACTTGCAGTATACGAGTTAAGTAGAACTCGCGTTAAACAGCGTCGCGTTAAACAGCGTCGCGTTAACCCGCGTTTTTTTGTTAATTTAGCCACAGCGGGCTAAATTTACAAAAAATCGCGGGTTACTCACGTGTATATATTGAGAAAAGCTCTACTAGTTTCGAACATCAGAGGGGTTCATGACAGTAGGCTATGGTAATAGACGACGCGACGGTAGGCTGCGTGACCCTCTGTGGTTCGAAGCTAATAGAGCTTTTCTCGATATTATACACGTGACTAACCCGCGATTTTTAGTTAAATTAATATGCGTCACGATAGTTATTATAAAAAACAGCAGTGTGGCTGTTTCACGTGGTTCTTTTGAGGCCGCGGTACCATTTGTTCGTGGTGCTATTTGTGCCGAAACCAGGCTCTCCCACATTTTCACTTGTTCTTAACTCCTCCATATGCAGCCACGATTGCTTACCATCAAGTGATCATACTCATTAGCTTGTAAATAAAAGACCTTTATTATAAACTATGTTTACTTATATCATATAATATTGCTTCTTCACTTCTTCTTCTTCTTCACATTGTAAAAGTGCCGTTTTATGGCCTATTTGCAAAAATAAATTCATTGTTTCATAAGAACAGCAGCTTCAATAGGGTACTTTACTTCTGCCTTCTCCAGTCTTCTGTTTTAAACAGCAGCATCTCTGACTTTAAATTTTTCTTCGACTTTCACATCGGGATTGGGATTAACCTTGCGAAAAGTGCCACATCATTTTCGTCTCTCCGTCAGTAAGCAATGAGTTATATCTTTATTACGATTACTGAATGTAAATCGACTTTTATTACAGTTATCAATTAAAATATCTAAATTGCTAAACATACTATTATGGGTATTAAGTATATTACACCTGTAAACGCTACGTATGACTTGAAAGGAAAGAGTAGTGGGAGAATTCCAACGTTTCTTTAGCTGATTTTCGCTATATATGGCAGATTATCACGAAGCATTGACTGCTCCTACTTAAACGGGAAAGTTTGTAAGTATGCAAATACTTTAATAAAAACAAAAACTTGTATCTTATAGCAATTTGTACATATTTACTTAGCTCTTACTAGCATGCATAGGTTATTATTCCGAACTAGTAACTAATACAGACAATTTTTTTTTGTTGTTTCACGCGTTGTTTCACGTCGGTATTCTGTGAGGCCGTGGTATCAATCCGGTCGAGCCGACCCATTCGTGCCGAAGCTTGGCTCTCGCACACAAATTCGAATCAAGTGGTTTCTAGTGGTTTTTAATATTCTTGACCTCATGTTACTTTTAAAGATTACGTTTAGAAGAGCGCATTGAACATAATATTTATTTCTGTACTAATATCATAAAGAGGTAAAATTTGTAAGTTTGTATGTAGGGGGTAATCTTTAGAATCGCTAGTTGGATTGCCAAAATTCTTTCACTGATAGATAGCTACTATCATCCTGAGAGCTATAGGCTATAAAACGTCATACTACGATCAAATAGAGCTGAGCAGCGGGTGAAACCGTGCGAGAGTAGCTAGTCATCTATAAAAACCATCTATTGTAAAATTCTAATCTTTACATCTACCGTGCTAGCAAATCCCGCAAAACAGTAAAGTACTTATTAATATGCAAAGAAAAATTCTAATCTACTGCCAAAAGATTGCATAAAAAGCATGACAGATATCATTGTTAACATTTATTTATTTACAAAACTTATTATTATCTTATCTAAACTAATCTTATTTGCATAAGTGTCTACATATTTACCTCATTCATAATTTATTCTACGAAACTTGTATCTTATAGCAATTTGTACATATTTACTTAGCTCTTACTAGCACGCATAGGTTATTATTCCGAACTAGTAACTAATACAGACAAATTTTTTTTTTATGTATTTGGTCGGCAAACGAGCAGTCGGATTACCTGATGGTAAGCAATCAGCGCCGCCCATGGACACCCGCAACGGAGGAATTACGAGTGCGTTGCCGACCTTTTAGGGATTAGGGATTTGGAGATTTAGGGATTGAGGAGGGATTGGGGGTGGGGAAGGATTGTGCCTCCGGTAACCTCACTCACACGGCGAAACACAACGCTGTGGTTGTTTCACGTCGGTCTTCTGTGAAGACCCGCTAAACAGTAAAGTACTTATTAATATGCAAAGAAAAATTCTAATCTACTGCCAAAAGATTGCATAAAAAGCATGACAGATATCATTGTTAACATTTATTTATTTACAAAACTTATTATTATCTTATCTAAACTAATCTTATTTACATAAGTGTCTACATATTTACCTCATTCATAATTTATTCTACGAGGAAAAACAATAAGAGTCGTTGACCAATAAAGGTCATAATGGCAATGATAGTTTTCATTTATTACTAGAGTTATATAGCCTTACCTACCAGTGGAGGATTCAGAAATAACGTTATTTATTTTAATCGTTGGAACAACAATATGATTATATTTAAAAATGTAAGTGAACACTGATTTTTAATCTTTTACACTTTTGGCTGTAGGAGCCAAAAATAATTTAATCATTTCCAATCTGGTAGTTCATATAGATCTGCAAGTCTTTCGAAGCTAATTCTAAACACAGACTTATTAACTAATATTAACATTATAAATCACAGTTTTACATTTTCTTATCATTTTATAGTCACTCAGCTAACACTCATCACAAAATTCACTTCACCATTTTAATTTTAACTTCTGCATCTTCGTCCGCCCTGTTATCTTTAAACTTTCCATAATTGAAATAATCCTCAATCTCTTGGAGAGTCCTATCCTTAGTTTCAGGTAGAATGAAATATAACACTATCAAAGAAAGTCCCATCATACCAGCAAAGACGGCGAAAGTACCATTTACTTTTAAATGGATGAGAAAATATGGAGTCACCTGCAGCCCAGCCATCACTCCAAAGGACATGAAGATGCCTGCTGCTGAAGATCCAACTCCACGATGTCGTAAAGGAAACACTTCTCCCAATAACGCTAAAGGTATCGGCGTACAACCTAAGTTGGCAAGGATGAAGTATCCCACAAACAAGCAAATAGGTATCCAAGCTTTGTCGTTAGTAATTATACCTTGTGCTCCTAAAAACAGGTAAATACAAGCTGCCATCATCACCACACAGGCAGAGAAGCCGGTGGAGAAGAGTAAAGTCCTTCGCTTCATAACCTTGACAAGTATGGACGAAGAGACGGCACTGCATGTGATGATCAAATCAATACCCAGGGTGTAGTAGAAGGACTGAGACTTATTCCCAGTCACTTCTCCAATAATTTGCAATGCGTACGCAGGGAACCAGTGTCTGCCACTAGTTTCTAGAACTATAGAGCTCATGAAGATAATAAACAGTGGTTTGAGAAAGTCTTTTTGGCCAAATCTTTGAAAGTAACTAACGATATTATCACTGCAAGTTTTATTCTCCGCTGGTCTCGATCTCTGTTCCATTTGGGCTTTGATTAATTCCTCCATTTCATTGTAGGATGCTTCTGATTTCCCCCTTAACCAATAGAAGGAATCCTCACTTTTCTGAAACTGTCCTCTTGACGCCAACCACGCTGGACTTTCGGGCCATGTATAGATGACCAACAAGGATAGTAAATATGGTATTAGAGCGATCAGCGCTACCGTTCTCCAATGTAAAAAATGGCCAACAATATGGACAATCATTCCTCCTAGACATACTGATGCAGTTTTAAGATTTAGGAAGACTCCTCGATACTTGGGGTCTGAGTATTCTCCTATGACGATGGCTCCTAAAGAGACAGTGGCGCCAGCTGTCATGCCGCCTAGAATTCTTCCAATCATGAGCGCTGGGATGCCTCGAGCGAGGTATATGCAGAGCCACCCAATAATCCCTGGTAGTATCGCAGCAGCGTGGGACATTTTTCGACCATATGCATCCATTAGGTAGGATGATATAAGGAATCCTGGGATTCCGGAGATACCAACTGATGACGCTGGAACAAGATATAGGATATAAGATAAAATATACTTTTCTTCTTTTCTTTCCTTTTTTTCTTTAAAGAAAAACGTTGCCTCACGTTATCATTTCCTCCTGTGTCGTCGGTTGATGCGTTTACAAACATACAATTTCACATAGGTACTCAAGCCACCCATACCATCATCAAAAACATCAGTTTGCGGACCACTCAAAGTATTATTCTGTGAAGGAATCGAACCCCCGAGACGTTATGCAGCAGCCAGATGCCCAGCTATTGCACCAACCATGCAGTCAGAAATTGTAAGTTCAACGAGTGGTAGTTAATTGAAGTATTGTGGTTAATTATTTTTACAGATATGACAGGTAACAAATGGGTAGCTATAATTCTAGAAATTTTCCTCAAATGGTAGTACATACCCAACCATGATGCTGTATGTAGATCAGCTTTGATAGGAGAGCCAGGATCCTGCAGACCAGGCAAGAGGCTGGTGGTGTAGCTGAGCATCATGCCCTGCCCGATCATGTTGGTCCAGACCGCTGACAGCGTCCATGCCTGAAGAGACAATTGTAATGTTAAGATTTTTGAGAAAAATACAGGGTGTAAAAAGACACTTAACGAGGCCGAAAGCCACGTATTTTACCCATTACTTGGATATTTTTTTTCTTTAAGACCATAGTTGGGACTCTACGGGTTCTCGAGATATTGAAGGTCAAAGATGCATTTTTAATTTTTTTTTTGCGCAATCGTATTCTAAGTATTATTACAAAACTTTTTTCCAAACAAGCATTACCTGAATTTTCGATTTTTCTAAATAAATTACGCATTTGAAGTTACGAACAGTAATGTACGTAATAAATAAATGCAGACCCGCACAAAAAACATCGTGCACCTCAGTAGGATTTTTATTTTACAGAATTGTTTTGTTGTTGGGAAGTAAAACGTCGACTTTTGTACTTATCACAGCGTTTTAATGCTAAGCTGTGAACCTACGCACACAATGACACGGAGCCCGTTGCTTTACATTGCGCGCAATAAAATCATTATTTTTTTTGATACCTAAAAATAAAAGTCGTTTCCCAGTGATAATTTTAGCGTAAAGCTACTTAGTTAGAACTGCAGTATACGTAGTTAACAGCTTCGTTAAGTGTCTTTTTACACCCTGTATAGTAAGGCCATAGGATACAGACATTAAATTCTGTGAATGGCGTATGAAAGAAAATCGTGTCGTAAATCCATTCACAACAAAGGAAAATTTGGAAGATAATCAAAGGATTTTAATTCTTGAAGAGGTAAATGATCACACTAAGAGACAAATGACACAGTACACCTATTGCTTGCCATCCATGAGACCTATCAATCTATGTAATAGGGAGCATCGTCTAACCGTATGCCATATACCGAATTTAATTATACACGACAACGCTATTTAATGAAAACTAGCGCCCCGGCTTCGCACGGATGCGACGCTGATACAGAATTTCTCCAGTATTTAATTACATATAAACGTTCCTCTTCAATTACTCTATAATCTATTAAAAAGCTGTGTCAAAATCTGTGACGTAGTTTTAAAGATTTAAGCGTACATAAGGATATAGGTACAGAGAAAGTGATAATACGTACGAGTGTTTTACGTCAGGCGTATTATAATACTTTGTTTTATAATACGCCTGACGTAAAACAATAATCTTTAAATTTTCATAATGAAAGAAACAGTAATTGCTGTTTTAGCTACAGGCACTCGCCTCTTGAAACAATTGTTTTTTGTTTTGCTACAATAACACCCAAAGGTTGGCTAGTAAGAATGCCTGTAGGCTAATGCCTACAGGCATTCTTAGATGGGCTATAGGTGGGCTTAATAGCCCACCTATGTACTTTGTGCATGAAGTTATAAATAAAAATTAATAACATAACTACGTTTTAGTATTAAACTTGTAAAATTAGATAAGAGTATAATCCTTTACGTGAAAACACATTGAAGTATTATAAAATACTTACAATCTGTTATTTGCAAAATCTACTTATTTAATAAACGTTTATGATCAACTTCATTTGTTTTAGGATTAAGCGGAACAATGGAGTTAGTAGTTGACTGAAGACGAGAAAATGCAATTATATAAATGTTTATCTGTTTTCCTCGATTACTTACGTTAAATAATAATCTTTTACATGGGTAGAATGGCACAGAAGCAGAAGTTGGTAAGTTGTTGGCGCCGTCAATGGGCAGTATGTGAGTTACAAATGCGTTGCTGTTGGATTAGAGATGTGTCAATAAGGGGATTTGAGGATTAAAAGAAGAGATGGGGAAGAATTGGGTCACAAAAAAATACTGTAAGTATTTGCTGATCAATTCGTGTGTTGTTTTTTTGAAGTTAACTGCAGTTAATGGCGTTTTAAGTATGTTACTTTTAATAAGAACTCGACACCTGTCTCTGTTCGCATTAGAAAGCCTAACAACATAACATAGTATGTCTCATAATAGTAAAGTTATAGTACCTTTCGTAACACTTTTCTGCGAACGAGTGACGAATATCCAATATAAATAGTTTTATCATTACACTCACATATACCACCAAAGATGATTAATTTTCAATGATAAACGGTTACCTAAAATTGCCTTCAGACGAGTAATAGTCATCTACATTGATGATATACTTTATTTCCTATTTGGAATGATATATTATTCGTCAAGAATATAATAATCGCGTTGAAGTACACATTAAAAACGGGTTGGTCACAATTTACGCCCCTGGGTACCCTCTTTAAACTTTAATGCTCACAAACAGACGGATCACAATAATGACAATCTGATCGCCTGGGAGCAATCAGCGATGTCCATGGACATCTTCGACACCAGAGGAGTTACGGCCAGCCTTTAAGGAGTTTGAGGATTAGAGAATAGGGATTGGGGATGGGGAGAATATAAGTATTGGTAAGGTTGGATCTTTTTCCTGAGAGCTTAATTTTCTTGACAAATATTCTTCTTTCTTTCACAATAGGGTTTACATTAATTAGTATTATAGTGGGACCAAAAGAAACAGCCTTTAGTTTTAATGGGTTGGTTACGAATGTATATGAACTTCTCAAGTTCTTAGATTATTCTGACTTATCGTTTCAAATAGTATTGCTTATAATGGGAGCATTAGATCCCACATAATTATGATGATCATATCTATCAGTCATTTCATTACTGTTATTCAGGTTATCACCAGTAATCAATTTAACCTCAATTGATCATTCAAAATCTGCACTAATCGAGGTCTTCATTAATTGATCGATTATAAACTGTAGCACTACCTTTCTTTTATAATGATAATTTGCAGCGCAGAATAATACATGGCCCTCGGGACGCCCTTTGAAAAGATTAATGCATAGGGTAGGTCTACAAGTATTTATTATGATAGTTTTACAATTAGAAAAAATATAATAGACAAATTAAACTATAGCGCACTATTGTTATTGGTTAGGGCAGTGACAGAATCAGTGGCTGCTTTGCAACGTGTTACATATTCAACTCCATGAAGGAAAAACACTATATAATCATTAAATTATAATTTTGGGTGGTGATTGTGTGAATTTAAATGATTGTCAACGCATCTACGACACAGAAGGAAATTATATTAAAATAGCAATTGGATCATGACCTGAATGAGTCTACTCTTATGTCGTGGTGGTCCGGCGGTTAAGTCGCCCGCTCCATATGAATGGGGGTGCGCTTTCTAAACCTGGCAAGTATTAATGTGACTTTTTTCGAGTTTTATGTCAAGTTTATAATCGCCAATCCGCCTTGACTTGAACAAACTTGGTGATTCATGGTCAAACCTTCTCCGTCTGTGAAGAGACCTTTGCTCAACATTGGGCACTTATAGGCTTTTGATATGGTGTGCTGTGAATCTGTCCAGGGTGGGGTAAGAGGGAGTGTCAGACTCTTACTGACTAAAAACCACCCCGACCTTTCTCACAACAATGCACTTGCAACTGTAACCCTGATGATATTCTAGTGTTAACAATTGATTACCAATTCTGTAGGTAAACAATAGTTATCATTGTATTATAAATCTTGTATATCCTTATCGTTAATGAAATTGTGACTCATAAACTGGTTCACCTTCCTATTTGGTCAAAAAGCCTGCATAAATACTTAGTAGGTATAGATAGCTTCTTTTGGTATTCGAATTTTAAATATCTACATTTGAAATTTTGTATTTGGTAAGAGTTTTTTTATTTGGTGGTTTATGTATTGTTGTGTTATATTTATATACGAATCGTATGTTGTTTTTATTTTTTTACGAAATGTAATAAGCAACTTACAATTTTTGTTATAATTTTTTTATCGCATCGATTTTTGTATAGTGTGACATGTTGATAATTGTTTAGTTAGTGCATCTACCAAATCTTTCTTCTTAATTACACTGGTAGAAGTAAGACTTGTGATAACGTTTATTACCATGGCCATTAAGGTCAAATTACCTAAAATATAAAACTTACAGACACACCGTCTTCTATCGTTTTGCAATATAACAATAACAAGATATATTTTTGAATGACCATATCACGAAAAGCTCGTTCCAACCACAATTTTCCACGGAACATACAAACATACATTATTTATTTAATGAATGCATTTACAGACACTAATGCCACTTACACGTCATCACACTTGGACACGAGAATTGTGAATCACAATAAAATTTAAAATAAATTATTAGAAATCTGTACCTGTCTAAAGAATGGTGGCACCATCTTAACCCAGTAACGGTCGCAAACAGAATTAGCGGCTCACTAATCAGTGTAATAGCTTGCTCTAATATCATTCTGATAAAACAATTTTATTAGACCAATTATACATAATGCTTTTATTGTCTTTTGTTACCTACTAGTATTCATTTCATTATGTAAGTTTGTTCATTTTCTGAAGTTTGTTTTGTTTAGTTATATAAAACTTATCTATAAAATAATTATGATAAAAACTAACTTATCGCAATTGGAATTGGTCTTTGCTTGTCCTGAGTGACAGACTCTTCTAACAACCATCCCGTTCTCTCTTTTATTCCAGGCTTCCCCTGCTTAACACCAGCCCCCACCTGTGCTGGTCTCTTGGCACTTAAACTAAAGGCGCTTGTGGAATCCAATGCGCCGTACGTTCGGGTCTAATTCTGGTCGGGCAGCCAGAGGTAAGGGTAGCTCGCCGTCCGCAGACCCGAAGGAAAGAAGGCTTCAGTCCAATGTATACAGTGTATTAATTATTAACAGTTCCTATGTATGTTTTATTAGACGTACATCCCAAAAAAATATAAACAATTTCAATTTTTTTTGTTAAAAAGGTTGCTCGCCGTTCATAGAGACCTGTGCTGTAACTCCAGAGGAATTTCGCAAGTGTGTCGAAAAGCTCGGCAAAGTTTTCGGCATAATACCGTACTCCTGTATATGTACATATAACTTATGCATCTTTTTGTATTCGTTAATACCACTTTTCTGACACCACTTTTCATAAACTTAGTCAAGGTGGACTGACGATATCAGATTATAGTATTTCATTCTATCTTGGGTAAACCTGGTTATGATTCTTGATATATCAATGATGTCTATCCTATTCTGAACCTTCCCGTGTCACAGACACCTTTACTATTGTACTCGTATTATCCCAAAAATCTGACAAAGTAATGTTACATGTCTCAAGATGTTGTTTCATTTTGTTTATCTAACGGATACAGACATAAAATTGAATTCATTTATTTGCAGTAGTTCCAAAGTTTAGCGTTCTCATACAAACAAACTCTTAAACTGTGTAATATAAATAGATAAATATAGATTTACACTAAAAAATTAGTTTGTGTTGTAAAAAAAAAACAATAAATTGTATGAAATTAAAAACTATTTTATTTATATTTTCATTTTCCTTAAAATGATCTATACCTAATTAAAATGAACTTATTTATACACTCTGTACGATATATCGATTGTTTTATAGTGTGAGACGTTGATAATTGTTTACTTAGTGCATCTACCAAATTATTCTTTCCTCTTAATTACATTGATAGAAGATAAAATTGGATTTTTCCAGTTTCGATAATTATTATTACTTATACACGTTTGTAGATTATGTAATGTCTACCCAGTACCACCCTAAGGATTTTCTTACATAATAGGCACAAAGCTAATAAACAGTTTATCCGGATTGTTACTGTTTGTTAACCGGTTGTTATTACCTATCTTTGTTTTATTAACCTACACACAACTTTGTATTGACTCCTCCCAAGGCTGATGTAGGAGAATGAACTAAAGAATACCAGACAAACTCTTCTATTATTCGGCAAAATCGCAGGTGAGTTCCCACTCGCTTTTTGTGTGATCCACAGATTGTTTTCCTGGGTTTAGGTGTGATGTGAATGTGAACTTGTATGTTTGTATCTAGGACACAGTAAACAATCTTAATGTAGAGCAATTTTCAAACAATAAGCTTTATAATGTTTGTTGTTCTCATCCTATTCAATTTCTTTAACTTCAGTTAATACTTTTGACTCATTGGCGCAGGGGTTATTGGTACACAGCGCCATCTAGTACAATTCTAACACATTAATTTCTTCAGTTTTTATCATATTCTTGCATCTTACTAGCATGCCCGTTTAGAATGTTATTTTTTAACACGAGTGAAGCACATAAACTTACTGTAGTTTCATGATTTTTATAACTTCAGTAATGCGTAAGGGGACAGATTACGTCAAGCACAGATGTAGTTCAGGAGTTTAAGACCTTTTTTACTAATATAACTAGCCGCTTATTTGACTATGCAAATTATTATTAAGGAAAATGTCAAATTAGACATTTGTTTTTATTATACTAATCCTTCATATTTAATAACAGTTTTTAAAGAAATAAAAATCAAATCAACTGAGGACCTTTGGGGACTATCGGTAAAAGTCTGCGGATCACTAATCCGAACTTTATCGCCGTATCTAGCTTTGAATTTCAATAAACGTATAGATGACGGTGTCTTCCCGAACCTATGAAATAGAGTTGAAGTGTAGAAGTGATGAATTAAACGACGATTTGAAAGATATAAATAGTTTTATTTAGTAGCTTGAGAATTTACAACATGTTTGTATGGATGCGTATTGCAAAGAGAAAGATGACAAGCGCAAAAGGCACAGAGTATAGAACGGTGGTCATAGACCATTTCATATTATCTATGCTACACTATAGTAGTCGAAAAAGGCGACAAATTTAAAACATGTAACACTCCCTCTAA